TTCTTAATGGGTTATTTCCTTCTAAATTCTCACAACCCCCCCAGTCATTCAATCTTAGGTGGGAGCCTCCAATGATGGTGCATTTCTTTTCACAGCAATCAAAACTCATGTAATCACACTTAGACACCAGCATTTCCATTTTTATGGGTGAAAAAATACAAATGCTGCTTTAATAAACAGTAAAGCTAAAATCCAAACAAACATTAGAATTGCAAGTAATCTTTTGCTACATAGTCAGTCTGTTTTGTTTAAATAATGTGGAGTTTGGTTACTTCTTGTCTGCCAAATACCTTGAAATTATTGTTAGAAACTGCCCATCTTCCTCGTAGAGCGACTCATAACTTTGAAGCAGGAATGAGTAGAGATATGTGAGAAACACATTGCAAATGTGAGTGGCATTATTTCAGTGCTTCACCTATCATTATTTAAATGATATAATTAGTGGAGATAGTTTAAGTTAAATAAGTAAAGAAATTCTGCAGCAACTAGTTGCATGAGCAATTGTGCAAGAAACTCAAGTGAGCAAAGGAGTTGCTTTTGTTACCTTTTGTAACCCTGGAAATAATTCCCAGTTGATAGGTGCTTCTTAACGGACATGTCTGAAGAAGACAGAAAAATGCTAATTATATAGGAGAAGTTGTGGTTTCCTTTTTTTTTTTTTTAATAGTGTGCTTATTTCAGGAAGTGGAATAAATCCAGACTTGCCAGTAATGCAGGACATGTGACTTAGTTTCAGTTGATATAATTCTAATGTAAGCAATTTTCTTGATCCACCATTTTGGGGTGGGAAGGAAATGGAGGCTCTTTAAAGTTGAGGAAAGTGTATAGAATAAATCGGAGATTTCTGTTGGAATTTAGATAATGGTGGTAATCTTGAAAGTGTGTTCTTCAGGATTTTTGCATGCCGTTGCTCAAACTATTCTGGATTGCCTTAATTACAGTATATGTTTCAAATCCTTTCATAACGCGGCTCCTTCCATTCTTGGTTTTTCACCTGTGTCCTTCCTCCAGAAAAGGACAAGTTGTATCTAAGCCATTTGGGGAAATCTAAAGAGCATTTCTAAATCTAAATCTGAAGAGAGACACGGTGACTCAGTGGCTAAGACACTGAGCTTGTTGATCAGAAGGTCGGCAGTTTAGCGGTTCGAATCCCTAGTGCCGCATAACGGGGTGAGCTCCTGTTACTTGTCCCAGCTTCTGCCAACCTAGCAGTTCAAAAGCACGTAAAACATGCAAGTAGAAAAATAGGAACCACCTTTGGTGGGAAGGGAACAGCGTTCCGTGCACCTTTGGCATTTAGTCATGCTGGTCACATGATCACGGAGACGTCTTCAGACAGCACTGGCTCTTCGGCTTAGAAACGGAGATGAGCATCGCCCCCTAGAGTCGGGAACGACTAGCACATATGTGTGAGGGGAATCTTTACCTTTACCTTAAAGAGCATTTAATAGGTAGCTTCAGAGCTTGCTTTGGCGCTGATGTGTTCCTACATTTCAAATAGTGATTATAAAAGATTATTGCCATTGTCAACGTACCTTGAAAAAAAAAATTGGCAAAATTACTGGGAAAAGAAATTGCAAATTCCATCCTATCTGGTTCATGACATGGCCGTGATAATTTGCATGATCAGGATATCGGCTCCTGCCCTTACCTCTTCCTGTGCCAGGTATGATCTCTCAGCCAGCAAAAGCCTGCCCATTTCTTCTTTTAGATAAGTTTGGAATTGCATTTCAGGAGGCAGCAATAAAAATAGAATTATGAAAAATGTAAGGATATGTCTGAAAATAGCAGTGGCTTATTTCCTTTCCCCATAGAAAGACGTTTGGTCGCAACAGAACAATGCAGATTTTCTAGTCAGATCCTCCTTATTACTGACTGCTATTATCAGTATAATTTTCTGCAGTGTACGGCATTGCTCAATATATTTCATTAGACATTCCAGATCTATATTGTGGGCTGCTAGTTTAAATAGTTATGGCCAGTTGTTGAGACCAAGGTTTTAATGAAGTTATCCATCAGATTATTTTGGAATATTTGGTATGTAAAAGCACCTTTCTCTCAATCTTAATTTTACATAGATCCTTTGGTAAAGTGTTTCAAAATCTTATCAGCATGCTTGTTGACACTGTCAAACTCTTTATAGTTAAGATAGCCTTGCTGACTTTTTTTTTTTTTTTAACCAAATAGACCTATCCCTCTGTTTCCAGCTTACTCAAAACAGGTATTAATAATGGCCTATAATATCCTTATTGGATATGTTTTTGTTATGTTTTTGTGACTGCTTTTTACTATTTTGTTATAGAGGGAAATGTTACTAATGTATATTTTTGTTAAAAACTTACCGAATTCACATTCAATTTATTTTAGAACTCTGGTGTGGAGTTTTTCGGGATTTAATCAGTGCAAGGATGAAGATTTGTGAGAAGCTGAATGGCTTTAACTGTATTTAGATGGAAATACAGTTAAAATTAAAGCCATTCAGCTTCTTTACAATATATTTCTTCTGGAGATACTTTAATTCCTTTGGCATTCAGGGATTGAATATGACAACAGTTGAATTCACCAAATTGGGGGACGGGGCGGGGGGGGGGAATCAGGCACTGATTCTCACATATTATACTGGCCTGGAGACTTTCAGAGCAGAGAAGTCGAGTATAAATCAGATAAATTCCAAATTCAGTTCCTTATTATCAGCTGAAAAAGACTGGTAGCAGGTTACTTTATGAGATATATCTCAATGTGAGCACCTGAAAAATTACTTCCAAATTGACTGTATGAAATTGGTTCAGCTCAGTATGTTGTTATAATATATTCTGTTGCCTTGAAATACCTAATTCAGTTAAAAGTGACATAGTCATTTGATGCGTGAGCATAAATGTAATATCGTGCATGCTATTTAAGCATTTGTGTTGTGTATGCATTTATTAGTGGTGTGGGAAGCAGGGGATTGCTAATCCTGTAAGACTGCCTATAAAAACTTCCTGTTTGGCATCTTGCAAATTTGCTTCTCTAGCTAATCGTTTCTAGCTTGGTTTTGCTTTACAGGGTCATGTTGCTCTAGAGCAGGGGTCTCCAGCCTTGGCAACTTTAAGACTTGTGGACTTCAACTCTCAAAATTCCCCAGCCAGCCATGGAGACCCCCCTGCTCTAGAGAATGCTTTGATTTATTAGTCACTTCAGTGAGTCCACAGATGGATTTAGGCTTATGCATAAATGCCTACTTACTTGATACTTGAAAGCTTAATGTCCAGTAGTTGAATTGCTGATGAATGCATACTAAATACTTGGGCACTAATCGACTTTCTAAGATCTATATTTCATGTTACTGGCAGAGGAAATTCAAAAATAACCTAAACTGAAAAATATCAATTGAAACCCTGTATTTTATTTGTTACCTCTAATAATATACTCACAACTGTAAAGCAGTGCATGAAAGTAGAGAGGGACTTAACATCTTGTTTGTTCAGGTAATGCAAAAGAACACTAATGCTATTGATAAACTCTTACTGAACACAGCAGTGATTCTCCCTTTACAGCAACCCTTCCTCCCCCCCCCCCCCCCCAAATTTAATGAAGCAGCACGTGAGCTAATTAAACAGACTTTCTACCAACAGGAATCCTTCTCAGGAACAACCTGGAAAGACCATTCAGATTTTATTGTATCCAGAATCAAATTATTTATCTCTGATCTGTGCTGAATTTTTTTATGATTCAAGCACTGCTCCCTTACAACTTTTATGATGGGGAATGGCTTGCTTTCCTGCCTGACTATAGACCCCATACAAATACCTTTGTCTAAGCTAATCATATAATACAGGGATCCCCAATCCCTGGATCATGGACCAGTACCGGTCTGTGGCTTGTTAGAAACCGGGCCATGCAAGTGGCAGGCGAACAAGTGAAGTTTCATCTGAGCATGCTCAGGATCTAGGTTGTGCATGAAACCATCCCACCCCATCCCTTGGTCCATAAAAGACCATTTTTCTTCTAAACTGGTCCCTGGTGTCAGAAAGTTGGGGACCACTGATCTACAGTAATACACAATATTCGATAAAATAATCACTGTCCCATTACTAGTCGTGACACAATTGCTGCCTTAAATGTTCTTACAGGCTGAAGCCTAAAGCCAGTAGCTTGCAAATAGTGTTTATGGCTGTATACATTTTGATCAATACGTTCTGCTAGTGCAAGATCACATACCACATGAGCAGAACTGCAGGGCAAGCTGGCACCAGTTCCATCTGATTAAATTTCCTTCTCTCTGTGTGCATGATGTGTTTCCAGGGTGTGAGGGCAAACTCAGATAGGGCTGGCTCAATGCGGCAAGTTTCCTGTCTTCATGATTCTCTGCATCATATTCCTTTGTGCTGTAATAATTCTATGATGGGGCATTAGGGACCTGCCCTGATATACTGTCTTTAGAAAGATAAATAAATGGTTCAATGGATTGAAGACCTGTTTACACTTGTAAGCATACAAAGGTAGTTACTGAAACACCATTATTGTATATGAGAATAAATCAGATTTATATGAATACTGTAGATAATTCACAATGAATGTAAGAATATAATTCCCTCAGAATAATTTATGAATAAACTAGAATAATGTTGCATTTCTTTCATCACCAAATCAGTATTTGAAAGAAATATGTTCTCTGTTGGCACAATGTTTTGGCCTATACAGCCTTTATTTAGATGCTAGTGACTATTAATTTGGTCCCTAGCAGATTACAGAAGATCAACATATTAATTATTGAGGGTGAAATTAAAAAAAAGTAAATTAAGCACACCCACATCTCATTAAAATGGTTTGCTAAAGAATGACCTCTTTCCAATTTCTCCCGTCTAGCGACAGAACATGTACTTTCCATATGCTTTCCACTTCTCTCCCTACTGTTTCAAAAGATCTGGTTCTAGAAGGGGATTTTATAATTGAAATCTCTGTCTGTTCTATAAATACTCAGTGTCCTTAAAATATTTTCTTTCTTTTTTTTATTGTAGCACTGTCGCCATGATCTCTTATCTAACCTTATTAAAGATGGATTGCAGTTACTGATGGGAAGAAGTCCAATATGAGTGGAAATGATACCGGAGGAAGAAGACGCTTTGAAGACACAGAGCACACACTACATATCTACCCTGGGAACATTGCCGAAGGGACCATTTATTGTCCTGTTATTGCACGGAAAACATCTACTGCTGCTGAGGTGATAGACTCCCTGATTAATAAACTGCAACTGGACAAAACAAAATGCTACGTCTTGGCCGAAGTGAAGGAATTTGGTGGGGAGGAATGGATCCTCAACCCCACCGACTGCCCTGTCCAACGCATGATGCTCTGGCCGCGGATGGCCCTGGAGAACCGCTTGAGCGGAGAGGACTATCGTTTTCTTCTAAGAGAAAAGAACCTGGATGGATCGATCCATTACGCCAGTCTCCAGTCCTGGTTGCAGGTCACCGAAGAACGGCGCAGGATGATGGAACGTGGCTTCCTTCCCCAACCACAGTACAAGGATTACGATGATTTATGTGCTTTGCCAGATCTGAACGAGAGGACCCTCTTGGAAAACCTTAGAAACCGCTTTAAGCAAGAAAAAATCTACACCTATGTTGGAAGCATTTTAATAGTCATTAACCCGTTCAAATTCCTTCCCATTTATAACCCTAAATATGTCAAGATGTACGATAATCATCAGCTGGGTAAGCTGGAGCCCCATATCTACGCAGTGGCTGACGTCGCGTATCATGCCATGCTACTGCGTCGGAAGAACCAGTGTATAGTCATTTCTGGAGAAAGCGGGTCTGGCAAAACCCAGAGCACAAATTTCTTGATTCATCACCTCACTGCACTAAGCCAAAAGGGATTCGCAAGTGGAGTAGAACAAATCATTCTTGGAGCTGGACCAGTGCTGGAGGTAATCTTAAAATCTTACTGTACAGATAGTCCTTGAACTTTAGCAGCCATTCAAAGTTACAGTGGCAATGAAAAAAGTGACTTATGACTGTTTTTCACAGTTACGATCCTTTGCAGCCTCCCCCGATCATGTGATCAAATTTCAGAAGTTTGGCAACTGGTTCATACTTATGACCGTTGCGGTGTCCCAAGGTCATGTGATCACCTTTTGCCTCGTGACAAGCAGAGTCAATGGGGAAGCCAGATTCAGTTAAGAGCCAGTTGCAGTGATTTATCAACTGCAGTGATTCACTTAACAACTGTTTGCAAAAAAGGTTGTAAAATGGGGCAAAACTCACTTAACAAATGTCTCACTTAGCGACAGAAATTTGGGGCCCAATTGTGATCATAAGTCGACGACTACCTGTAATTTATGATAAAGGTTTTCTTTTCCCTAACATGTGCTAAAACAATTGGGTTTTCTAATAAACAAATCATTATTCTTGTCTTGGAACAATCGATAAAGCTATGCAAAGCTTTCCTTCCTATTGTAAGGATTCTGCTGGTGAAATACATATGGAAAACATTAGATTGGAATGTGCTTTTTTTAAAAAAAAAAATCACCAAAGAACTCAGAGCAGGATCCACCGTCATCCTCCTCTTAAATCTTTTCTTTAAAAAAATTATGGATTATATTGTACATTTGTCACCCCGAAGTATAACATTATTGTGGAAAGAAACTTAAATTTAAAATTAGAGGATTTGTCTGAATCTTTTTAAGCAAGAGTGCCAAATTTGATTGAAATAATTAAGTATTATACTCCATTTTTTGTTGATCTTGATTTTTAAATCTGAAGAATGAGGAAGCAGAACTGCTATAAATGGGCTTTTAGTTTGTTAATAGTGTTTGTGGATCAGCAGAGAACTATCACTTCATACTCATTTAACACATTTATATAAAACAAAACTGATTTAGCCACCCATCTACCAGAAGAAACTGGCATATATAATAAGTCTCCTGTTCTACGATGAGCCAATAGTAAAAATTATGCTAATTTTACCTCTACTAAGTGTAGCCAACCATCCATTGTTAAAAGTTTAAAAAATGACTTAATAGATGAATGCACTATAAGGGGATATCTAGAATTGTGTTAGGCTTTACTGACCTTCTCAACTGATCATTATATAAGACACTTCAGTGATTGGTCACTCATGAGATATATATACCAGTGTGTTCTCCATCTCAGTTTAATATATTCCTAGTAATATAAGTAGATTGTATTTCTTTATAAAAATAGCATGTTCTGCCAACTCAGTTTCTGCCACAAGGACAAAAGCACTGAATATACAGTATATTGAAGTCATCTGCTAAAATTGCTGATTTCAGCATTAAACATGATCAGAGTAAAAGCTTGATATGGGACAAATTGCTGAGATCCTATATTCATTAACCTCTAAGACTTTCTTACAAGGAAAACTGATCGAACCCTCTGGCTTTCATTGTTACTAACTTCATTTCTAATGGCTAAAATTGGGAAGGCTTGGGTGGACATCACACAGAATTTATCCAGAAAGGAATGACCGATTTTGCCAAATTTCAAAGAGAATGAATTTAAGATTATGAAACTTTGTGATATCTTTTAATTGACAAATAAACAAATATGTAATATTCCCAAATGGCAGTTATTTTCCTAGTACAGTTAAAAATTGTTGTTCTTTTGGAAAGAAATCCAGAATCATGGTGAAATAATACCCATCTTTAAAAGTTCTCCCAACTATTCAATTGACTGAATTTGCCTTTTCAAATAATGTTTTTCTTACGTAATATCTCACTTCCTTACACACCACTGCTTATTTAACCGATCATAATTATTGCAAGGACTGCAATGTTTTACCACACATAGAGAATAGTTTTATCTAAAGTGGAGAATAATTATTTTACACTTCCTGTCTTCTAAGTTGCCGCTAACTATAGTTGACCTTTATTTTTAGTAAACACAAAAGGACCGTGTGGTAAGCAAAGCTGAATGCACATCACAGAGGTAGATAGCTTGGTTGCTAAATTTAGTAAGTAGAAAGCTTTGAGTATTGAAAATGTGTTCTTCAAAACTTTATGATAGAACTTTTCTTGATAGAAGACTAGATGAAGATGCTGATATAGTTGCCTAATAATAATTTTAAAGGAACAGGACCATTAGTTCCGGGGTGGGATTCAGCCAGTTCGGGCGAACCGGATGTTAATTTTAATCTGGTTTGCCGAACCGGTTGTTCCAAGGACTGGCTGACCCCACCCCTCCCCTCCCAGGAGTCTCCACGCTGCCTGTTTTGGATGCCAGGTAAGGGTAGGGTGCGCACGGAGGCTCTGGGAGGGCGAAAAACAGGCTTACCGGAAGTCTGGAACATTCCTATTTCCGGCCTCTGGAGGACCTCCAGTGCCCAGGAGAGGCCATTTTCACTCTCCTGGAGGCTCTAGGAAAGCCTCTGGAGCCTGGGGAGGGCGAAAAACAAGCCTACTGGAAGTTCGGAAACGGGCCCATTTCCGGCCTCCAGTGCCTGGGGGAGGCCGTTATCGGCCTCCTGAAGGCTCAAAAAAAGCCTCCGGACCCTGGGGAGAGCGACCACCCACCCCCGCCGTGGTGCAGTAGGCCACTTCCACCCAGCAACCGGGCAGTGAAGCGGTTGCTGAAATTTTTCAATCCCACCCCTGGTTAGTTCCTCATCAAGCAGATTTATATTTGTTGGAGGATTAAGAGTGGCAGTGGATAAGAATATCGCATTTAAGGCAGAGATTATTTGTGTTTCTTTTGCATGACGCCAAGTATTTCAAGCTATCCTGGGACTGTAAAACAAAAGGTGATTAGGCTAAGGATCGAATATTCCAAGGCATATACAAATAGGCCTCGACTTACGACCACAATTGAGCCCAACATTTCAGGTGCTAAGCGAGACAGCTAAGTGTGTTTTGCCCCATTTGGTGAGCTTCCTTGCCACAGATGTGAGGTGAATCATTGCAGTTAAGTTAGTAACATAGTTGTGAAGTGAATCTGGCTTCCCCGTTATCTTTGCTTGTCAGAAGATCACATGACCCGGGGATATTGCAACTGTCGTAAATATAAGTCAGTTATATCTTGATCACATGACCACAGGGGTGCTTGCAACGGTCATAAGCATGACAAACGGCCGTAAGTCACTTTTTTCTGGGCTGTTGTAACTTTGAATGGTCACAAAACGAACAGTTGTAAGCTGAGGACTACCTGTACTCAAGTTTTGAGAAGTTGGGCAATGCTGATGCGTGGATTATTGGTTAGTTGTTTTCTTGGTGTCACCTGCACAATTAAAAACCTTAGTAGTATTGTCAAGAGGAAAACGTTGATTGCTTTCAGGCAGATTTCATCATACATTGGAAAGCTCTTTCCCATTTGTCAGTTTGAAGTCAGCCAAGGTTGCTTACTTTTCCAGTTTTGCCAGATGCAAGTGAGGGCAGAACCATAGATGTTCTCCTTGATGCTAACTAATCCTAAATCTCAACTCTGAGTGCCTTTGCCCAATATTCCACACCTTTTTATCATTACTTTACATCCCCAAAAAACATCTTTACATCTTCTTACAAGATGCCTAGAATCAGCTTGAAGCATAGTTTTTGGCCTCAGCGTTCTTCCCACATATGAATTTTATTCCAGTAAAGTTAATAATTACATTATTTTCATGTCTACTTTGTAGAGCACCTCTGGGAAGCCAGTATTTATTATTGAACTGCCTCAATACTATTTTCCATATATATACTGCATCCAACTGCGGACTAGTTTGCGTTCCAATGTCTATAGTTGTTAAGAGGAAAGTATCTCAGCTCCCCATATAGGGAACATATGTCCATTGATTATTGTTTCAACATGTTAGGGGGCGTGTTAGCTATAACAGTGATATTCATCAAGGAATGACTACAAGTAGATTTGGATCTTAGATGTATTTGGCCCTCTAAAGGTGCATTGGTCTTTAAAAAGAAAAAGCTTATTTGACTCCAACATCTGCACTTAGTTATTCCCTTCCCTGCACAGCCAGCATAAATGAGAGTGAATTTCCCTTTTTTCTACCTTCATTCCAATTCTCTCCCTTCCCCCATCAACAAGTTCCTGTTTTTATTAGCTGTTTCCTAAGCAGCTCCATCATCTCCCATTTTGCCATACATCCTCTGTCTGTCTAGGATTCTTCCTTATACAGTCCTGTTTCACAGCCATCATCCTTGCTTACATTTGCCTGCTGCATAATTCCTTTACTTGATTTGAAAGGATTCTGGTAGCACTTTTTCTGACGAATAACATTTTATTACATAAAAGGCATGCACTCTCATGAGCTGCGGCTACCAGAATAGTTTTTGATGTTTTTTTTTTGCCACCACACACTTACATAGCTCTTCTCATACCGCGTTCCCTCAATTTAATATTTCATGCCTTTTCCATTTGTCTTTGGGGGATTCTTTGAGCCTTCAAAATAGGGGTAAAAATGTGTCTGATAGGCGGCATCTGTTTCTGTCAATTCTAGCTATTTATGGAGACAAAGTGGACTTTCTCCAATATCCTTGCTTATTCAGACTGATTAAACCAAATGTCTCTGAATAAGAAACATTAATACTGGCATGAAACATTGTGTATTCACTGTGACAACTGCTACTTGCAATCTGCCGAAGACAATACCCCACTCTTTAGAGGATTCACTCCATCTCAGCTTGAATCCTTAGGATCAGCACGTGAAATTACTTGAGGCTGCACATATTAGTGACAGAGACAAAGGATTCATTCTGTGAATAAAAGAGTATTTCATCTTTAACTACTTTTAACTACTCCTCAGTAGCCAGTGGGGCACAGTTGAATATTTGGATTCAGTTAGTTACAGTTCCTCATACTTTATTAATGCAATTTAACACAATTTATAGTTGTGGGTTTGTGACAGTTTTGAGAAATAAAAGTATTTAAAATTGAGTTAGCAGAAATATATAAAAATAAAAATAGATAATAACTCTACGGTAAGTAGAAAAATAAAAGATATACATTGCCTGCATGTGATACCTTTCCTTCTAAAAAAAAATTAGCAAATGTATTTGAAAAATGTATTTTTCAAATGTGGGAGAAGGCCAAAACCGGGAGAAGGTAAATTCTAGTCCTGCCTTAGGCATGAATCCAACTGGGTAACCTTGGGCCAATCATTCTCTCCCAGCCCTAGGAAACAGGAAATAGCAAACCTCTTCTGAAATCTTGCCAAGAAAACTATAGATCAGAGGTCTTCAAACTTGGCAGCTTTAAGACTTGTGGACTTCGACTCCCAGAATTCTCCAGCCAGAGAAAATTAAAATAAAAAATTAAATAAAAAATATATAAATTGAAAAATACGTATGTATTGACAGGGCCATGGTTCCTTCAATTAAAAAAGCCCCCTTATTTGAAGCTACTGGTGAAATCCATGTTCCTCTGACCTGAGCAATCACAGAACAGAAAGCAAACTTTGTCCTACATTTTGGGGAGCTAGTAAGGATGTGGAGAAAATGACACCCCTGATGCACTATGAACAGAGCTAATTTAGGGTTTAAAGCAAGGTTTCCCAACCTTGGTGACTTTAAGACACATATGCTTCAATCCCCAGAATTCAGCTATCACCTATCTAGGCGCCCTCTAATCTAGGCAATGAAAACTGTTTCCATTCTGCTTACAATTTATTTTGCTATTTGCTTTTTTTTTTTCCTAAGTAGGTTTCTGTGAATCTGCCATTCTTATATAATAACCACCTATTAACTCACAGTGAAACTTCCTTATTCTAACAGCCCAGGTCTTTAAGGTCAAAAAACTATCTGTTATGGTGCCAAAGAGGAGATTTCAGCTATAGTAATTACTCAGATCTATAGCTGAAATCTCTTCTTTGGCACCATAACCTTACAGAACACCAAGGTAGTATGTGAACAGCAATCTTTAAACATAATGAAATGGTAAGAGAAAATTTGTACAAAAGGAGCAAGCGGCCATTCAGTTCAGTTGATCAATTCTAAATTTAAACAGATAACCAGACACATTGTTTTATTAAGTGTAAAAGCAAGAAGAATACCACCAATACAAATATAATGTGCAGCTTGACTATTTTTTTTGGCAAATTTTAGTCTCTGCAAATATTTAGAAGAATTCTGTCCTAAAACTATCTCCTCTTAAGCTCGTCTTACAACTCAAGCTATATTTTTTTCATAATTATAGAAAACCTGAATGTATGCATAGGAACAGCAAGTGATCTTTCAATGCATGTAGTTTTCTTAGCCAGCATTAACCTGATTCCCACAGCAAAGTTGATACAACAGTAGAAATATATTGCCTGATGAGTTGCAACTCAGCTAAACAGTATTCTAAATGTTTCTTTCCTGGTAAAAAGAGATACTGAATTACTGAGAAAATAGTATCTGTATATTTCTGCTTTCTCCAAACTTGCCTACTGGCAAAGATAATTTAGCACAAAAATTCTTAGATTTTTCCAGATTCCTTTGAAGTAGATTCCGCGTGATTAACAGTCAGGGACATTATTAGGATCTGGTTTTGCAGAAACAGGACGTAATCTTTCTGTTCAAGAAACTACAAAGAAAGCTAGTGTTTGAGGTATCTTAGAGTTGATGTATGGTGATTTTTTTTTCTCAATGTCTAAATTATAAGAATTAATACATATAACATTCTCTCAGATGCCTTGCCTGTTATGATAAAATTAATGTCAACAGTATGTAAAATTCCAAGAAGTGTATACATCCAAACCATGTAAGTGATTTAATGCAGGGAATGTTGACTACAGCTGTGTTTATGCTCTAGAGTCTCTTTTATGTTATGTTCCAAGCCTGTCGCACATATTTTTGAAGACAGACTTGTTGCTACTTGCCATTTTTTTTCCCCAAGCAGATGTTTATAGGGAAATGAAAGAGAAGATAACGTATACTTTCTATTAATAAGAATATTATTTTTTAACCCAATTAAATTATGTATTTCTTGAATACCAAATTCAGTTTGGTATTGAATTGGAGCATGATTCATCATCAAATCCTCATTGTTAGTGAGGCCTTGCAACTTGCCAGAGGCACTATCCCTTAAGCAACTGGGTATGAAGCTTTGATTGTGAATAAAGTTTATTTTCCTTGTGCGGCACAATCTGATCCTCTCCAAGCTGCTGGGTTGGAGATGAATCTGTCCAGAAGTCTATGGAGATTCTCAATCATCCAGGCCATGGTTGTCCCAAAGGTGCTTTTTCAGGAGGCAACTGGACTTTTCTTGTTTTTTCTTTGAAGACGTTTCGCTTCTCATCCAAGAAGCTTCTTCAGCTCTGACTCAGCTCTGATGAAGCTTCTTGGATGAGAAGTGAAAAGTCTTCAAAGAAAAAACAAGAAAAGTCCAGTTGCCTCCTGAAAAAGCACCTTTGGGACAATCTGTCCAGACTTTCTTTGCTTGAAGACTTCAGTTTGTCTTTTCTGAGGATGGGCCAGCCGCAGTTTGTGATATCAGGGCCTCCATAACAGTCAAGGATTTATCCCAGGTCACTGTGGGTATAACATACATCAGAAGCTCACATTAGATCTGGTTTGTACAGGTAGTCCTCAACTTACAACAGCTCGTTTAGTGACTGTTCAAAACTACAATGGCACTGAAGTCACATAAGTGACTTATGACTGTTTTTCACACTTGCAACCATTACAGCATCTCCACGGTCATGTGATCAGAATTCAGACACTTGGCCACTGACTCATAGTTATAACACTTTCAGGGTCCCGTGGTCATGCGATCCCCTTGTGCGACCATCTGACGAGCAAAGGCTGGCTGGGGAAGCCAGATTCACTTAACAACCATATTAATAACAACCGTTGCAGTGATTCATTTGACAACTGCGGCAAGAAAGGTCATAAAACGGGCCAAATTTACTTAACAACTGTCTCGTTTAACAACAAAAATTTGGGGCTTAATTGTGGCTGAAAGTTAAGGATTACCTGTATCTCAAAGCAATTGAGGCACAGTTTCAGAATGGAGATCTAGGCTTCACTGTGTGTATGGGTGTGGCCAGATTATTCTCTAGCCCAGGGGTCGGCAACCTTAAACACTCGAAGAACCACAAAGGTCCTAACCGGAAGCCCCCATTCAATTCTGGAGCCGACCGGAAGTCCAGTTCCCCCACCATAGAGTCTCTTAATGCAACGTCCTTTTTCCTCTACCTGTCCTAACCGAAAGCCCTATCAATTGTGGAGCTGACCAGCAACAGGGAGCCGCAGCAGAGGGATGAAAGAGCCACATGCGACTCCAGAGCCACAGGTTGCTGACCCCTGCTCTAACCTCTGTGAAACAATGTCACTTCCATTCAGCCCTGCTGGCCTTAGCCAGCTGCGGGGTCATTTTGATTTGAACTCAGTTCCTGGTAGGATGACACAAGCCAGTGGCATGTAGGAAATGGCAGATCCTCATCTCCATGTTATCTCTGCAGTGAATTGTTTTGGTAGGTTTGTGACACTTACTTTTCTTCTTATTTTGACAGGCCTTTGGGAATGCCAAGACAGCACACAACAACAATTCAAGTCGCTTTGGCAAATTTATTCAAGTAAATTATCAGGAGACTGGCACTGTGCGTGGGTAAGTGGCAATGAGCAGTGACTAAAGAGCTTTAGGCATGAATGGTTTGCAGCTGTTAGTAGTTTTATATGCATGATTAGAATGTAAAACATCCTGTGTAAATCTGGGCTGTAGCTGCTTGTCTGCGAAAGATGTGGGCATGTCATGTAGGAGAAATAATTGGCTTGATATAGGTATCTTTTCTTAAGGAAAGTAACTTCCTACATTCTTTTCATTACAACTTTTCAGTTCAATCACAGGGGAGATGGAAAAAATTCTGAAATATGTATTTTTAATTAATTGATATAATAAATTGTTGAGCAACTCCACTCTCCACTTAGATATTTTTCTTTAGAATTCTTTGGCTCTGGTTTGGATAATACAGATCATTCATAGCTGTTTGAATCTGAAACAAATGTTTTTTTCAAGACCGTTACAATGTTATGAAAGCAAATTAAGAACCCCTAATTTAAGGTACTGTGCCTTCAGATCAGAAAATAAGCTATTCTAGATTGATTCCACTAAGGCAGAGGTCTTCAAACTTGGCACCTTTAAGACTTGTGGACTTCAACTCCCAGAATTCTCCAGCCAGCATAGCTGGGAGTTGGTCCACAAGTCTTAAAGCTGCCAAGTTTGAAGACCTCTGCACTAAGGCTTTATTAATTAGCCTTAAAATGGGAAGTAGAAGAAAATATGCTCAATTATATGAAGGACCAGCACAAAAATTGATGATCGTCTGACAATCTTCTGGAGCTATTACAGTTTAAAAGTATATTAAAGCAGAAAAACTTCTGAAACAGTGGGACTTATTCTGTGATATTACTTTGTAAAATATTTCCAGGTTTTGAAAGGCCAGCCTGATCATTGTGCTATATTTTCAGCTGTTTAGATAGAATCTTCCAATTCTATTAATGGCCTGGTAAAAACTCTAATCTTCTAAAATAAAGATGAGAAATAGAGGCAGACATTTTTTTCCCTTTGTTCTCTACTTCAGTTTCTTTAAATCTATTGCTTTTCCTTGTCAAAAACAAGGAAACAAAACTAGTAGTTTACCTGAGCAGTACACTGTCATAGTTCCAGTTTTTATGTCGTCTGTTATCTTCCTGGAGTTCTAAGAGCAAGCAGGACATAAAAATCCTGTTTTTGTTGCTACATCTTGTGTTTTTTTTCTGCAATCACATTTAGGATTAATAAATGTGTACAATTTTGGGCCTCCAGGTGTATCAGTCAGAAGGCATTAAGACATGTATTTTTCTATAACATTTTTGGCATAATTGTTCATCTGAGATGCCAAGAATAGGAGTAGTACCTTGATTTTGGCTCTGAGGAAATTATATCCATCTGACCTTTTCTTTAATACAGAATATTAATATATATTGCTATGATGTTGCAACATGTAAATAAATTTTAAAAACTGTTAAAAATGTTATCTCCGTTACTGAAGGATGTTTTGGGCATTCATGACCCTACTGCTTTTACAATGCCTTAGCAAATTGCTTTTCGTTTTCTTTTATCTGTTAAATACATTTGATGGTATCCATTTAATGGATAGTGCTACAGGTTGTCCAGCCAAGTTGGGGTAAAAGAGATATATATAATTCAGTTTTGTCCCATATGTCTTCTGAGTATTTATATTAAAAATCATATCCCATCCTTCTAATGCATGGGTACCATTTAGAAAGTGTAACTTCGTTAAAAAAAAAAAAATAAGAGTCTAATCTAAAAGTTAAACAATTAAATAGCTCCAGGATGGATGCAATACTGTAATACTAATATGAGCAGACTACATCACCATGACTCATCAGGTCACCATATTTTGCAGCACAATTTAAAGGAAGCCCAAATTTTGCAGTCTTTAGGGTACTTACATTTCTTTTGGGAAATGGAAAATGCTACCAAGTAAGGAAGTGAAGGAGATGGATTCAGCTACCCTTGTATACAGGATTGTTTCATCCCTTGTATGAATTAGGGCTCCCCCCGCTCCAATACAGTGTTCTTCTCATACAATGCTTTGCCATTCCTTTTTCTTCTAGAGCTTATGTTGAAAAGTATCTACTAGAAAAGTCCAGACTAGTCTATCAGGAACATAATGAGAGGTGAGTAACTAATGAAATAACACATATAAGCTACTGGAACAAATAAAGGAAGATAAATCGAAACAACTATTAGAATTTCAGAGTATAATTATTTCACAGTTATAAACTGTGCATGCCTGCTTTTCACATTTTGGAAGCAATGGTTTTCATCCAAAATATGGAATGACGTACTTATTACTGACTAATTCATGTCCCAGCTTTGAGGGCTTGTTGTTACAATCCTGTTTTTCTCTTCTTGGAAATTAGTAGCTAGTAATAAAGGGTCCCATGAAATTCTTGGGCTCCTAGAACTCCAGAAGTTTCTAAGCAAGGATTGCAGGTTAAGAGCAATGGCTCACATAAACAGTTGTGTTTCTTGCTCAGAAATTACATTGTTCTTCATAATAGATTGCACACCCTTCAATGTGCAAGGAAGTTAGAGGGAAATATGTGCTGCAGTAGTTTATTAACACTCCAGTTTAAATTGTACTTGCTTGTTACCCGGAGACAGGAAAGAGAACAGTGGGTTATTTCCTCCCCATGCCCCCTCCAGCAATTTGTATAAGATGGAAGGTTGTGGGGTTTTTCTTTATTATTATTTTCAGCACATATCTTCCACCGTATTGAAAACTGAAAAATGGCACACCAGCCTCCCCAAAAAGAGATCAGATTTATGAATAATTGTACAAAACTTAACAAGTCAGAAATAAGTAAGATACACATCTGTGTATACATTGTTTAGGAAATAATCTTGGAGCACTTTTTCCTATTTTGGTAGTTTATTGTTACTGCTCTGTTTTTGTTATACAGGAAGTCCTCGACTTACGACCACAATTGAGCCCAAAATTTCTGTTGCTAAGTGAAACATTTGTTAAGTGAATTTTGACCGATTTTACAACCTTTCTTGCCACAATTGTTAAATGAATCACTGCAGTTATTAAGTGATAAATTAATTTTTTCAGTGCCATTGTAACTTCAAGCAGTCACTAAATGAATTGTAAATGGAGGACTACCTGTATATATAATCATATAATTTTGGATTTAGAAAAAGCAAGGACAAGGTAGTACTAGATGTAGGTTTTATACTTGCAGCCATGAGTTCCAGTAATACAAAGTACCCCATGCTGTTGATTAATCACCTTTTTTCCAGTTCCTTCCTGATATGACAGTAATGTGTATATTTCCCACTGTTGTCTATCTGTTGTTACTCATTTTTTACCGTAATACATTTTTACTTGTTATCAGGAACTACCATGTATTTTATTACCTGCTGGCAGGAGCAAGCGAAGAAGAGAAATCTGCTTTTCACCTTAAACAGCCTGATGAGTATCACTACCTTAATCAGGTGGGAATATGGAAGCAGCTTTGTGTACATGTGTGTTACTTTAGAGCAATGGGCTATTCTTGCAATGGTATTTTAAAATTATTGTTCATGTCATCTGCTCAGAAATGATCAGCAACTGATCATTACAATAGAGAACTATTATGAAATAAAAGATATTGGATCATAGGTTTTCAAAAGACTATATAATTTTCCAAGCAACTTTAATATTAACAGCTAATAGATGTTTATTATTTTATTTTCACATGTTTGCACATCTTAAACAACTTGCACGTTTTCCTAATCCTTTTGTTTGGTAGCATGATATTTTAATATATTTACAAATGTCTATTAATCCCAACTGCCTGTAAATAATTGAAATTATGGGGATACTGCATCTTATACTAACATTTCACAACATTTATATAATTTGTTTCCTTGAGTACCCAGGGGTTTTGAATGCAATAAAACTGAGATGGAAGAACAGTTAAGGTGGTAAAATGCTATCCCATTAGAATTACATAACATAATTAAATACTTTTAAGATTGAATCCTAAATTACTTTCCTTCCACTAGTCAAATGGTACAAAACACAGCAGGTTTTTCAGTATAAGATAATGTGAGATCACTAGTAATGATTCCTCTCTGCATTTGTTATTCATTGCTTCAGTAGGAAAACGAGTGTGGAAATCATAAATAGAGCCCTAGATAGCTTAATAGTGACTGAATTATCACTGAAGGAGTGATACAGGTATATTTGAAATTTTAAAAAGTAGAACTTTTAAGTTTTGTTTTGATTTCCTATTTTACAAGCTTCCTGGGATGGATAGCCAGAGAATCTGGCAACCTTGATATCATTAGTTTTACAAAATGAATTGTAATTTTAGGTTTCAGTTTTACCCAAATGACTTCTGTTTGGTCACAATAAGAAATTAACAAGATGGGAATCTTAATTTTAATTCAGATTGTAAAATCATTAAAAATTGCAAATCGTTTTAATATTGGAAATTAATCAGAAAAGTGCTGGTAATTTTGTAGAGTGCATAGAGGGCTCTGCTTGGTCTTGGAGTACGTTATTCAGTTACTTATTTTGCAGAATTTGTACATCACCCCAAGCAGAGACTTGTCTGCCTTTTCACCAGCACTACATTAAAAAGGTTGGAAGATAGTTGATCTGCTTTATGTAATTGTTTGGGCAATGAACAAAATATATAAGATGGAACATTCTTAAGTGATGCAGAAATGCCAACACATTCTACAATATCCTCCAGTTTAATTATAAAATGAAAAGGCTTTTCAGTAGCATATGATAAAATCGTGTGGAGTACACTTTCTCAAAGCAAGGTGAACAGTACAGTAACACAGAGGAACATAGTGACGCATTTCTGCAGTGGGAAATTTGCCTGACATTTAATGCTTACAGACACAGAAGACAAGTAGAAAGAGATTGTTGTGTGGGATTTGGAATGCTACTTACCCAATCTGCCTTGCTTTCAGATGACAAAGAAACCCCCTAAACACAGCTGGGATGACTGTTACTATGACTCTGAGCCGGTCAGTACGAGTCCATCCATCCATCCATCCATCCATCCATCCATCCTGGGTTACTGGTGACAGGCCTTTCCTTGCCTTTCGGCTTTGCTCCAAGATGCAAAGCAAATGCAGAATCAGTTGCTTTTTATTAACAGTTGATGGCCTCAACTGTTAAATAGTTTTCTCTTAAGTAGTTTTCAGGGTCATTTTTCTGTAGTTATCTTTTTAAAAATGGGAAGGTATCGTGCCGTAGGATGGTGCCAATAGAATTGATTATAACATTTTCTCTTGCTTCTGTTTTTTTCAAAATACAGACAAATAAACTTTGCCCAGAATAATTTTTGCAGGATAATATTTGATATAATATATTCTCTACAGCAGGAGTGTCAAACTTGCGCCGTCAGGTGACGTATCGTGACTTTTTTTCCCCCTTTGCTAAACCGGGCGTGCCCAGCGCATGACACATCCAGCCTGCAGGCCATGAGTTTGACAGCCCTGCTTTAGAGAGAAATGCATTGATTTTAAAATCCATGCTACTTCTTGAATCCTATCTGATTTCAGGGACCTGGTTCACCCAAGTTTTGTTTTGTTTTGTTCTTGTTTTAGCAGGATATGTAAATCCATCCATTATGTCCAATCCTTATGAGTAAACCAGGTCACTTTGGCACTATCCTCAGTTAATTGTGGCTTAGAAAACCCTAATTACTAGGTGCATGCAGCTATAGATACATCAGTAGAATAGAGTTCCTTTGTTCAGTAAAATTGATTTAACTTTAGGTCCAGGACTATATTTGATTTTATGTATGCATTAAATCAATTTGTATGACTGTTCATCTCATGATAGTGACTGGATGGTCAACATAGAATTATAACTCAATATTTTTTTAAAAAAAACAATAGTAATAACAGCCTTGGAAAGAACTCCTAGAGGCCTCTCCAAGTTGTAACCAAAGTGTAGTTTGTAAAGTGAAAGGAAAAAATTATTTAAGTAACTGGAGAATAATCATTTTAATTCCATTTGAATTAACTGCTCTGATCTTTTAATATTTTTATAATTCCCATTTTATTTCCAAAAGCATGATTGTTCTAATTGCATGTCAACAATTCTAACTTGTTTACAAATAAGATGTAATGAAATAATGTTTTATTTCATTTTTATTGAGAATATTTTTTTTCCATTTCCATTTTATTGTTTTTAAACTACAAGTACTAGATGACTCAGTAAAATACTTGTTTTTAAATCAGCAGAAGCAAATGGTTGAGGGCAAAGATTTCAATTAGCTCAACTCTGTAGAACTGAGTTGGATTTATTGCGTGAAACTATAGATGTGAAATCATTTTTTCTGCTAGCCTGCCTGATGGTGAATATTGCTCAGTTAAGCAGAGGGCTATCAGAATAGGTCTGTCCTATATTGTTGAAGCTTTTTTCTGGTCCGTCAAACTTGGGGTTCCTGGAAATTAAAATGGCTACCCTTAAAGTATTAATCAGCACAGTGGTAAAAATGCTCTCCTTATCCTTGACCTATTTTGAGTTTTTCTATTAAAATACAAAGTTCTTGTATTTTAATACAAGAACTACAGTCTTGTATTCTAGACTGTAGAACTACAGTCTTGTATTCTAGACTGTAGCGCTCATCTTTTCTCTTTTCTCTATTGATCTAGGACTTAACTGCCAACTTTGCTTTGTATTTTCTTCATGGTTTCTTTTTGCTCTTGGTGACCCCTTTGTTCCTCTTCTCTTCAAGTATCAATTTGATTTACATCCTTACCAGATAAAATAGGGTCTCCTATGCTCAGACTCTCTTTCTAAATAAAAGCTCAGTCTTTTGCAGTCTTCTGCAATAGTCTTAACAAACTGCACCGAACCAAAAAAAATCTGTCCCAGTGTTCATACAGCAACATCACCACATGAATTAAACATGCAGAGTTTAAAAATGCTGTCGTGAGAAACAGCAGAGAATAGAATGAAGCTGTCTTACCTCATGCCCCAGTTAGCTTCATATCTATTAATCTTGAGTAGAAAGGTATAAATAATAGAAATAGACATTTTCCCTGATACTTACATGTTATTTCATTTTTGAAAACGGAATGCAGTGCTAGGGTGGAGGTTGAGTGTTGCATGGACCTCTGAAATAGTTCAGCTTTGTTTTAAAAAACATTTTACAGATTCTTCAAATAACTGTTAGTGTTCAAGCCCACTCTGTTGAATTGGAGGTTATGTAATATAATGTCCACTCTCGAATGAGTAAAAATACTGTAAAGTATGCAGCCTGTAACTCTATAGGTTGAAGCATTGCAGTGATTGATAAGTCCCATGGGGGGGGGGGGAATCTTGCATCATTCACAATGCAGTTGAATGGCAAAGAATATCTAGAGTTTGTCTTCTCCCTTGGTTTTTAACTGCAGAGCACTACAGTTGCTTGTTTTTTAACTGCAGAGCCTATGTATGAACTGTGTTTACTGTTCCATGTAAACAAACGGAACACAGTAATTCTTACAAAGATGGAAGGCACCTAGGAAGACGCCAGAATGTTGCTTCTTTTAGACCTACTCCTCCTTTCAGAAGTGGTCATGTCCCAGCATGTGTTTTTCTTAAAAGTTATCTTAGGAATCCTTCATTCAGCTGGCAATTCCTCCACTACTTATTTATAACTAAATTTGTTTCTCATGTTACATGACATTGTGAAGCGTGGTATGGAGAATGGACTCCAGTACAGTTTGACGATTATTCCGATTCCAAATCTGTTCACCATCCAGTGTTGTACGGATTGAACTTTATATTGTATTGTTAATATTTGTATAACTTTCGGATGCCTGTCCCCATCCCCACCCCCCTAATAATTATTCCTTGTATTGGACTCGATAGGATTGCTTCTCTGTTGAAGGTGAAGACTTGAAGCATGATTTTGAACGTTTGCAGCTAGCTATGGAGATGGTGGGCTTTCTTCCCAAGACCCGCAGGCAGTAAGTTATTTCTCTTTAGAAGGTGATTGTGAATTGACCTTTTAACAGTTATTGTGCCAGACAGACATTGTGTCTGTTAGTAAAAATATGAACCATTTTTACCCTATTAATCATGGATGGCATTTTCTAATTATTCCCATATAACAAATTATGGAAAAGCAGGAAAATCTGTCTTACATATGTATTTATCCAATTTATGAGAATTGATTTATATGTGATTTAGGGAAACATACATATACCACAACACGGCTTAAGTTGAAGATACAAAAACACCAACTTCATTAATATGTAATAACACTGGTGAACTTAATTTAATTTAGTTTCTTTCATTTATTGTTCCTGTTTTGCACTCTTAGAATATTTTCCCTTCTGTCAGCAATACTACACTTGGGTAACATCTGTTACAAGAAGAAAACCTACCGAGATGATTCCATAGATATCTGTAATCCAGAAGTCTTGCCTATTGTCTCAGAGTTACTTGAGGTAAGATACCACATTTGGACATAATAAGCCTTCCACTCCCCCCCCCCTTTCTATATATTCTTCTATTTCCACATAATATATAAAGATAAATGTGAAAGTTAATTGGATTCAGTATTGTTAGTGTATTACCCTGTTTCCCCCAAAATAAGATATCCCTTGATAATAAGCTCAATTGGGCTTTTGAGCGCATGGCAATAAGGCCAAGCGCTTATTTCAGGGTTCAAAAAAATATAAGACAGGGTCTTATTTTTGGGGAAACACGATAGTTTCTGGAGTAAAATAAGTGAGGTTAAATGGTCCTCCATAAAATAATACCTCCAATTTATCCACGTTTACTTAGTAGGACTTTTCACTGATATTATTGAAAGAACTTTGAATAAACAGAAGTTTGCAAAATATATCTCATGTGATGGCCATCTATTTCAGTGTTTAAAGTGCTTGTTGAAAGATAGAAATCTTTCCCCATCATCTGGCATCGGAAGCCAGTTAATTGGTTGATCTTGAACTTACTTTATAGAATTCTTCTTTATCACTAGAGTCCTTTACTACAGATGGCTTATTAAGATATTCGTGGTTTGAGCTAGCTAAAAATCTCTTTGCTGTAAAATATGCAATCATTTAAAGTATCGTGTGTTCATAGTTGCCTTTTTGAAAACGAACTCAAGGTCAGAGGTTCACAAAATCTTCTAATCTGAGCCATCTTGAAACTGGAACAAAACTGCAATAATGAGAGGCAGGCCAAGGATTCCTTGAGATGGTATTTTGCATTTTATTTTACTAGCCAGAGAGTGTTGTAGGAAAGCAATGTTTAATAAATGCTGCCTTTTTTACAGATACTGTGTTAGAGGAATGTGAATCTCTGTCCAACTGGAATGAAATCCTTTCAGTGAATCATAACTCACAAGGGAGTTTAACCTCTCCAAATATACAGTCTGCTCAATATTTTCTGCCACAGATCTTAAGTGTATTTTTTCTACATGCCAGTAGTTTCATAGCAAGAGACGGCTGCCTTTTCTGTTTTGGGGTGTCCCACCAACCCGAAACTTTGTGTCTTTGCCTTTTGAGGAGCAAAGTTGCTCTGGTGGGTCTGATGGGTGCCACTTAGCATTACTGACCCCTCCATTGTAGCCCTGGTGTTATCTCTAGAACTGCTGTTGCTTTATTTGTGGCACTACCATTTTTTCTGCTGTCCATCAGTTAGCTCTCTGCCGCCATCAGTCCCTCCCAAGAAGAGGATATTTATTGTTAGACATGGTTTTATGTGAGAGCGTGTGGAAAGCACACCATACTGTTTCTTCCTCTAGTCTCACGTAAGATGATGTGTCATTTTAAAATTCATGAAGGTCCTTAGCATCATTGATTTTAAAAAAAGCTCCTTTTAACACACAGAGTAGCATTCATGAATAACTATAGAACACATTATTTTTTGTAAAGGCCTTCTGTGGATCTGTGGTAGTGAAAATGTGCCTCAAATTCCTTATAGAAAGGTTACTTGGTTTATTTTCAAAGCTTGAACCCTACGATGAGTCTAAAATCATGACTTTCTTTTAGGTGAAAGAAGAAATGTTGCTTGAAGCGCTGATTACAAGAAAAACAGTGACTGTAGGAGAAAAGCTTGTATTACCATACAAACTGGCAGAGGTACGTGTAGCAGTCATCCGAAATGTGGAAAATTACATGAGATCATTTTTTTTTAGAAATGCCTGAATATTCTTGCAGGAAAAGATTGATAAACAGCCCATTAGATAGCCAAGCCCTCGACCTCATTAAATCTGAATATTTAAATCATGTGATTAATCTGTATTTCATTTTGCAGTGTTCAAGATTGGCCTTCAATTGAACATGCCTTAAGTTCAACGTGCTAATTTTCCTCTAGTATATTGATGAGTCATGTCAGTCATCGCATAAAGTCAACCTCTTTTAATAACATCTCATCATCAGAAATAAAACAGTACAGTCATGTTAATTAAATCATCATGTGACATTCTGCCACATAATTTGATACTGTAATACAAACGGCATTTAATTTTTGTGAGCTGAAAGATGTAATAAAAATAGGCAAATAAACCTTTGATTGAACCGGATGGAGTTAACGGTTGAACGAGAAGCAAACAACAAAGCAATGCTTTATTTTCCCTGCTTTAATCGCTGCCTCCTGCTTGTGTCTTTTTTCATGGTTCTGAAACACATGTTCTGCTTGATATTGCTGGAATTGTAGCTCAGCAACATCTGGTAGGTCATGGATTCCTTGTTCTTGGTGCACGATGCTTATGCTGAGTTTTTGTAAATTGCTCAGAGCTTATGGAAATTGAGTGGCATAGACATTTTAGTAAATAAATAACACTATCAGAGAACCTAACAATATTGCAGGTCTTTTAGTTAGTTCATATTTTGTGTACGAATTTTAACTCTATTGGATAAGTCATGCATCCAGATCTACACCGGTTAACAGCTCTTATCCTGAGATGTTCCAGGCAAGCTTCCAGGAAGACATTTTTCTGATATTGATTGGTTGGTACAATAGGGAATAGTCTCCCTAAACTGCCTTTGTGATGACATAAGTCATTGCTTTAGAATTTATAAAATATGTCCTGCCTTTTCTGTTTCCTAGCTCAGGGATGAATGGTATGCATCTCCTCCCAGCCCCAGCCAATAGGCCCAGAAGTGAAAGATTTTGCTTTTCAAAAACATTTAGGGAGTTGCATTCTACCTGTGGCCGCACTGTATGTTTTAACATTCATTCAGGTGACTTAGTGTTCTACAACATGCAGTCATTCTGGAATTTATCAAACCAGTGAATGTGCTAAATAAGAATATGTACTTTTCCTAGCAGATGGGACTTCATGAACAGTTGCATAGATGGGCTGTTCTTGACCAAAGATGGACTTCTGGAATGAAGATCTGGTTGTTACAAAAGGCGCTATGATACAATGCTCTCCTTGAAATAAGACCCGAGCGGGAGAATTGAATCAGAAAAAATATAAAATACTATACAGACTCGTCTTCTAAGATTAAAAGATGTTCCTGTCTGCACAGAAGCAAATGGTTTTGCAAATAGCTATATTAATATACAGAACTGTATTAAGGCATATTTGAGGTTGAAAAATGGTCACGATTCTTGTATGAGTCACTCTGCAGTGGTTTCTTCATGTAGTGGACTTGGCCACTTACATTAGCAGCACATGTAAGAAATGAATCAGTGTAGGAAACAGAAGAAGTGTCTGAGAAGAAGAAACTGGAGGGAAGAGAAGATAATATGGCAGCCATCTATTCCTTTTTTGAAAAAAAAAGTTCATATTTTTAAGTGTTCATTCAACAGTACAGCTAAACCACTCTGTTAAGTTAAGGTCGGTTTTAGTTGCCTACATATTTTCTGCAAGCTACAGGAAAACATGACATTTCTGGCAGCTACAAGAAAATAAAATGGATAGAAAGCACCACATTCCAATAACCGGCAGAGCCAAGTTATAGAAAATTATTCTCTAGATTTGCAAAGGTTCTGTTCCTGTTTTTATTTCCTTGCCTGTCAATATAGTTGTGTGGGTTTAAGTATGATTGATGGAGAACAGGTTGTTCTAGCTTCAGGAATTCAAAACGTGAGGCTGGCTCCTCAAAAGGAAATGCAGGCAATAGCTAAGATAGCTACTAAGTGATTTTTGACACATTTGGCTTTTTTTTTTTTTAAAGTGGAAGGATGTTTATAGCAAAGCAGATGCAGAGAAATGAAGGCAATTCTAGGTGTGGATTTTTATAGTATGTGTAGTCCTAAAGACTTTCTGTGTGATTTGTTTAGCTCATTGCTGTTCAAGAAGCTACTTTTGCCGCCATTCCGTAGCTTCCTTCATTGAGCACAGTGACCGTTAAGAGTGCACACTCAGAGGAACTGGGCCTTCATGTAGGACTGGGATGGCAAACCTATGGCACACATGCCGGAAGTGGCATGCAGAGCCATCTCTCCAGGCACACAACCTGTCACCCGTTGTTCTTCTGGGTTCCAGCGTGCCAGCCAGCTGGTCTTCATGCACATGGGAGCACCGGAAACAGGAAGAGCAGCCGTTCAGCACTCATGCACATGCCAGGAACATGATCTTCAGGTTTCCAGTATGCACACGCGCACTGGCCACCTGGTCTTCCGGTTTCTGGTGTACATGCAAAGATCATCTTCCCAGCACACACATGTGCATCTGGCGGCTGCTCTTCTACTTTCTGGCATGCACGCGTGCTCCCCTTTCAGCACTTGGTGCTGAAAAGGTTCGCCAACACTAATGTAGGACATTTAAAAAGATTTCTCTATTGGTGCAAAAACCTTGAATTGATCACATTGTAGTGTATTTTTAGCTGCTTGGAATCACTTTGTTTCAGATAGATTGAAGGTTGTATTCTCTATCACAGCTTAGGCAGCATCCATCAGAGGCAACATTTATATTGTCTGTAATCACAATGAGAACTCAGTTCTGAAATCTGCTATTGTTAAAATGAGAGATACTTGAGCCAGAAAACAGGAAACAATGAGGAAAGAGAAGGCACAGATTTCACCTTTTCTTCTGTAACATCGAAACTAATTTTTTTATAATAATATCCACCTACCTTCTATCTTTCTCCCACCTGAATGTGTTGGTTCCACTTCAGAGATACTGTGTTGTGTTGAAATATCATTCAAGCATAAAGTGAAACTGTATGAGCTTGCAGCAATATACATGCCTAGTCATAGAACAGGGAGGCTGTTGAAAATTTTGAAGAAGAAAAATTAAGAGCTGCGGTGGCGCAGTGGTTAGAGTGCAGTACTGCAGGCTACTTCTGCAGATCACCAGCTGCCAGCAGTTTGGCAGTTCAAATCTCACCAGGCTCAAGGTTGACTCAGCCTTCCATCCTTCCGAGGTCAGTAAAATGAGGAGCCAGATTGTTGGGGGCAATAGGCTGACTTTCTAAACCGCTTAGAGAGGGCTGTGAAGCGGTATATAAGTCTTAAGTGCTTATAATTAGTATTTGGCTTGACTGCCAATGATTTCTTTTGATTTCCTAGGCTATAACAGTACGGAATTCCATGGCCAAATCATTGTACAGCGCACTGTTTGATTGGATCGTTTTTAGAATTAACCATGCACTTTTGAATACCAAGGACTTAGAAGAAAGCACCAAGGTATGTCTTTTTCAAGAAGGTTCTATCTATCATTGACTCAGCTGACTTAGGTTTGAGGCTGGTAGATTATACTATCTCAGAGAAGCAGCATTTTTAGAGAACCAAAGGTCCCTATGAGCATTTTCCCTTAAAATATAAAACAGAAACAATCACACGTAAGCCCACTTACCTTTTGGAGAGGTTAAATGACTTGACGGCCAAAAGTTAATGTTGCAAGTAAACCAGAGACTAAATTGCAAATTGTTTATAATATGTAAGTTGCTTCTTCTTCTTAAAATGAAGCAGCTTACAAGTTAAAAATTACTCTTAACAATTGAATTGCCATCCACTCCAGGGCAAAATCTCACAGAAATAGGGCTAACTGTTGATACAGGAAGCAAAATGTCTCTATAGAACAGTGGTGGGGAGCGATAGTGCATTTATGACTTGTGGATTTCAACTCCCAGAATTCTTGAGTCAGCCATGCTGGCTCAAGAATTCTGAGAGTTGAAGTCCACAAGTTATAAAAGGGTCATCGTTCCCCAACTCTGCCATAGAGGATCCTTATTAGGCATTGTTTTCATGAATACCCCATGCGATAGAAAGCTGGATGAGATCTCTCCTCACTGTCCACTTGGGGCAACTGTCTGATAATATACTATATATTCTAGAAGAATTTCACACACTGGTTTTTGTATCTACACACAACTTTTACAGCATTAGATGCGTTGATGTCCTTGAGGGAAGGAAAATACTGCTTTACATACAGAAGCCTGTTCTGATACAAAGCCACCAATCCAGCCCAGTCTCTTCCTGGGCTAAATAATGTAGATTACTTTGTGCCTCAGTGATTACTGTTTGCTGAGCATGGCTTGAATTATTGCAGTGTATTCTGCAGTGTACTCAATTTGAATTATTGCATAGGATTAATTCCTCCATTTTCTCCAGTTTTATTTGAAAGATTACAGTAATTATTCTCAAATGTCGTAAGACCGTAAGCTCACAATGTTCTTTCACCGTTCAATGTTTAATGTGGAGTTTTTCTGCCTATATCAATCCAGTTGGGGTTATGCACTTAATGCTCCCTGAGCAGATAACTATAATGTTCAGCTCAAGTTTAGGACAGATCATTGTTCAGACTTAATATAAAACTTGCATATATAATGCTGATGAACTTACATGCCACAGAAACCCTGCTGCTTTGCGGAGTAAATTCTATATAGCATGTGCTGGTTTAATTTTCTTCTTATAGAAGCTTTTATTGCATAGCAAAACATTTAGTTTTTTTCCCTCCTCCCACCCAGTTGCTTTTCTCTTTTTAAAAACTTTAATAAAATCTGTGGCACAAAATTACCAGTATATTTTTTTTTTACTCTACTATATCTACATTTTTTTTACATTAAAAGCTTACATGCAGATTATAAGAACTATAACCTTTTAATGTTGTCTAATTCATATATATTCTTTTGTGCCAGTGTATATGCTTGCACCTTTATAAGTCAGACAAGTCCACTTTTTAAAAAGCTTATCTCTTTCTACAGCTGAATACATGGACATGTGCAAAAACATTCTAAATTAATTTGTTGTTGTTTTAACCAATTAATTGTGCCTGACTCTTGGCAATTTTATAGGCAGCAGCTCTTCATGCTAATTAATTACTCAGAAAATAAATCTAAAGAATTTTGTTTCATTCCAAAACACTTTTTCCTTAAATCATATAGAAATAGCAAAGAGCTCAGCCTTAAAACCTGGAAATGTGTTTATTTGAGAATTAAATAACAAAAGTTAAAAGCTTTTGATCATCATAGTCGTGTATGGTTTTTGTTCTCAGTACAAGTCCTAAATTAGCTTCTCTTGGAAAATGTCTATGGCATTGATCATTTTATTTAAATTTTACTCTGGGTGAAAATAGCTCCTGTGATTAGTAAGGCCTCCATCTATTAGCTATTAACCATCTATCTAGTAAAGTATGCTTCCTGGTAATTGCAGTTTCTCTTGAGAAGTAAGTTAAAAGGCATAATGCCAGAAATAGTATGGGGAGAGGGAGAGGTCTGGTAATTAGTGATATATTTTAGTCAGAACTGCACTTTCTTTCAAGATCAGTTAAAGTGCATTGTCTACAGTGGTGAGGTTCAAAGAATGGCATAGGGCTACTGTGTGATCGATGGAAGGTTTGGGTTGGAGTTTTTGACCTTTTCCAACTAACGGAGGCACTGACTTAATGGTTGCAAATGCCATAGCAACCTTATTGTTAGATGACCCAGGAAGTTCAAGTATTAAATGCAGTATATCTGTTCTTTCTTTCTTTCTTTCTTTCTTTCTTTCTTTCTTTCTTTCTTTCTTTCTTTTTGTCTTGCAGACTTTGTCCATTGGAGTACTTGATATTTTTGGTTTTGAAGATTATGAAAGTAATAGCTTTGAACAATTTTGCATTAATTTTGCAAATGAACGTTTACAGCACTATTTTAACCAACATATCTTTAAACTGGAGCAAGTAAGCCTGAAAAAAACTATTACTTTTTTATGATTGTTCCCGTAATGTAACTTAACTATATTCCCCTTCCTTTTACTGTAACAACTTGAACCTCAAGACGATACAGTCATTTGGTCTCAACGTTCCTAGTGCTTTTTCCTTTTTCAATAGCTCTTCTTCTCGGTTAGGATCAGACCTAGGAGATCCTATATCTTTTGTTTCTTCAGCCCTTTGGAAAATGAAACAGTCAGCAAGACCACTGAGGGACATGTGGGGCCTTGCATTCTTGGGCAACTTAGTTTTCCAAAGATGCCCACATAATTAAATGTCTCCCATTATATGAAGGAATGTTGGGTTGACTCAGAGAAGAAGGAGGAGAACGCCAAGCCAATAGAGAAAGGATCTTCCTGAGAAAAAAAGAAACAGTGAGAAAAAGATTTAAAACAGACCTATCTTGATTGTGTTAGATTGTGCTTGAAGTAAGAGGGACTGTGATAGGCTTTCAGGATTATATTATAATAGCCCAATTGCATTAAATTACATTCCAAGATTCCTATTTCCTGGCTACCTTGAAATGGGAATACATTATTATTATGTCTCTCCTCCCAGAAATTCCTATAACCGGGCCAAGAAAGTATTTTCCACATCTTCTGCTTGGCTTCAAAGTCAATAGCACATGCCACAGTCATATCATTGAATGGCCTTCAAATATAGGCCTGCTCAGTCTTAAAAGCACATGACCCGATTTTTCCCTGCATAGAATATGGACGGGCAACTTGAAATCCAAAGATCACATGGTTACATTTGGAACAGCCAAGGGCTTCCCATTGGCAAGTTTTTCCACATGATGAGCTACCCAATGAGAGATGGATTAATGCCAGGGTGTCCAACTTCACCAACTTTAAGTCTCATAGACTTCAACTCCCAGAATTCCCCAGCCAGCAGTTGAAGTTCACCGGTCTTAAAATTGTCAAACTGGACACATGGACAATTGAGTCTATTGACTAAATTACGATGTTAGTCAACTAATAGCAGCAATTAACCTATAGTCTGTAGTTATATAGAAATATGGGTCAGACAATGAAAGGGTACATATGAAGGTACATGAATACATGAGGAGGGCTTCCATACCAGATCCGAATTTATGTGACCTGGGGGTTCAAAAGGTCTGTGACTAGTTTCTTTACAGTTCCTTGGATTTTAGATTTCATTTGTTTTTCCCCCAAACACCAGGAGGAATACAGACTGGAAGGCATCAGCTGGCATAACATAGACTATATCGACAACTCTGGCTGTATAAACCTCATCAGTAAAAAGCCCACAGGGTTGCTCCATCTACTGGATGAAGAAAGCAAGTGAGTCTGCTCCCTCCCAGCTTTGTAGTTATCAGATGTTGGAAGTGAGTAACAGCATAAAAGGAGAAAATAAAATAAGAAACCTTCACAGGTTTGAAAGGTATCTCTATGGTAAGACAGGCAGATTCATATGACCAGACTAATCTTATGGTGTGAGAGCAGGATCGTTTGTTTACCTTTATAGGACAGTTCAGAGCTACGACAACACATTTTAACGTGAATTGTTTCATCTCTGGGTACCGGCTTACTATAACAAGTATGTTATAACTTGTTGAGCTGGATTTTTCCAACTACATATAATTGCCAAGATGAAATAGACATGGCACTTCCTACACCAACTCAAAATACTTAGCATCCAAGGATTGGCCTTACTATGTTTGTGCTGGAGATTTTTTAAAAATGCCATAAAACAACATAAATTCAGTAATTAAATAAGTAGCAATTCACTGTTCCTTCGTGAAACTTAAACATCATTTGACTCTTTCCTTGATAGAACCAAAGATGAAACTAATGGAGATTTTCCCCAGCACCACCATGTCACATTATAAAGATGCCTGAATAACACAGCTGGCTGGAGTGGGACATTTATGAGGTTATGGGTATAGACTAGTATTTCTCACCCTTGGCTACTTTAAAACATTGACTGGAGAATTCTGGGAAATGAAGTCCACACATCTTAAAATTGCCAAGATTGAGAAACACTGGTGAGGACTAGTGGGAAATGAGCCCCTCCCCCTCCCCCCGGAAAATACTGAGTTAAAAATCAATAAGTTGCAATTGTAAAAAAAAAAACACTGGTGAGGACTAGTGGGAAATGAGCCCCTCCCCCTCCCCCCGGAAAAATACTGAGTTAAAAATCAATAAGTTGCAATTGTAAAAAAAAAAATAGTTTGAATAAATGCATTCTTTTTTTACTTGCTAGCAGTGAGAGGCCTCAGGGATTTTTTTTTCTTTATAATAAAATTGTGTTCAATTTATACAAATGTCTACAAAGTTGGCACCAAATATTAGAAGACCACTTGTGTAGTCGCTGAAGTGATATTATCTTGGAATCATGTTCTTGTTTTTTCATGGAAAATTATATTCCCTAGTTAGATTTGGGAATAAAATTAGTTTAATTCATGAAGACATGTTACGCTCTATAAAAAAATATTATTTAGTGTAGTGTTGTAAATAACATTTTTTCAAAATACTAATAAATTTAAGACCAGAATAGAGTATCTGAAATTTGAACTTTCAGATGAATATGCCCCTTTTTATGACAGCTTGGTTATGTATCAGCAAAAACATTAATGTTCTTCTTTTATTTTAGTTTTCCACAAGCAACCAATCAGACGTTACTAGACAAGTTTAAGCGTCAGCATGAAGGGAATCTCTACATAGAATTTCCTGCTGTAATGGAACCTGCTTTTATCATAAAACACTATGCCGGGAAAGTTAAATATGGTGTGAAGGTCTGTAACTTCATCTCTGCTAACAATTTATTTTAAAATATATGTATATTAATTCCCTTGATTAATACATGAAATGTATAAAATACACTTTATTCAATATCACTCGTCTTTCTGCTACTTCAGTATTTCTCAACCTTGGTCCTTTTAAGTCAAGAAATGAGGGCTTCAACTCCCAGAATTCTCCAGCTGGGAGTCGAAATACAGACATACTAAAGTGACTGAGATTGAGAAACACTGTCCTACTTTATTTCCTGTTTAACACTATATTTGATTGCTTGTCCTTATTTTATTGGTTTGAATGAGACTCGGGTGAAATCCAGGAGGTTCTGACAGGTTCTGGAGAACCGGTAGCGGAAATTTTGAGTAGTTCGGAGAACCGGCAAATACCACCTCTGGCTGGCCCCAGTGTGGGGTGGGAATGGAGATTTTGTAATATCCTTCCCCTGGAATGGGGAGGGAATGGGGATTTTGCAGGATCCTTCCCCTGCCACGCCCACTAAGCTACGCCCACAGAACTGGTAGTAAAAAAAAATTGAATTTCACCATTGACGAGACTGGGAAGAATGGGAAGATATGGCTAGAAAATCTAGGATCTTAGTTGAACCTATCTGCAGTAGCAAGAGCACACCTCCTTCTTCCAATCTGGAGATGGCAGAATCTGAATCTTTTTCCTGCAAAGCTTGTATTTGACCACCGCACTAATTATCCTCAGAAAACAATTATAAGAATTGGTTGAAGACACAGGAGTTTGATAGTGACATACCGAGAGAATACTACTGATCTTGAATGAGTTTAGATCTCAAGAGTCACCATTTAAGGAAAGTGATGGTCTCCTTCATTTTCGTTATTTATTTATTAAATTTACATGTTGCCCCTTTTGCGTTTCGAGGCCACTCTTCATTGGGTATGTCCAAGCAGAGGATGAAGAGGTATCTGTTGGGAAGCTTTAAAAGCAGATTTCAGGATAAAGTAGACAATTTAATTCAGTGACCCGAATTACCTCTTCCAATTCTAAGTGTTAAAAAAAAATCAGGCAAGATCAAACCAGCTTACTATTTGAACAATTCCGATGAGGAGACTTGTGGGACATTCCAAGATAGTATGATAGACTAAGAAATTTTTTTTAAAAGTTCTGAAAATACTATTTAAAGGAAAGACCATGCTAAGCTCTGCTTCTCTTCTTTCTCATCAGGACTTCCGGGAGAAAAATACAGATCATATGCGACCTGACATTGTTGCCCTCCTTAGGAGCAGCAAGAGTGCCTTTATCTGTGGAATGATAGGGATTGATCCCGTTTCGGTGTTTCGCTGGGCTGTCCTCAGAGCGTTCTTCAGAGCTGTGGTTGCCTTTAGAGCTGCTGGGCAGAAGTACATTGAGAAGAAAACTGGTACGTGTCAAACAAGATGGGCGGCGTATAAATTGAATAAATAAACATTGTACTCTGCTCTCAAAAGTGGCTATCCCTCTTGGATTCTTTATAGATGCTGCATTTTTTTTAACAGCTTTTGTTTTCCAGTCTGCCTCTTTAAGAAATAGCCAAAAGAATCTTTAAAATATATGTTAAAAAGATTCCAAAGATTTTGGCATAAGAAAAAGAAAAAAACGTGTTATAAAGTATAAAAATTTAAGATCGTAAATATTCAGGGTGATTTTTTGAGTGTCGTTTTTGTTTTTGTTGGCAGTACAATGTGCAGAGGCTTGTTTTAAGCTCTTGAATAGTGATGTGTTAGATTTAATCCATTAGGGTGTTAGTTGGCTTGAATTGGTTGTTTATTTATTACTATTAGAAGAGCCAATTGTTTGTTTTGTTTCTACCCATTATTTGTTTACTGTTTCCTAGAAAGTTTGCTGGCTACTGTGAACTTGAGTATAGCTATATCCTTTCTCAAGCTTTCTAGAAAACTCCATTTGTACTCTTTAAAAAGCCAATTTGTAGCCCCAAATAGACAGTTTTTTTGATTAGATGAATGCTGGTGAGAAAGTTAATTTTGTCAATAATTTAGGATGGTTTCCTTAAGGTTCAAATAGTATTTTCTGCTATGGAAGCAAATTGGTAAGCAATGGTTTTTTTTTTTTTTTCCAAAGTTGAAATCTAGTTTGAAACAAATGTATTTGTTTTAAAAATTGGCATTTGGAGAGGATCACACAGGATGCACAGAACTCCCTTTGCGTTATACGGTTAGAATATGTAAACATTTACACAAAAGAGAATGTTTCAAATAAATCTTTGGCATTTCCATAAACTTCATAGAATACAAATTTTGCGAGTATGCTTATAAATGTATGTAATAAAGTCTAGCAGCTGTTAGTTTAGAAACAGAGTAAATAGTTCTTGCATGAACATCTGGGGCTCTTTTTAATAAGTTTCAGTTCTTGCAAGGATGTATTGTTTGCCAGTCATGTTTAAGAAACCATTGTTCCAGAAAAGCTTTGTGGCAGAGGGATCTGGGGGCTCAAAAATCAAGAATAAGAGCTTTGCTCTACTTTCACATCTGGATAAATCCATGTGCACTTTCTCTTTCTAAATATATACAGGAAATGTAGCTTTTTTGTTGTGAGGATTTGTTGGGAAATTGAAACTGACCCAAATTTCTTGGTGTGGGTCCAAGTAGTAACACTTGAGTTTCTTCCTTACAAGTAATGGCATTCATGTTTTGTAGCTGTGTTCTCTTAACAAGAATTGTGGTAAGAAAAATGCCATATGAGAAACAAAACCTGATTCTCAGGAGTTTCAAGAGTTGGCCCAGATCTCCCATCTCTGTCTCTCATTAGTAGAAAGTACTAATGATTCCCCAGCCAATTAATTCCAAATTCTTATTTTTGACATGAGTTCAGAGGATGGTGCCTTCATCTGTTGCTAATGGATACAGATATTTCAGCATAAGTTGCAAGGATTTGCTTTGAAGCCATACAGAATCAATCAGTGTTTCTGCAGGTTTAGCAAGGCAAATTCCTTGCTAAATATTGTATGCCACAAAGTTATTTTCTTCCTCCATTTTGTTTTTTGTTTTTCTTATTTTCACATGCACCAAACAAAGGGATGTAAAGTAGCAAAAAAGGATATAAGTTTTATGGTAGACATTTTTCCTTTCTCTCTTATGTTTTATTTATTTATTTTTTTTGACACTGGTTACAATAAAGTTTGTTCCAATTTTATCTAATGATGCAATACAGGGAAATAGACCTGTTTAGATTCAGAGTTCCAGTGGATAGATACTCTGTTATTACATAAGGAAAAAAATACTGGATGTGCTCTTTAAAATGTGAATTGTCACTTACTAATTATTGTCTTGAGCACAAAAGAACTTGGCAGTTATGCTCCTCTCCTGTGGTTTTCTTATGCTAAAAACTTCTTTTTTTAATCTTTATATATAAACTCTAATACCAAAATATATATTGATGAAAGTGGCTTTAGGAAAGAAAAATAATTTTAGAAAGGAGATAGTTATCAATACAGAAGAGGCAAAGAATTCTTTTTTTTTTCCTAATGCTTTCCTTGCCTGCTACTTTTCCTTTGAAAGTTCTCTTCCTTCTAGAATCCATATGTTTGATATCGGATTTGTAAGTGGATGTTCTATAAACGTGTTATCGAAATGTAAAGGAATTGTTAACGATGTGCATGCATCTTCTCCGTTAAAAAATAGCCCTTCTGCAGGGTTTTTCCTCCTAGGAACCAGCAGCTCTTTAAATAGATGGTTTTGTATACAGCGTATATACTTATATATATATATCATTGCCCATGTACGGAAATGTTAAGATCGGTGCATAATGTTTGATAGTATCTCACTCCCATCTACTATTTAAAGAAATTGAAGGCCTTGGCTTACAACCATTTGTTTAGTGATCGTTTGAAGTTACAACGGTTCTGAAAAAAGCCTCTGATTTATGACTGGTTTTCTCAGGAACATTCCAGCATCCCCATGGCCACGTGATTAAAATTCGGGCACTTGGCAATTGGCATCTATTAATTGAGAATTACGTGTATTTTACAGTCCAAGTCTGGTTACTGATAGAAGTTATGTGAATAAGTAAAATTAAATCTGTTTATCAAGTTTATCTGAGGGGTCTAAGCACAGTTGAGATAACTTGATTTCAGTTCTTGCCTCTGGCCTTCCAATATGAACAGTCTATATGCTGTTTTTACTGTACATTTCTCCCCTTCGTCCTCCTTCTGGTTTAAGATTGTGTGAATTGAAAAGCCTCAAGGCTTTTTTGAATTCTCCTCTAAAATCTACCTAAGGTAATTCAGACCACAGATGGGAAGTATCTCATGCCCATGTCTGGTTTTCATATTATTCTTGTTGCTGTTCAATGTGCAGTTGTGAAAACAGATTTGGGTTGAAATGTTAATATTCATTTGCAATGCTGCTTCCGAAGTACTTGTGTCCTTATAGTAGCCTTTTTCTATATGTGCATTTGTGGTCAAATCTGAGAATATAGAATCAGTCATACGTTATTGTCAGCAATGTGCGTAATCCACTGAATTTGTAAATAATAATATATATATTATATTGGCAGGTTGTGCCTTGATAGCTAAAGGTAATTTTTTCCACATTTTATTAAACTTTCAGTGAGAAACAATCCATGAAAATCTAATGATAATTTCTCAAATAAGAGAGTCAAATTCCAAGATGAATGTCAGATGATCAATTCCATAATCACCAACTTTCAAGATTTATAATTATATATTTTTTTTAAAAAAATCACCGGTTTGGACATGATTAGCACTCCTGGGGTGTCTCTGATCTAGAATCATCTTCTTTTTAAATCTTTTGTCTTCAGCGTTTTGTCAGTATCATGCTACCAACTATTGTCTTTGGAATTTGGTTTGTCTTTCTCTTCTGCGCTGTTTTTGTGCTGCTCCACTGTTTCTGCCAGTACAGATCTATTCCATTACAAAGACACAACAGCTGAATTTATGTCCACGCTACACCATAAATGGCTGTTTCTGGCTTCATTGGGTTTTGTATTCTACCCATTATAGTTTGTCACTTCAAGTGATGTGTGAATCTGGCTAGTAATTTAACCAAGAAAAAGAAAACTGTTGGAATTTGTGCCATCAGTTGCCATGTCCAAATGGTATTAATTAAAGAGGGATATCTTGAAATACATAATCTCTCAAACATACAGGACAAATTTACAATAATTGTGTCAGAAAGAGCCAGTTTGGTGTAGTGGTTAAAAATACACGGCTAGAAACCATCTCTTGAGTACTAGTCCTGCCTTAGGCACAAAACCAGCTGGGTGACTTTGGGCTAGTGCTAGTCTCTCTGTCTCAGCCCCTAGAAGTGGGTAGCAATGGCAAACCAATTCCAAAAACGTTGCCAAGAAAACTATGGGGTAGTCAGGGCAGACTCAAGGCAGACTCAACCCATATCTAGCTTTGTAGAGTTCAAGATAGCCAACATAAATGCCTTCAAAGCTCATAACAGGCACAGCACCTACACTGTTGGAACCCTTTCTGCTTTGCTCCTTAGATATGCGAGAATTATATACTTCCATTTGAAAAGCTAGTCTTCTATTAGCTGTACTGGAGGAATTTCAGTCTTTTGTTTCCCTGGCTACTGTTTGGTCTACTTTTCCCAGCCTGCATTGGCTCTTCTTTTCAGTCCTATCTGAAGGATTTCTTGCAGATAAGGCACACGGCTTAAATTGGTCTAACATTTTATGTCTCTGTTGCAAAATTTGACCTTTCCAGTACAGAATTATAAGCTCATTGAATATGATTCTTGCAAGTCAAGAATGAGCAGACTAATCTGGAATTGGAAGTTTGTGGCTTTGTGGCTAAAAGTTCCATGCGTTAAGGAGCACTGCGGAAATGCATAATTGGTTTTGATCACCAGAAATGGATGCATTTATATCTGAGCTAATCAAGCATCAGGATATATGATATACACATATTTGATTAAAACGGTAGGGATATTAAGTTTGAACAAAATGCACGTTATAATCTGCAGCACTTTCAGTGTTGTTTGTTGTTTATGAAAACTGCCTAGGCCAGGGGTCTCCAAACATGGCAGGAATATTCTGGGAGTTGAAGTCCACAAGTCTTAAAGCTGCCAAGTTTGAAGACCTCTGGCCTAGGCCATTCCAGCTACCTTTTCTGCACTTAAATTATGAAAGATTCTAGGGCGGGGTTGTCCATCCTTGACAACTTTAAGACTTGTGGACTTTTAACTCCCAGAACTCACAGGCCTTAAAGTTGCCAAGGTTGGACACCCCTTGTCTAGGGTTTACTTTACATTTCTTCAATAAATAACACACCTTGTCCATTCACCAGAACTCCTTGAAGCAGTGAACGGGCAAAATGGGGCCCTGAGTTTTGAAACACTCCTCGTCAGTCAGGCAATTGTCCGCGCTTGTTCTTGACTCTTCCTTGGTTTTCTGCTTATGTAATCTTTCTCTTTTCTCCATGTTTTTGTTTTGCTTCCCGAAGGGCATGATGATGCTGTTTTGAAAAATGTGGATAGTTTTAGCTTTCTCCATCACCCAGTTCATCAGAGGAGCTTAGAGATTCTACAGAGATGCAAGGAGGAGAAGTACAGTAAGGCGCCATATACCACCATCTCTCTGACATGACACTCACACGCAGCAGGAAATGGAAACCAGGAGCAGGCTGTGTTAGCCAGGGTGGGCAGCCATGCTCAGAACGACCTAACACAGCAGACCTTAAACAGTGTGAAACGATAAACCAGAGAGCATTTATTTGGAAGGTAGTTTTAGATTCAAGGATTTTCTAGGCAAGGTGAACGTTAGAGATTAGCTGTCGATGCCCTGAACCATACCTTAATCGCAAACCCATCCACAGCATTTGAACCATATGGTCAAAGTAACAATTGATGATTTCCCAGAGTTCCCGGAGATTGGCTCAAAATTCTTCTGCAGCAGCGGCCTTTAGAGTAAACGAAGGAGATGCTGAAGGAAGAATTTGCTGAAAAGCATTAAATCTTTATATATATATATATATATATATATATATATATATATCCAGAATCTTATAGCAGACTCTGACCATATTTTCATTCCCTTTTTTCTCCCCTTTTATACAATAACATTTACCTAGGATTTAACGGCTTTAGTGCAGCTTACGTGAAACCGGTAAGCTGTCAGAGAACTCCTTTCATTCTAGAGAATGGCAAAGATGCCCTTGGTCTCCATTTCCTTCTCCTCACTTCTGTTTGTTACATAATGAACTAGTCCTGCATGAAAACCAGGCCCCCCTTGCCTTTGTTACTAATGACAGCTGGATTCCTGTTGTGGGAGGAGAAGGGGTCCAGCAGCATGAAACATAACCCCCTCTGCCATAAAGAGCAGCGCATGGTGTTTCAGTGTAACAGCTACATTGAGAGCCCGCCGAAGGGTACCATGATGCTAACTTGCTCATTAAACAGCTTTGCATACGCCATGGCGAGATGACTTCATTTGAATGACCATATGCCTCATCGCTGCTCTTCAGAAAGGGGCAGCTGGATTTTATATCCAAAGTGTGCCTGACTCTTCCTGTAGGAACAAATGCAGATATTTTTTGGGGTCAACAATTCAACAAATTGTCCCAGGAAGCCTGTTATTGCTTCCCTTCTTTGAGTAAACAGGTTTGTAGCAAATGACATATCGCTGCTTATATATGAATAAAGAAAATGCCTCTCTCTCATGTATATCTTGAATATATCCTGGAGTGCCATCTCCTGCAAAGATGGGTGCTCTGTGTGAAGATCATGTAGATGGTAAGTCTTGACATACATAGGAAAACTTCTTTGCTTTTGAAAGGGGACCAGGTGGTGTGATTTGGGAGAGTAATTTTAGGGGGTTTATATAACCTCCTCTAGCTGTGTTTCTAATTCAAATACAGGTCTGAATAAAACTGCATAAGAATTGGTCTGCTAGTCCCTATAAAAAGTCCATCTAATCCAACATAAAGAGTTTGAAGCCAACAGTCTAGTTATGGCTTAAAATGAAAATAAAATGTAAAGACCCAATTATCATTATGGTAAATAGCTACTGATCAAACTATTCATGAAAGTAAACTAAGCATCAGCGTTGGTAGCTATTGCCTGATGGTATGATAACAAAATCTAACAAGTTGTGCAGTATTTAATCCGAAACGGTACTTGTTTATCCTCCAGGTCTATTCCTGATTAAGCATTGAATTCTAGGGTTCAAGATGGAAAACTCTATCACTTTTCATGCTGTTCAAAATCTTGAAAAAAATCGCAATGTCACCTCATTAATCAGGTTTTTTTCGGGGCCAGAAGGAATAGCAATAGCATTTAGACTTATATACCGCTTCACAGTGCTTTACAGCCTCTCTAAGCCATTTGCAGAGTCAGCATATTGCCCTCAACAATCTGGGTCCTCATTTTACCGACCTCAGAAGGATGGAAGGCTGAGTCAACCTTGAGCCTGGTGAGATTTGAACTTGCCAAATTGCAGGCAGCCGGCAGTCAGCAGAAGTAACCTGCAGTACTGCACTCTAACCACTGTGCCACTGAGGCTCAATAGCCACCTTAGCTCTTAGTCTTGGTCTTCCCCAGCCTGATGTCTCTCCACCCTATTCCCCTATTCTGTGGTTTTGACCACAGCTCTCAGCCCGTGCAGTAAAGGTTTTTATTCTGCAGGCTTAGAGGGAAGAGAGTTGCTGGGAGGGTACCACTTCTTCAGTTGCTTTTTACTTGTGCTGATTCCACAGCATCCTTTTTCGAGGTCAGGCAACCAGAATTCTGTAGTTTTTATATAAAATATTGGCTGGCTGACTCTCTGTTTTTTTGTACTTACACTGAAGTTTAGTGATTTTGATACAATACTCAGGTTTTCTAAAATTGTTGGCTCTAGTGACCAGACAAATTCAGATACTACAAAGCTATTAATGTAATCATTGCATTTCTCTGTTAAGTAAAATTACCTGTTTTCTGCCAAGCTTTGAGGTTTACAGTTTATTTACTTCCTAGATTACAGAAACTTGGCTTTCCATGTGGGTAAATGCATAATGTAATAAATTATGATTGATATAATCTGAGACGTTGCTACTCTTTGTTCTTCTGAATACATCTATGATTTGCTTAGGCTTTTATTACTTTGGAATAATCTCATGTCACCACCAATTTCAGGTCAATGGACCCAGCAAAAATATTTGCAGATATCTTCTTGTTTCTGACTCCCAGTTAATAGGCACAGATTGATAAGAGAATTTGTCCTTTACCTCCTGATTTTGAATTTTCTTACAGCCTATTAATAATGTCCTTCATTAAAGTGTGCATGAACTGTATTATTCATGCGTTAGATCAGGGGTCCCCAACTCTGGACTACAGCCCACTAGTGGGCCATGAACTGTTTGCAGCCGGGCCATGGAAACGGTGGGCGAGCACATGCACACGCATCCACACTTGCACGAGCAGCAGGCAAACATGTACACACATGCTTCGTGTACGTGAGGGTGGGCACGTGTGAAAACCGTTTGCGCAAATGGAGTTACACAGGTGTGTGCGCTTGCCACCCACCCATGTGGGACCATCCCCTCTCTCCCTCCCCCCCCCCACATCCGTCCATCAAGCCAGAAAGGTTGGGGAACTCTGCATTAGATTATACATGTTGGTTTAAAGGCTGCAAAAGAAAAATGAAATTAAGTATTAATTTTAAGAGGTGTAAATGAGTACTTCCTTAAAAAAAATAGGAATTACAATAATACCATGTTGGTTTACTTAGATGAATAAAGTAAGATTTAAAGCTAATGCTTTAGTTTGTTGAATCCATGAAATAACACATTTTTGATGATCACAGACAGATTTGTAACTTTTCAGTTGGAATTGTTACTAATGAAAAACTTGAGAAAACAGTTACAGCTTTGTCTCAGTGTTTTATTTTGCTCTTCTTCTCCAGATCTTTGTAGTCAAAAATAAGCAATAGTTCCAGTAAGGCTGGAAAAAAAATATCCATTTCAGTTGATAGTTGTAAGTCCTGTCCCATTTTACATATTAGCTTAGCTTAGCTAATTTATTTTGAGGGCAAAAAAAAACAAAAAACAACCTGTATAAAATTCATTGATTCTCAAAACTATAATCTACTTTTTAATGTCAGGATACGCTTATAACAACAAACCCTGAAAATAACAGTAATTGTTATTGTAGAGGGGGAGGGTTTTTTTCTAAGCATGTAATTCATAGAAGAATAGATAAGTGTCACTGCTACAATGATCGTTGTCTAGAAATCTTTATAGCAATCTTGTCTTTTCCCCAAATCACACAGCTGTTCTCGGCACAATTACACACAATTACTTTAGAGTTACAGACAGAGGCTGTGTTAGCCCTCTGAATTCTCCAGACACCTTTATGGATTTTTTTGTTTCTTTTTATATTTATATATCAGATCTATCTATCTATTCTTCCTTTTTCTCTTCCGCCTTTTTTTTCTCTCTGTATTTTTTACTTTTACCTTTTCTTTTTTATATTTGTCATACTTTGTATTAGCTTTTTATCTTTCTGTTTTGAAACTTCCAATAAAAATTTATTACTTTAAAAAGAATGTGAAGTGCTGTTCACCCGGTGAAGTAAACTAAGACCACAGTTTGAAACAAGGCTTTCTTAAAACCACGAAGTGAATTCACATTGGAGGTAAAATTAGAATAGAAGCTTGTGGTTTTGTGGTCAGAAGAACGATTACCAAAAACATTCATATTTGTAGTGTGAACTTTCAGATGATAAAAAAAGCATTAGCCGTTCTAAAGCACGGAGGGCAATATTTTTAAACCAAGGACAAAGGCTTTTAGACTGGAATAAGTGCAATCTTCTATCGGTTATTGATCAAACAGATCTCCATAGAGATTGTGCTTCAGGCAGGAATGGAGAGACCAAAAATAGCGAAATGTCCTTGTTAAACTCTGGTTGCTAAAGATATGCAGCAGCTATGATTCATAACATATTAAAAAAAAGGCACCAGAAAAATTGCTGCTGTTCGCAGCAGTCAGAGGCTTCAATTTGCAAAAAGTTATTACTGTCACATGGTCGTATTTCTCAGATGATTAACAAATGTAGGTAATTGGGAGAGTGAAACAATTTTCAGATATTCTGATCATGGTTAAGAGCTTTTTAAAAATACATTCTAACTTGTATCTTATCCCAAAAGTGCTTTTTCCAAACGAAACTGAATTTTCTTGGTTTTTGCTTGAAGACATTTCGCTTTTCATCTGAGAAGCTTCTTCAGTTCTGACTGAATGATGGAGAATGAAAGGATTTACATTCCTTGCAGTCATCTGCAAGCAAGAGTGAAAATGCTAAAGACCGACTGCAAGGAATATAAATCCTTCCATTCTCTACCATCAATCAGAACTGAAGAAGCTTCTCGGATGAGAAGCAAAACGTCTTCAATCAAAAACCAAGAAAGTCCAATTGCCTTTTGAAAAAGCACCTTTGAGACAATCATCACCTGGATGACTGAGAATCTGCATAGAAACTGGTATCTTAATTATGACAGCCAATGATTTTAATGCCAGGCAACTTGACTGACAAAATCCCCTTGGTTTTTGCCCCTGAAAAAAGGGATATGCATCTTCAAGTTAAAATATGGCTCGTATATAGAATTATAAGTCTTTTTTTTTTTATGGCAACTGAGTAGAAAATGGTTTCCTTTATTTTTAGAAGCCTGTCAAATATATCATTTCACCTCACACAATAATAAAATCCTATTGTCTCCCTGTTCCCAGCATGTTCCATTTTTAGCCTACATTTCAACAGTCCTTTTCAAATGTGATCCAGTGAATTTCATTTGCGCAAAATGGAATGTTACATTTTTTTTTTTATTGATGTGCTACTACAGGTATTGCTCGGAAACGGCCGAGAACACCCCTTTCCGACCTGCAGGGAGTTAACACAATTAACGAGAAAAGCCAGCGGTAAGTGGATCCATCAGACAGCCGAAGAAATTTGACATCTCTGCTACGATGCCAGGACTGTGCTGTTTGATGCATTTCTCCTTTTCAATGACTGACATTTTTCTTTCCCTTTCTCTGTGAAAAGTAAAAAAAGTAAAAGTGTACGACTTCCATACATTTCAGCGATGCCTACGGCGTGTGGAATAGCAGGATGGGCCTCAGACAGAGCCGACTCTCCAGCCCCAGCAGTTTCCTTGACAAAGACGGGATATTTGTGAATTCGACTAGCAGCAAGCTTTTGGAGCGTGCCCACGGCATTCTCATGTTAGTGACTGTTTGTCTTTGTTCCAAAGGTGGCTTAGATAACGGTAGATGTAGGACAAGTGAGGGTAAAAAAAGTTGGGTCCTCGGTACAGATAGTCCTCGACTTATGACCACACTTGAGCCCAAAATTTATGTTGCTAAGGGAGACACTTGTTAAGTGAGTTTTCCCCCTTTTCTTGCCACAGTTGTTAAAGGGAGGCACTGCATTTGTTAAGTTGATAAGTGAATCTGGCTTCCCCATTGATGTTGTTTGTCAGAAGGCCGCAAAAGGGGATCACATGATCCCCGGATAGTGCAACCGTCATAAATATGAGTCAGTTGCCAAGCATCTAGATTTTGATCATGGGGGATGCTGCAACGGTTGTATGAAAATCGGTCCTAAGTCACTTTTTTCAGTGCCGCTGTAACTTCGAACAGTCACTAAACGAACTGTTGTAAGTGCGGGACTACCTGTATCTCAGGGGCATAGAATGATCAGTTGATAGTTGATATTGCTAAGAACATCGATGGTGCATCTGAAAACAGATTTTTTTAAAAAATTATAAAGCAGTAAGAGTCCCTGAGCTCTGCAAAAGAGGTTAATATATACATTTGGAATGCTGGAGAAACTCTGGTCCAGATGTGGCTCTCCAGATGTCATCTTTTATAAGCCCTAACCAGAACAGATTGAGGGTGAGCCGAGTTGCAGTCCAATAACATCTTCAAGGCTGCTGGTTGCTCAGCTATGCACTAGAGATTAATGTTGTGGATTGAACTTCCATGAGATACTATCAAGTGAACATGGAAGCTGCTTACGAGCTACTTCAGGTACCCATAACATTCCTCTTCAGAATCTGCCCCCAATAAGCCCGATAACATAGAGAAAATCCTTTAATGTAAGCTTGATCTCTTAGGATTTAAATTGGAAGAAACAAAATCTGTCTACAGTTTCTCGTCATGTCATAACTTTCACCATCTAAATCCCCTTATATGGTGTAATTTCCTTAATAAATGGGCAACTAAAATAAATGGGTTAACTTTTTAGAAGTTTTGCTTATTAAAAATGTATAGTGTCCAGGATTATAATGTAACCTGTTCTATGATGTTGTATGGTTTGAAAAACTTGATCATGTTAACATTTCCGTATCAATCAGTGCATGTATTTGGTCTCAAAGTTTATATATATATTTTTATAAGAAGAAATAAGCAGTCACATGAACCCAGAGCTCATGCTTGATGTTACGTCCAAATCAAGCCTTTTGGTCTTGAAATGTTTACAGATTAACAGTGTAAACCTGCTTTTATTTGGTTCTTATCTTCCATAGGCGAAACAAGAACTTTAAAGTCAAGCCCAGCCTACCAAAGGTGAGAGAATTCTATTCCTTGGCTGAAATCCACTGCTAATGGATGTAGTTAAGAGTTATTTCAGGCACAATAGTCCTTCCCCATCTGGTGTAAAAAATTACAAGCTCTGCATACAAATAAATGCCTATTTAAAACGTAGCATAGAGATCATCTACTCATTTGCTTACAGGATCTCATCCATACATAACTCCATCCACAAAGAATGCTTTTTCTCACATGGATGTAATAATTCTTCATGCATAAATAATTTTTTTCCCTATTATTATTTTATTAGTTTTAAAAATAAAACAATGGACATTGCTCAACGTCTCTTGTTTCTAACATTTACGTCAAAATCAAGTTAATAAGTAATCTATTCCTTGCTCTATTTACAAATTTACATATCTCCTACTTCATTATATATCAAGTATACAGTATTTTACTTCCTAACCAACTACGCATGTATTTAATAAACCAATATTACATTCACAAGTTCAATATACATTGATATATTAATATACATTGATATATACATTTCCAGATATTCATTATCCCTTGTTTTTGGCATTCTTCCTCTTATCTAACCAATTATAAAATTTATTCCAGACTTTAATTACCAGACAAGTAATTTGTTGACCATGGCGGAAACATGGCAACATATTTATCAACAGATAATAAATAATATGAAAATTCTTATGCTGGTTAACCTTCTTTGGGATCCAGGGCAAAAATGTGGGTTGGTTTGTTTGTAGCCCTACATTTCGAAGTATGCCTCTCTGAAGGGTGTTACTTGAACTGATTTATGCCCTTTTAAGTTTCTTCCAAATTTTTCTGCTTCTTCTCTGCTTTCTCAGCACTTGCTGGAGGTGAAATCCCTCAAGCACCTGACAAATCTGACTCTGCACGACCGTATCACAAAGTCTCTTCTCCATCTTCACAAGAAGAAGAAACCTCCGAGCATCAGTGCCCAGTTCCAGGTTACTTCCTTGCAGTTGTTTGGTTCAAGAAGTGTAAATTCGGGGGTGGAGGGGAGGGGGGGGAATAAGCATGTCAGTCAAACGTTTTCAGGCTATGGATTCTGTTGGTTAGGGGGGAAAAATTCTCAGAAACAGCTGAACAAGAGGCAAAGCCTCTAGAGATTCTTTTTTTTTTTAATAGCTCTTTAGAAGAAGAAAAAAACTTTTGTTTTTCATGGACCCCCATCAGTTGTCATGGAACACTTTAAGTTTGAAAAACCCTGCTTTTAGGTATTTAGTCCTGGGTGGCTCTACTTTCAGAGAAAATCAATGTTATTTTGGGCTGGTTCAGTGGGAGGAGGAGGAGGAGGAGGAATCTTAACATGCTGGTCTAGATAATGGCACCAAGCCAGCTCTCTCTCTATACTAACTAAAGCTTATAGTTAAGCACAAACAAATTTCAGCACCTCCATTCAATCCTCCCTCTTTTCTGCACTGTTTGAGCACCGCAGCTGCTAGATGGTTTTCTTGGGATATCTGCTTCTGTTCTCACAAAGCCTAAATAACGATTGCAAAAGCCAACACTATGTTTTGTTTTGCAGGCTTCACTTACCAAGTTGATGGAGACTCTTGGACAGGCAGAACCCTATTTTGTCAAATGCATCCGCTCTAACGCTGAGAAGGTAAACCTTTCCCCCACACCGAGTGATTTGCAGCTGAAATACATTCAAACCTGCGATTTGTCACATAGCTAAAGATTACAGAAAGCAGAATAAGATGCACTCCCTAAGAGCAGTCATAACACAAAGGAAGGTTGAAATAGCAAATATCAAAATGAGATATTAAAAAACCAGAGCTTTAAGTCAGCGTGAATAGTAATGTAGAAAAATTAACTTTAAAATCCTGATTTTGGACAGGCCTCTAGTGAATCAATTTGCAGACTAAATAATTTTGGTAGGTGTAAAACCTTCCCTTATTATCTGCCGGATGAAAACATATTATTGAAGCAACATTAATGTGGAATGTTCCGTGATTTTTTTCTTCCAGTTTGGCTCTTGGCTGGAACTGTAAGTGCAGAGTTCATAGATGTGAGGTCATCTTGCTGTGACAAATCTGTAAAACTTACAATACTTTTTACAAAAAAGGATGCAGTCTTGTGTCCAATGACTATTAGGCATATCATGATACAATATTCCTGATTTCATAAGCAATGCTATTAACTTCCTAATGCCTTTTTGTTGCTAAATATGGCACAGGATTAACATCTTCATAGATATTCACATCAAGATGGGCATTAAGCTACGCTTGTAGATGATTGCATATTCGGTTTTGAGACCGATTCAGTTTTTTGTCAAGTAGTAACGCGGACAAAACTGTACAACACTATTAGGCTTAGAAAGTGGGACAATTTGCTACTTTGCGAAAGTGTCTTGGCTCCATTTAAAAACACGCAAACCTAGAAACGAGTTATCATACCTAGCTGGTTCTGTAGGCTCAAATTGTATTTTTCGCTTTTCCAGCTCCCCTTGAGGTTCAATGATAACTTGGTGCTTAGACAGCTGCGATACACAGGAATGCTAGAGACAGTACGCATCCGACAGTCAGGATATAGCTGTAAATATTCTTTCCAGGTGAGATTATTCTTTCTTGATTCTCTGAAAGGTTATGGTGCTAGTATAAAGAATCTGAAAGCAGTTGAGCTGGCTGTGTTTAATTAGTTTTGTTTATTTTTTTTTTAAAAAAAAGACCATAAAGGTTGTTGCTGGAGCTATTTGTAAATCCAAACCTGCTTCCAAATGTACAGAGTTGTGCGTGGCAGTATTTCTTGTGAGCTGCCTCAGCCTATTTGTATTTCTTCAAGATTCAAGCGATACAAACTTTTGCGTATTGAAAAATCTATATACAGTTTGCTAACATGATTTCCTTTTATGCTTGACATACGAAGAGTTTATAAATGTAACAATATGGTGATGGTGTGTCTAAATTGCCAGGATTTTGTAGACCACTTCCATGTACTTCTCCCACGAGGCACTGTCCCATCTAAGCAGAATATTGAAGGCTTCTTCAAAAAGACAAAGACCAACGCAGATAGTTTCCAAGTCGGGCGAACCATGGTAAGGTCCAACTGCTGTTTCCAGACACTTTTCAAAGGGGGATTTTGGGATGTTCTTTCCTCATGAGTCCTTGAAAAAAGTCCTGTGAATTGAAGCTTGGATTTCAAAGAACCCATCTTTTTATCATTATATCTGAGGGATGATTAGAACCGAATTAATTTCTCTGTAAAAAGAGACTGAAAGAATCAGGCTGGGTCTCCTGACACATGCACAGATATTTTACCGGAGAAAAAAGTGTCAGGGTTCCAAGTAACACACCCAATGGAATTAAAACTCCCATGGCAGACATATTCTTCAAAGTATAGATTTATTAGGCATGTCATATTGGCACATCTGGGGAAACCCGACTCTAAACCAGTGGTGAAATCCGGCTGGTTCTATCCGGCTCGCGCGAACGAATAGCGTCGGCAGCAAGAGGCTCTGCCCATCCACCGGGATGTCCTTACATCCTGTTTTTGACCCTGTGGTCCAATCAGGTCACAGTCCAAGGGTCACTTGGTCTCAGATCCCACCTCCTTGCACCTAGTGGGAAAGTCCTTGGTTCCCAAAGGAAAGAATTTTATTTTGGCTACAATCCCCCCAGCTATCTCTACCTCCCCCCTCCCGTTCCCACAGCTCGACTCATCTCCGCTGGGGCAGCCCTGAAGGTGCCAGGGGAAAATGGCTCCAGGGCTGACAACACATATGTGTGTCAGATTGCTAATATGCAGAGGGAATGACATTAATTGTGATTGTTCAATTGTCCATCAGGTGTTCATGAAGGAACAGGGACGACAGCTTTTACAAGGACTGTTGCACGAGGAGGTCTTGCAAAGGATTATCTTATTACAGAGCTGGTTCCGGACAATGCTGTACAGGAGACACTTCCTGAGCATGAGGCAGGCTGCTGTCGTCATACAGGTGGGAGCCAACTGTATGCTGTTCTTAAGCTTAAACCCTGTTTACCTGTTCTGACCTAGGCTTCCCAAGAGCATGAAGCAGACCCCTTGTCCCAACAAAAACCCCTTTTTATTAAGTTACTGTGAATTCTTCACATTCACATCCAGCCAAGTCTTTCAAGGGAGAATTTCCAGTCACGGACCTTATCTGGCTTGGAGAGCTGCCAGGCTGATATCTTCAAAACTTGGCAAGGAGTCTTGGAGAGTCACAAACCAATTAAGCGAACTAATTGTCTCCTGCAATTACTCCACTTTCGTTCCTCTTTATTCCCTCTGGGAGGGGCCCTTCACCATCCACCTGTGGCCTTACTCCGAAGTTGATCCTTGTTCTTTAGCTGTTCCCTTCATCTGGCAACTCTGCGCATGCGCACACTGGGGACAGGCTCCAGCTGTTCATCTGCCTCACTGATGTCCGACTCCGAAGGCAGCAGATAACTGGCATCCGGCCCTGGCCCCCTCTCTGCCTCTGACGCAGAGCCCTGATCAGAGCCGTCCCCAGACTCCAGGACTGGCCCATGTTACTCCCCAACCTCCTCACTGTCCGAATCTGCTGCCAGCACTGCTGGCTGCTGGTGGGCCACAACATTACCTTACTCTCAACATAGATAACTGTTGCCTTTAAACAACACAGTTAAGCTAATAATTGAATTTATCTTTTTTCTGGATTCATACAATGCATCAAATCTTAAACCAACCTTCTTTAGAAATGGAGGGCTTTATTCAATGTATTCATACCACGTGCAAGAAAATTACTAACTATTCTTTAATTGAACATCTTTCTTCATCCTCACTGCCAGAATAAAATTCTTGTATGGATTGGTATGTACTTCTGTCTGCGTTAAAACACACACTTTAAAACGCCAGTAAACATAAGATTTTTGTAATTAATTGGATTGCCGTAATATTAGAAATTGGTACTTAAGCGTTAGAAAAGCCTTAACAAGAACTATTCCAGCTAATGGCTTTGGATAAAAACTCATTATTGTGTCAATAAAGTATTTGCTTTTTTTTTTTTTAATACCCTGGGCAGCATTGTTGGCGTCATTATCAGAGAAGGAAGGAAGCTGAAATGGAGGAAGAATCCCTGAACCATTCAGCCTTTTTAGAGCGAGCTGCTGTGGTCCTTCAGGCGTCCTGGCGAGGTTACATGGCCCGGCGAAGTTTCCAGCAGATGCGGATTGCAGGTTTCATTATCCAGAGCTCTTGGCGGGACTGCTTAAGACGTAGGCATGCTGCGGCAACCTCTATCCAGGCGCACTGGCGGAGCTACCGCACAAGGACTCTCTACAGAGCCAAGAGAAACAAAATCATTTTGTTGCAAGCAGCCTACAGAGGCTACAAAGCACGGCAGAGGTAATGCATGCCATGTTTTGGGAAGGACATACGTGTCCAGCAGTGTATTAACCATTAAGCAGACTAAGCACATGCTTAGGGCACCAGGCCCAAAGGGGGCACCACAAAGTTGAGAAAGAAAAGAAAAAAAAACAAGTTTTGTAAAAAAATAATTAAAAAAAAAGATAAAACTAAACTAAAACATGAACAATGGCAGCCAAATATTATACATGATGTGAGTAGAACTTTTATGTAGCCTAAGCTTGGCTTCCTTTGTACAGTATGTACAAAGGAGGGGGCCACCAAGATTTGTCAGTGCTTAGGGCACCAGTGAGCCTTAATCCGCCACTGTACGTGTTCAAATGGTGGTATTGGGACCGGATGGGTGATAAAAGAGATATTTAAATAGAACAAACAAATTTAATTCTTTATTATCATGTTCTGATGCTGCTGCATAAAATAGCCCTTTTACCTAGTTATAAAACTTACAATTATTGGTTCAGTGCCCTCTAATGATTTGGTTTACAATATAATAAAACTTTTATCTGGATTCGTATGTATATCATTTGTTCACTATGGTGTGTAGAAGAAATGGCTATTTCCTTAGTTCAACTACAGTACAGCAAGCTATATCTTATGGCTGATAAATCATAATGACTAGATTCATACATTGCAGTAAGCCCAAATCACGTACAGATATATTATGAACATAGCCCCTGTAAATAAAGATTTGAGGACAGATCATATTTCAAACAGTTAAACATACGCTTTGCATCTGGAAATTTCCATCCCTTCTCTTAACATTACTAATTAAGGATTCATTAATAGTTCTAAAGGGGACATAAAGTTATAAGCTACTAACATAATAGATCGGCTTTCCATAATCTGCTGCATTCAACATGTATGGACTACAACTTCTCCAATCAACCAGTATAATCGGCCTTCCCCAATCTAGTTTAACCACCACAGTCATTATCATGTGTGTGAATGAGGATTGTGGTCCATATAGTCTCCTCCAACCTTGATACAATGGCCATTCTGGTTGGAGAATCCTAGGAGTTGCTCATCTGAAAGTACTTAAGCTGAGGAAGAACTGGGTTAATGGATAGTACTAAGCTATATGTAAAGCTTCACCCATTGCAGTAAATCCTGAGTTAAAAATAATTGCAATCCTATCAATTGTTGCCTTTATATAAACTGCACCGGAACAGAAAAAAAGATATAACCTTTTTCTTGATATATGAGAATATGCATGTTCCCATCATCAGGAGAACTGTGGGACATGCCCTAGTCTTTATGCATATTTGATGCTTCCTATTTATTAGAAGAAATAGAATGGGAAGCTATTGGGAAAAGGTCAAATGAAAGGAAGATTGACAAATTTGTGATCATCATAACTGAGCTCTTTCTCCACCTATTCTTCTTTGAACAGGTTTACCACATTAAGAGAGCAGCAATTGAGTGAAGCATCACTAAAGAATCGACTAACAAGTAAAGATGATAAATTAATACTAGGGTATAACTCAGGTATTAAGGATTCAGACCCTTCTGAATGGGAAGAGAATTCATTGGAAAACAGAGTGAAAGCCATAGAAGGCTACACATCGGTTACGGACAATAGAATTGATCCATCAAATTCCTTGCACAAACACCATGAGAGGGCCAACAGCCAGAGCGGAATGAGCATGGAAGAGGAAGTTCTTGTCAGAGAAAGACCAAAGTCCCTGGAAGATCTCAACCAAAAAAAAGGAGTTCGTGCAAAGCGAGAGAGCCGGCGGATGCGCGAACTGGAACAAGCCATTTTTAGCTTGGAGTTGCTAAAGGTTCGATCCAGTAGCGGAACTTCTCCATCAGAGGAGCACCAGTTGTCCCCTGACTTCGCTTCTGAAGGGATGCCATCTCCTCGAAGAACTCCAGAGAGTAAAAGCTCTCGCGGAAGTCTAGAGAACCTAAGCCGGGACCCCCTCTCGTCTCTGGATCACAATGTACATCCCACAGAATCACTACATGATAGTCCGAAATTTGATGATGATTATGATGATGATGATGAAGAAGAAGACATCTCCAAATTTGCTGCTGCTACTATAAATAAAACTATGACAGAGAGAAAGAGGTCAATCTCAAGTTCTGAATTACTTGACTGTCTTGCTGTTAAAGAGCGGCCGTCAGTTTGTGACTCTTACGACGTCTCCAATAAGCATACAAGAGAATCATTAATTTCTTGTAGTTTGCCTACATTTTATCTTCCACCACAGGACAAGTTGAAAGTTGGCCATTCAGTGAGGGACAATAATCTAAGAAACAAACAAATGGAAATGGGGAGCAATTTTTTTTTCTCAGACACCAAAAAAAATCCTCAACTGGAAAGGACCACACAAAACACAGCCTTACATGACAATGGTCAAATGTCCAGCAGTGGAGAATTCCCAGCTGTTACAGCTACAGAAGTGCATCTCTCGGATACGGTTATCGAAAAGTTGGAGAAGTTAAATGTTGAGAAAGAAGAACGCCGGAAACGAAAACAGATGCAGAACGAAAAAGAGATGATGGAGCAAATACGACAGCAGACAGAAATTTTGGAGAAGCAGCATAAAGTTTTTGAAGAGCTTCAGAGACAAGAGAATGAACAGAATAGGATTCGGGACTCTTGCCATGGAACCCCTCTCACCTCACCAAAGAAAATGGACAGAGGTCCACCTCTATTCATCACCCATCCTCAAGTCAAGGGAGATCTAAGACTTGCAACAAAGACAGAAGCCACCTCATCGGTGGTCCTTAAATCTCCTACTGGCCCCAAAAAAGGAAGTCCCCCTATTTGCCAGACGGTCCTGAAGGAAAAAATCCCAGAGAAAATGGAAAGCCAGACTCCAGTCATCCTGGAATCTGTTGGAACAGATTGGTTGAATTTGCAAATGGGTACTGAGTCTCGGGAAAGTGTCAGCAATCTACCTGCGAGGGAAAAACGGTTCAGACTGCCTCGAATTCCTAGCCAGGGCAAGGAAAGCTCTTCTAAGCAAACTAGAGTTGGTTCCATTTTTTTTACACCAAAGGATGCTCATTTGGGCAATACGTGAGTACGATAATGGATGCTTGTATGTTACATTTCCATAAAACTGCTACTTAGATCTTCCTTGAAAATAGAAGCCTTAAAAGAAAATAAATAAGAGAGAGGAGGGAGAGAGAGAGAGAGTTCTCAGAGCATCAAAGCTTCATAGCAGGCATGGATGTAAATCCCTCTCTCTCCCTCCCTCCCTCTCTCCCTCCCTCCCTCTCTCCCTCCCTCTCCCTCCCCCTCCCCCCTCCCTCCACATATGAAATCTGCTCTATATTTGTCAGTGATAGAGGAGAATATTTGTAACTCAGGATAGGAATGAAGGGTCCTTGGTACTCTCTGAGATTGGTTGTTTTCTTGCAAACATTTCATTACCAGTCTAGGTAATATCATCAGTGCTAGGGTGTTCATAGCTTGGGTAATGAAAACTCTGCAAAAATACAACCAACCTCAGAGAGCACCAAGGACCCCTCATATTTATGTCAGTCCCAAGGTTCAGATCCTGGGTCTCTTCTCTCCTGTCTTTTCTAGTTAGCAGACTTTTGACTCTTCTTTTCTTGGCCTTGAATTTCTCTCCCATCCATCCAATGTTTACAAAATATCCCACTTTGATGGCTTCAAATCTTACAAGCAAAAATATAGATATTCCTTTAATGTTCCTTTAAACTCAAAACTTTGACCACCCATTCTCTAGATCCGTGATGACGAACCTATGGCACGCGTGCAACAGGTGGCACACGTAGCCATATCAGTGGGCACATGAGCTCAGCTCACTTCCGGAAGTTGGGAAATGGGCCATTTTTGGCCTCCGGAGGACCTCCGGGGGGGGAGGCCGTTTTCACCCTCCCCAGAGAGGCTCTGGAGGCTGGGGATAGCAAAAAAACAGGCCTTCCAGTCCCACCAGAAGTTGGCAAACGGGCCGTTTCTGGCCTCTGGAGGGCCTCCGGGGGGGGGGGAGGCCATTTTCACCCTCCCCAGACTCCTACAAAGGCTCTGGAGCCAGGTGAGAGAGAAAAAAGGGCCTACTGGGCCATCGCATGCCGGGAGCGAGGGGGGGTCATGTACGGGGGGGCAGAATGCATAGAATTATGAGTGTGGGCACACGCATGCGTGCCCCCCCCTTCCTGGCATGCGATGGCAAAAAGGTTAGCCATCACTGCTCTAGATGATTGAACCAAACAGCAGTAAAATTACAAGGCACTCTCTTTGCTGTTCTAGGGAAACTCGATACAGTAGCCTTATAGGAAGTTGATCACTGCTTTCCCATGCTAAAACTTCTGCCTGTATATGGTCTACTGCAAGTAAGTTTGCAATCGCTTTGTTTTTTAGTTTGAATAAAGGATCTTCAGCACCTCCGCTTCTTCCAAAAGAAGAACAGAAAAAGCCACTGAAACTTCCCAGAACAACAGATAGAGGAGAGGTAAGAAACATATTTTTTTTTCAGCAGTAAAATCACTTATTTCTCCCAGCTATCCCTCCAAACCATCAATACCGTTAGCATGCAGTCAGTTGTGGGATTCAGCCAGTTTGCACCTATTCGGGAGAACCGGTTGTTAACTTTCTAAGGAGTTCAGAGAACTGGTTATTGGAAGAAATCTTATTTTGTTTTTTTCCCACTTTACAGGGCTAATCCTGTAAGGAAGTCAGGAAGGAAATGTTCTGGTGGTGTTTCTAGCCTAATCTTTATTACCCTGCTTACAGAAATTGCCTCTCTGGTTAACCCTTATTACATTGTAACAGCTAAGGCCCATCGATGTGAGCGATGTTGAATTGTCCACACCCACATGGTCACATGACCACCGAGCCATGCCTACCCAGCTGGTCATTAGGGCAGAGAACCAGTTGTTAAATTATTTGAATCCCACCACTGGATGCAATGCTCTGTAGGAAGGAATATAGGGTCTTATCAGCTGGAAAGCAGATGTAAGATTAAAGAGTGGTATACCACAGTACATTTTTCTTGGTATTGTTGACCTAGTTTTTTTATGTGGTATCAAACCTGTTTCTCAGCTGTACACTTCAGATGGTAGGCAGGGATTCCCATAATTGAGTGTTCAAACAAGAAAACAAGGGAGAATCTAGTCACATATTTTTTCTCTGGCATCAGATTATCTAGATTTTGTGCCAGGGTGAATCTCCCTTTGTGTTTAATGTGTAACTCAGCCACACTTCACTGAGAACCAGGTCCATGTTCTGTCTGAACTGGCTCGTCATTGAAATGATATTAAAGGCAGTTAGGGCATTTTTTTCTACTTTTCCCAAATGTGTCCCCCCCCCAACACCCCCCCCCCCTTATTTCTGCTGTCCTTCATTGTTTGTTGAGGTCCAATTTAGCACGTCATTTAAACAAATGATGCCCTCGGAGGATTTATTTTTTTAAAAAAACCCTTATGGCTCCATGTTCCTTATCCTTTGACTTGTGTGGTGGTGGGGTTTGGTTTTTTGTTTGTTTGTTTGTTTGTTCATTTCATACCATCTGTTTTATCATTTGGTGTCAAGCAGGTTGCTCGACCAGTCCATAGAAAGAAAGCCCGCATGGCACGGACACGCTCCAATTTCTTGACTAGAGGTGCTTTTGCTGATTGGGAGGGGGATACAGAGGAAGAGGATTGTGATGACAATCTTGAATTCCTTCTCTCCTTTGAGCATCCACCTCACCTTGAGCCAGGTTGTGCAGTCAGGCTCGGGCAGCCCTGTCATAGTGACTCTGAAATGGTAATATATTCCACAAGCAGTCGTAGCGGGGAGCGGTGGGGCATTTCTTGGCTAACCCTCAGCAGAACTGACACCTTCTACTGCTGTTTCTCCCATCCTGTAGTGGGGATTATGGGATGGTAACCTCTAAGAACACAGTCACCCAATGCTGACCCCTCTCAGCGTCATCTCCCTTAGCCATGATTTCCGCAGTAGGTCCCTGCAGTCATACTCCCCATCATCCCCTTCCACCGGCACACTGGGTTTTCTTTGAGCAAGTAAAGATGAAGCAGGCAGAATACAGGTAATCCTTGACTTACAACAGCTCATTTAGTGACCGCTCAAAGTTAACAACAGCAGTGGAAAAAAAAGTGATTTAGGACCGTTTTTTCAGACTTAACGAACCGTTGCGGCAGCCCCGTGGTCACGTGATCCAAATTCAGACGCTTCGCAACGGTCTTATATTTATGACATTTGCAGCGTCTCAGGGTCACATGATCACTTTTGACGACTTTCTGACAAAGTCAATGGGGAAGCCAGATTTACTTAAAAACCATGTTACTAACTTAACGGCAATGATTCACTTATTAAATGTGGCAAGGAAGCTCATAAAATGGGGCAAAATTCACTTAACAACTGTCTCCCTTCGCAACAAAAATTGTGGGCTCAATTGTGCTTGTAAGTCAAGAACTACCTGTATTCTATTGCTTAGCTTGCCAGTTTCCAACCTTCCAATCCTGTTCAAGGTAGACAATAGAACCAGCCTAGACTTTACTTTGGGATGAAAGGCAACTTTCAGTTGAATAGAAATACGGCTGGTTTAGTAAAGCAGGCAGAAAATTTAAAAAGTTAGATGGGATTTACAGTAGGGGGACATCATGAATAAAAGGCTTAAAAAGCATTTTTAATCTGAATGAACTTTCCTGCTTGCTGAAGAGACCTGTTACTCACATTGAGATGTCGAAGAGCATGCGAGATCATGTTTCCATTCAATTCATCCTCCCTGGGAAGATTATAAAATCCTTTCGGACAGAAATGGTAAAGCCAAGGAGCCCAGTTGCTCCAGACGGCATAACCAGAGGGAATGGGCTGTGTTCTTGGAAGTTACAGTGCTGCTTCCACCAACATTAACTAGTTTCAGACTGGGAATCGTGGCTGAGATGTCAAGGTGCTGGGATCACTGTTTGCTTGGAGAACACTTTGTTCAGAAGGAGCCTCATTCTTCTCACTTTTTCAAAACACTCTTTTTATTCTCCTGCCACCATTTAACAGATGTCCTCTGCATGCAAATAGTTCCTAGAGATCTTCACTTATCTTGCATCCTTTCTCCTTCCATGCTTCTCTTGGCGCCCCATTAGCTTTTTCATTAGTGGTTTAGCACAACTACTTACATCTGCATGCACACTCAAGCTCTTGCTTTTTAAATTTATGCTGAATTTCATGACCGCTGTTACATACAAGTTGTGAATTATAGATGTCTAAATGTAAATGTATTGCTCGGATATGTAATATTGCTCAAATGTACATATACTTATTGTTCGGATATGTAATATTGCTCAGACGTGTTTAAAATTGTCACCTGTGTTTTGTTGAAGGGTTTTTTGTTGTTAGGTTTTGTATTTTTATTTTGCCTGTCTGTTCTAGTTGTTCGGAAAAGACTTATCAACTGTCTTGTTAGACGTGATAAATCGTCCTGCAGCTCATTACTGTTCGGAAAATTAATGGCTGGTATTTGCCAAGGCTGTTTTTAATCAGGTCACATTGGTGCATATTTTCAGCACATGAAATGAAGGTTGTTTATTCTGAGCTTTCAGCACAAGAGGTGTGTCATTTAAGGAGCTCTCTTTTGCTAGAACTGAGTTGATTAATGTCACGAGGAAGAAGAAATAGGTTATCGCCTCCACACCAGTTGTGGGTGAACAAAAGCCTCTCAAGTCCCTGTTTTTCCCATATATATTTTTTTTGCACGTTGCTCATCATCTTTGAGTACATTACAATATGTTTGGCATTGATTGTTCTTTTTCATTATTACATGTCAGCTATTCTGCTTTTGGCTAGCTGACCACTTGGCGTGGACGAGGCCTGAAGGGAAGGTTAGGATGATTGCCACTATCCCAATTTAAGCATGCACAAGACTGAATATTGCAGAGATAAGAGATGCAACTTGTTTTTTTTTTTAAAGGAACCTGAAATATTTTGAATTCTTTAGCATTCTGGCAGAGCCTGCTGTTGCAACTTGTCTGGATTTTGCTTTTTGTCCCCAGTAATGCAACTGAAGCAAGCCTTAAATCCACTTGTTTAAGTAAAGAGACAGAGGGTGCATATCTTTTTTTAAAAAAAAATCTTTATGGAAGTACAACTCCCAAATTATCTTCAGCATGGAGAAGAATTAGGAGATTATGCTGTTCCTGCTATTATGTCTGTTGAATGCAGTTGGAGACGAATTTTTTTACAATTCATCTTTTTGTTAAGGGTGGAAATGGAACGTATTTCTTTTTTTCCATTTTTGCAAGTGAGCCAGGAAAATAAAAACAGCTATAAGGGCTTACTCTTTCTTGCTGGGATTGAGAAAAAAATCGAAGCATAGCAGCTAAAAGATGTAAGAGTGGTTTCCCAGATGGGTACCTGGAACCAGATTCTTTGTTCCCTTTATTTATCAGCGTTTCCCCGCCCTTTTCAGTGAATTGTATTTTTCAAAATTGGACAGTTGCAAAACCTTGAAAAGACTTTTATTAGAAGCCATTTCCTTTGCATTAAGTAATACTGCTTTTCCAACGGATATGTGCCAGATCCTGCCATTCATTTGACCTGTCAGCATTCCCTGCTGAGATGAAATTAGATCTGGAACAGCAGTAATTTACAGTCTTCTTTCTAGCAGATTCAGCACAACATTTTATGTGAAAAAACGTATTTAAGTGAATCACCATCCTCAGTATTATCACTGTAAAGTATTTATTCTAATCGAAAATGGGAAAGTAATTGATCCTTGAGCGCTGGAATATAATGACCTCTCACACTTGTTTTCCTTTTGAGCGGTCGTTTTTCTCAAAGTTTACTATTTTGAATTATGGATTATGTCCCATCAAGTTTGTTGAGTCTTAACAACCATCATAGATAGATTTTTCTCTATGATGATCTGTCTCTAACTGGGTCTTCAGATATTTCAGCAGTGAGTCATATATATCAATTTCCATATTGTTTATAATAATCAAAGGATCTCCCCTCCAAAAAGTTGAACTATTAAATGTATGAGAAATTTTAAGTGGAGACAACATTCACCAGCTGGCAGTTTCCATGAATACATCAAAGAGAATATTATTTTTAAAGAATCAAAAGGTACTTCAAACAGACTTCTTTTTTTAAAAAAAATAAAAAATCCAGGAGCCAGGTTTTTTAGGAATACCTTCCATAACTGCCTTCAGTAATTGCACACTTTTATGCAAAAGCCAATTACTTTTGCCTTAAGATTCTATATTAATGTGTTGCTATTCCTCTCAGTATTGATTTTCTGAACTAATAGTAACGGAATGTTGTGCTGCATCTTCTAGTCTATGGCTATAATCCAGACAGGGAGAAGAGAAGTCAATCAGATGAAAAGCATCTTTGCCATAGGGAGTGGTGTTTTTTTCTTTTTAGCAGCTTAAGTATTCAAAGCGCTGTATAGCTCAATTGCGTCTCCTTAGAATATCAAATGATTCTATCCTCTGCTATGTTTGAAATTATTGCAGATGTTACAACGTTCTGCATCCAATGAAGGCCAAGCAAAGCTTCACAAAACAATGTCTCAAGGAGAGATTGGAATGCTGCCAGTTGCCCAGAAGATCATATCCGTGGACAGAAGGTATACATTTTCCAACAAGAAAAAAAAAGCAAGTCTGAATTAAACATGATTCAGTGCTGCTTGTCCTTCTTTTCCAACAATGTAGATAAGCTCTTTCAGTTATAATGCTTGAAAGAGAGAAATTGTGAGGAACGAAGGATAAGCAAAGTTATCTTTGTTCGGTATAAACCAGGGGTCCCCAACCTGTGGTCCACGGCCCACTACCGGGTCGCAGGCTAATCGCCACTGTGCTGTGTGAGTGGCCAGCTGGTACGTGTGCCTCTGCACCTGGATAAAATAATCAACATGGCTTGAGTAAACTTTTCTTCCCATTTGTCATTTATTAGACCTCAAAGAGCCAAGATGAGATTTTGGGGGAAAGGAAGGCAGGGGGAGAAGAAGATAAGCAGGGAGAAGCTTGCTACCCAGTCAGAGCTGCTGGAACTGTATCCTGACCAAGATGCACCAGGAAGAGACATGATTCCGGGACTCCAGCTTGAAGAAGGTAAACAGGTGGTTTACTACAGTGTTTCTCAACCTTGACAAGTTTCAGATAGGTGGAATTCTGGGAGTTGAAGTCCACCCATGTTAAACATGCCACGATTGAGAAACACTGGTTTAATGAAAAGGTCAGCTAGAGAGCTGATAAAGATTTAAATGTGTTTCTTTTGTAGGTTGCAAAGACAAAAAATAACTGGTAATTCAGGGTTTCAGAAGTACAAAGATTGGCTTGGCAAATCAGCTTTGTGACTTATTTTAGATGTAACAGAATCTTGGAATGGGAAAAGATCTCAAAATTCAACTCCTGCTTTGTGCACAAGACATTGTGAATAAACAAAATACTTTCTCAATGAACAACTTTGTCAATCGGTTGTATTGACAGTCATGTCCAGGGTTTGAATAATCTTCTGGTTCTTTTACACTTCATCAGAAATCCAAAAGGCTCGTGAATTGCTCCTTACTGATTGTCAGAAGTCTTTGTTCTAAACTCCAGACACCAGCAGAGTTCTCCCTTGAATTATCTAATTTGCCTTGAATCCTAAATTTTCTAGGATTTCCCTAGAGTGAAGGTGGGAATCTCAGGCACTCATGCATGAGCTCTTTCTATCCATTATGCTAAAGAAATGATGTGTCGTGACTTTAGTGTTTCCAATTTTCCCATTTCCTGATTAGGAAGATAGCTCTGCTTGTTGTTCTCAAGGGAATTCTGAGCAAAACTTGCACATTTCTTTGCACATGCAGAGCTGAGTCCTCCAAGGAGTCCCGAACTGTCGGGCATCTATCGAAGGGAATGTAAAGAAAACAAAGAGCCATCTCCAAAGGTCAAGCGAAAACGCAGCCTGAAAATCAGCAACGTAACTATGGAACCTGCACAATGGCAGAACGACGCTCTTCAGATCATAACAAGTGCCGGTGACTTGAAAAGCATGGACGAGTTCCTCTTGAAAAAGGTAACTGGTATATATTCCATGCTACATACCTAAATCGACAGCTTTACCAGCTAAGAATCATTACTGACTTTTAGTATGCAGTCTTTGCAAGCTGATTTTATGGACTTCATGGAAGCCTCTGGATGGACTTTTATCTGCCGTATATTTGTCCTGTTTGTCAAACAGTACCTTATATCTGAAGCAGCAGAGCTTAGTTAAAAGAGAAATACTGAATTTTTCAGAGTATAATACACACTGGAATATAAGAAACACCTTAGTTTTTGGGGAGGAAAATAAGAAAAATGCTGATTGGTGGGTGGATCGGCCTCCCGGAATACCTCCCATCAGCTGTTCCCAGAGGTGAATTTTAGCAACAGGTTCGTTGGTTGTGAGCTCTGCGCCTTGCTTTTTTTTCTGCCTCTTAAACTTCTGAAACTTTGTTTCAGAAAAAACTTTTTTTTCTGCCTCTGAAAGCCTCCAAAACAGAGGCTTTCAGAGGCTTTTTTCTGAAGCTCCATTTCAGAGGCTTTTTTTTAGCCTCTGGAACCTCTGTTTGAGAGGCTGAGCAAGGCTACATTCGGAGTATAAGACCCAGCCAGATTTTCACCCTCTTTTTTGGTGGGGGAAAACAGGTGCATCTTATACTCTGAAAAATACGGTAGCTCCAGCCTCTTCGATGTGAAAAACAACAAAACACATGTAAGAAAAGGGAAAGCGAGTGCAGGGGAAAAAAATCAGGCTAAAATGCAATGAAATACCAGCCATAAGTAGGGAAGGTTTTCCCTTCTCATTCTTGAATAGCAGTTAGCAACAGCAATAGCACTTAGACTTATATACCACTTCACAGTGCTTTACAGCCCTCTGTAAGCAGTTTACAGAGTCAGCATATTTCCCCCCAACAATTTGGCTCCTTATTTTACCGACCTTGGAAGGATGGAAGGCTGAATCAACCTTGAGCTAGTCAGGATCAAACTGCTGAACTGCTGAACTGCATTCTAACCACTGCGCCACCATGGCTCATAGTCCAGTGGTCTCCTTGCTCCTGAATAAGCCTTGAATGTATTGCTTTTTATTCTTGATGGAAACATCTGGAAGGATTTTAGTGTTCTTCCTGATAGGGGAGGATAAAGCAAGTTACTGCTATAACATCTTTGGGAGAGCACTGTTTACATCTGGACCCAGAACAGTCAAAAGTTTTGTCATTAAATAAAACAGGGTAGCCTTCATGTAGCCATCTTACTGCTGTCCTGGAAATTGTGTGCTTGCTCTGCATCACTAAATCGGTCACATGGTAAAATTTTGAAAAACAGTCTTAATTTCATTATTTTCAGATGAATGATTTGGATAGCGAAGATTGTAAGAAGGACACTCTTGTGGACGTGGTATTTAAAAAAGCTTTGAAAGAATTCCGGCAAAATATCTTCAGTTTCTACTCTTCTGCTTTGGCAGTAAGTTAAATAACTATTTATGTTTTAAAATTAAGTACTAATGACAGAAGTTCCTGGTGCAGCCAAACTGTACAAAAGCCGCTCTTGATGTTTGGGAAGATAATTGTTTACAATGATAATATTTTGGTTTTGATAGAAGGCGGAACTAGATTTATTAACTGATGTTCCTGCTTCTTCTTGTTATCTTGATCATTGTGTATCATGTAACAAAAAAATTTTTTTCCTGCTTTTGCAAATAAAGGAGGAGGAAGAAAGTCAGGAAGAAAAAAGTCAAATGTTCAGGAAGATGCTTCTTTGTGCAGTATCAAGAATAAAAATGGTCTCATCATCCAAATGATAGTGAATGGAATGAAAGCAAATGAGTCATTTGTTTAATGAAATTAGTAAGAGGGGTTCAAGCAGATATCATAGGAAGTGTGATTATGACTATAAAGCAGAGGTCTTGAAACTTGGCAGCTTTAAGACTTGTGGACTTCAACTCCCAGAATTCTCTAGCCAACATAGCTGGCTCTAGCTGCCAAGTTTGAAGACCTCTGCTATAAAAAGAGGGAGCGTCTCAGATGACACTCAGAGCTTTGCAAATAGAGTTTATGCAGTGTGTTTTTATAGTGCCAGTTTCCTCAAACTTCAATAAAGCAATGCCTGGGGCAGTCTTTCGCAATCTTGAGAAGGTTTTAAATGATTGGACTTCAACTCCCAGAGTTCTCCAGACAGCCTTGCTGGCTGGGGAATTCTGGGAATTGAAGTCCACATATCTTAAAGCTGCCGAAGTTGAGAAACACTGCTCTGAGGTAATACTTTGAATCCAGAATTGTGACACAACACCTTTCCTGCCCGTTCAGTCATCATGCAAGGAAGCAAAAGACCCCTGCTTGTGTTGCTGAGTTCTAGGCAATCAGTCGTTATGACCTGCCTTTTCTATGATTTGATTTCAGGACTGTGCTTAACGGTTTTCTTTGGATGCAAATGTTTATTTATTTTAGTGAATGAACGTTTTAATACATTTCTATCCTCTTTGTGGGAACGTTCAGACATTCACCTTCGTTTCTCCATGTTTTAATAGATGGGCGATGGGAAGAGCATCCGCTACAAGGATCTCTATGCGCTGTTTGAGCAGATTCTAGAGAAAACCATGAAACTCGAACAGAGGAACTGGAGTGAATCCCCCGTACGGGTCTGGGTCAATACATTTAAGGTGTTTCTGGATGAATACATGACGGAATATATGCCTTTGGATTATTCTGCTGCAAAGGTAAACTAATCCACCACAATCACAACCTCAAATTGCATCCCTTTGGCAGGAGGACCGTATTCTGGATGCCCTGTGAAGAATCATCTACCTTGTCCCAAAGGTGCTTTTTTCAAAAGGCAACTGGACTTTGTTTTTCCTTGAAGAGGTTTCGCTTCTCATCCCAGAAGCTTCTTCCGTTCTGACTCAATCTAAGCTTGAAGAGGTTTCACTTCTCTTCCCAGAAGCTTCTTCAGTTCTGACTGAACGGTGGAGGATGGAAGGATCTATATTCCTTGCAGTCATCTGGTCATTAGCACTCTTTCAGAAAGTTCTTTATGCTGCTAACATAACATAATTTCCTTGCCTCTTGTTATTGACGAATAGAATTTGAAAGGCTGGCTTGCAATAATGTATACAAAGTTTTATCATGAATGAAGGCGAATGCAAGATAATGTTGCAGGATCCAATCTGGGTGGGTCAGATTGGTCTGGTCCCGGTGACCAACCCAGATTGGATCCTACAAAACATTTTATGATCACAAAATATAATATGCTATATTGAAAATGAAGAATCTGAAGTAACCAGATTAACTGCTACTTAAAAAAAAAAGATTAATATCTCCTTCCAAATATCCCTGTTCCTGCCAGAAGCCATGACAGCGGAATTCTGAGCCTACTTGACACTTGTTAAGTCTCTCAGTTCTGACTCAGTAATGCCCACATAATGAAATATTGAATGTTATAGGAATATCTTGGTCAGGAGAAGAAGCAGTAAATGAGATAAGAACGGTGTCAAGTTTCCAAAAGATGCCCTAATTAATTCATGAGCCATGAGCAAGTTGACGAACAGTCTGTCTGATTTTAATAGCTCCTTGATTTGCTTTGTAAATGAAGATTATGTAAGAAAACAGATTTAAATTTGCAAGTAGAAACAGAAGTCTTCAAAGAATACTGAACTGTTTGATATTGTCTCTTGTTGTCTTAGGTGACAAAAACAGAAAGGAAGAAGAGACGAAAGAAGGAAACAGACATAGTAAGCTGAAATACTTCCTCCTTTTAATATGAAGCAAATTATATTACAAATTATATAGACATTTATTATGTATGTTTAAATGCTTGCAGCAAGTCCAGGTATGTCAATGTTGGCATTCAGTGATCAACATCCTGAAGGTTTGACAGTTTTTGAGACAGGATAAAACAGGATGGAATGAATCATAAGTCTGATTAAAATCACATGTAAGCAACTTTCATTGTTGAAACAAAAGGTGGGGTAGAAATTCAATGAATGAACTAATGGATGATATTATTGAACCTTCTGAGAAATGGTCAACATTGCCAAGAATACTCCTCCAGCATTCCAGCCTGTTTTTTTTTTTTTAAATAACAGTTATATGAAATATTTTTGTGCAGTAGAATAAATACTCAGTTTTATTTTCAACTGCTGTTAAATGTCAAATTGCATTTTTTGTCATTACTAGGTAGAAGAACATAATGGCCACATTTTTAAGGCTACTCAATATAGCATCCCTACCTACTGTGAATTCTGTTCCTCCTTGATATGGATCATGGACAGGGCCGCTGTTTGCAAATGTAAGTATAAACTGTTAATCCTTCTGCACTCTTTTTCTTCCTTACATTTCTTCTTTCTTACATTTCCTTTCCTTGGGAGATTGTTAGCTCCTTTAATTTTCGTTCAAATGCCTTGCCAAATAAAGAAAGGCCAGTAGTAAGTATTGCACTATAGTTTTAATTTTTGCTATAATTATAACTAAGAAACCAAAGGAAAGCTGTATTATAGGGAGTGCCGAATCTGTATAGAGGAGAAGCATTTAGCCTGCTACATTCCACAGCCTAATTATACAGCAAAATCCAGCTAAGAGTCTCCTTGTCAGCTCTTGTAAAGTTATAACGCAATAAAATTTCACTGCATTTTATTATGTGCAACACTAAATACATTTTTCTTAATTCCAGTGTGCAAATACGCTTGCCACCGAAAGTGCTGCCAGAAGACCACAACAAAATGCTCCAAAAAGGTACCGTGTTTTCTCTCGTTTCCATATGCCACACATACAGGCCAGGGGAATTCTGGGAGTTGAAGTCCACATATCTTAAAGTTGCCAAGGTTGAGAAACAGCTGTTTAGATGCTGATTCTTAATTCATATTTCTACTGCGACACATTCTGTAAAGCCAGAAACAAGGGAGTCTGAAAACTCTGGGGGAGACGGTGGAGTTAAAAGCTTGTTTTCTGCTTTTCCTTTGCCTGCTCCTCCACTGCTCTGAATTGAGACTATGACTAAAATGCTAATCCCGTGCAAAGACAGCAAGGACTTGGGGAAAGGTGAAGCAGAACAGAGTAGAGTAGAGTAGAGTAGAGTAGAGTAGAATAGAATAGAATAGAATAGAATAGAATAGAATAGAATAGAATAGAATAGAATAATAGAATAGAATAGAAGAGTTGGAAGGGACCTTGGAGGTCTTCTAGTCCAACCCCCTGCTTAGGCAGGAAATCCTACACCACTTTAGACAAATGGTTGTCCAATCTCTTCTTAAAAACTTCCAGTGTTGGAGCATTCACAACTTCTAGAGGCAAGTTGTTCTACTGATTAATTGTTCTAACTCTCAGGAAATTCCTCCTTAGTTCTAGGTTGGTTCTCTCCTTGATTAGTTTCCAGCCATTGCTTCTTGTCCTGCCCTCAGGTGCTTTGGAGAATAAGTTGACCCCTTCTTCTTTGTGGAAGTCCCTGAGATATTGGAACACTGCTTTCTTGTCTCCCCTAGTCCTTCTTTTCATTAAACAAGCATGTTGAGATGTTTCCATTACTCTAAATATTTGCTTTATGTTTTGCATAGCTTGTAATCTTAAAGCAGGACTGTTCTGATCCTTGCATTTTAGCAGCTTTAGACCCATGCGAATATTGTTGGAATTTGGACAGTGTGGCTGTGATGTGTTTGTAACGCTGATTGCATTATCCCTGTCCCTATAGTATGACCCAGAGCTTTCTTCACGCCAGTTTGGAGTCGAACTCTCTCGCCTGACCAGCGAAGAACGGATTGTGCCAATAGTGTTTGAGAAGCTCACCAGCTACATAGAAATGCATGCTTTGTATACAGAGGGCATTTACCGGAAATCTGGATCAACAAATAAGATCAAAGAGTTACGGCAGGGTCTTGACACAGGTGAGGAGGCTTAGAGAAGCGGAATTTGCATTATTGTGGGGTTTTTTTCCACCCTGATGTCTATGTCACACAGGTCCCTCAAAATGATCGGGCATTTGGCCTAATACAGTGAACACAGCTTATTTTAGAGATGCTGAAACTTTAGGGCAGATGATGGCCAGAATATTAATATATTAATATTAATATTTTGGTGATCAACAGTATTCAATTTGATTTAGCTCAGGGTTTAGGCAGTGCTGAAGCAGGACTCATACAGTACCTCTAGTTAATTCTATCTTAGGCTAAAGCTAATATGTAGCTGTGGTTCATGTTTGATTTATGTTTGAGAGTCAGTTTGGTATATCGATTAAAATGAAGGACTAGGACCTGGGAAACTATGAGTTCTACTCCTCCCTTAGGCATCAAAGCTAGGATAAACCTATATCTTAAGTTCAGAAATTTTGACTCCTGTTTTTTGCAGTCAGTTATACTATTGTTAAGGAACCTAGGCCATCACATCGCATCACACTTGTGTTGGAGGCACCAAGGGGTGAAAGGATTAGCCAGTGACATCACCATTGCCCTGGATATGGTCAGTTAGGGGCTCCTTTCAGGTCTCTGACAGGAGCTGGAGCAAAGGACAGGAGCTCACCCTGCACCATGGCAGCACACGGATCTCGAATGCAGGACTGCTGCTTGTCAAGCCAGCATTTTAACACGAACCGTACCTTGGCCATGATTTAATTCTTACATTGGCACCAACGTGTTAGAGTACATGGTGAAGTATCCTTTTGCTATTTCTCCTTTGATTTTAATTTTTTTCTTGCTTTCATTCTTTCCAATAACCAGATATCGAACGAGTGAATCTCGATGACTACAACATCCATGTCATTGCCAGTGTGTTCAAGCAATGGCTGAGGGACTTGCCTAATCCTCTCATGACATTTGAACTCTATGAAGAATTTTTGCGAGCCATGGGTAAGGAGTTGTTGTCACACCTAGATGAAGTAGGACTTTGGGAAATATTAAAAGCGAAGCTAAGAAAAAAACCCAGGCTGTTTCTGCTGAGAAAGTTATGTTCTCCACTACTTCACTATCTCTTCAGCTTGCTTTTCCTTATCCCGGAAAAGATTTCTACACAAAATACCTGTGAAAATTCTTTATCGTGATGAAAGCTAAAACCGTAATGATGCTTTTTCTAGGGATCTGCTTTGGATGGTGTACTGAGGCATCCCACTGCGATGCAGTGTATCTCCTTGATGAGACCCCAAACTAAACCAATCATTCCACTTCTATACTCTGCCTTCTTTCTCTGCATTTCAGACATTATATCCTGATTTTTCACCTAAATATTTCAAACCCCTCAGTTATATGGAAATCATCTTCTGCCTTAAGTCGCAGTAGGATTTCCCAATGTATTCTTTAAGAACACCACTTGAATTGCAAAGGTATTTTGAGAATCTGGCTCATTGCTCAGAGATTCCCTTTCTGGAGTCTTCCTTAAATCCTGAGCAGTAGTGGACTTGCAAGATACGTGTGTTTAGATGTGTATATAATATTTTATAAGCTTCGCTTGCTGTAAAAATACTCATTCCTGAGACAGAGCAAGCCACAATCCTAATGAGTTGAATGAAATGTTGCAGGATCCAATCTGCATCGGTCACCAGGACTGGAAGTTTAAACCCTTGTCTCAGCGATCGACCCAGATTGGATCCTGCAATACTATCCTGGGATACGTACGGTATATTCGCCTTAATTTGTGAGTGAAATTTGTTTTCTGCAGGTTTGCAGGAGAGGAAAGAGGCCATCCGTGGTGTCTACTCAGTCATTGATCAGCTTTCCCGAACTCATCTTAATACCTTGGAACGTCTGATCTTTCACCTTGTCAGGTATCAGTAGCCAAGATAAGGATATAAAGAGATTTCCTTGTGAATGTCAGCTTTATCTGCAGATATATTCCCACGTTCAGCTTTTGGTGAGACCTGCAATCTTGAAAGGCGGTTCTGTTTTCAGAGTTGTGTGCCAAGACTGGCTTATTTGCAGAGAGCTTTGGAAAGTTAAGCTCTGCCTATCTTCATCTGGCTTTCAATCATGCTTATTATATAACTCCCCCAGGAAAGCCAGCCATTTCTACACATTATTCTGGGTGACAAAAAGCTTTTCTCAAGGCACACACATCAAAGCAAAAGGCCTTTATAACCCCACGATCAAGCTGGAAGGCAAATAGTCCTTTCAGTTTGTTATGTTGACGTGTTATTTTAACAGTGGGTCACCGCAGTTCTCTTTTAGTGATTTGATATGATTGGGTAATAAAAAGATAATATAGATAAATAATGGTGCCCAGGGAATTCTAGGAGTCAGAGTCTACACATCCTCCAAAGTTGAGAAACATTAGGCTAGAGACAGGCACTGTGGTTTGGACTAGTTTTAGAAATATGGGACAGAAAGTAGGCCACACAGAGATCTATCATCCAAGAGAAAAGAATGGCTGGGAAGGACAGAAGGAACAGCTAAAACTCTGGCATTGTTGCTTCTCCCCAGCATCGGCCATTGTCTCACTCCACCTATTGATGTCCACCCTGTCTCTTCTCTTTGGCCTCTGTGTTAATTCTTAGGTTCCACTCAATGGATTTATTTTTTTTAAATTTGATTTATATGCCGCCCTTCTCCGGAGACTCAGGGCGGCTTACAATGTGTTAAGCAATAGCCTTCATACTTTTGTATATTTTATACAAAGTCAGCTTATTGCCCCCACAATCCGGGTCCTCATTTCACCTACCTTTGAAAGGATGGAAGGCTGAGTCAACCTTGAGCCTTGGCGAGATTCGAACCAGCAGAAATTGCAGGCAGCTGTGTTAATGACAGGGTGCACTAAACCACTGTACTATCAAGGCTCTTATTTGTCCCACCTCGCAACAAGTGAGGGTTGTTACGAGCACCTGTAATTAAGTTTCACTGCCATTCTGTTTTTATTTTGTTTAGGATTGCTCTACAAGAAGAAACGAATCGAATGTCAGCTAATGCTCTGGCCATTGTCTTTGCTCCCTGTATCCTCCGTTGTCCAGACACCACTGACCCTTTGCAGAGCGCTCAGGATGTCAGTAAAACCATCAGGTAATTAAAAAAAAAAAAAAAGACTTGCCACCAGCCATGACCGGTTCAACTCCACTGATGTCACTCACATAATTTGGGGAGGAACATTTTACAAAAATGAAAATTCCAGAAGAAGACATTGCGTACATAGATTGATTCTTCCAATTTTTTTTCACTTATAATATTCACAGCAAGAAAGAACTTTGTTTCTTGGGGTCTGCAACCTTAAACACTCAAAGAGCCATTTGGACCCATTTCCCACAGAAAAGAAAACACCGGGAGCCACAAAACCCTTCCCGTGCCTGACTATTTCTTGAGCAGCCACAAAACTAGCATATGTAGTTGAATTAAACGTTCTGTTTTCTTCTGAAACTTTTATTTTCTTGGATTTATCCATGGTTGGCCTACCGGGGGTTGAAAAGCTCAATAAATCACGTGCTGGCGGGTGTCGCACATTGGCAGTTGCGATGCATATTTTGAGTGACAGGGAGCCGCAGCAGAGGGGTGAAAGAGCCACATGCGGCTCCAGAGCCGCAGTTTTCTGACCTCTGGTCTAGGCTTTAGACAGCAATCGCTTAGATTCTGGCCTTCAAGCCCTAACTTTCCCTCTTGATGATTTTTTTTTTCTCTTTTCAGTTGCGTAGAGTTGGTTGTTATAGAACAGATGAACAAATACCGGGCCCGTCTCAAGGATATCAGCAGCCTGGAGTTTGCAGAGAACAAAGCAAAGAGCCGACTGTCCTTGATCCGCAGGTCCATGGTAAGGGGCAGGACTGACTGACTGGCTGCATGACAGACTGACCTAGTCCCAGATCACGAAGAAGTAGAGACAATGCTCCATCACCCAATCTTCCCTGTTTCCTATCCCACATGAATTGATACCAGTGTCCTTGTTCAGAGAAATATTGACAAAGATCACCTGTGTTTGTCTCTCCTACTAATACCGTACTAGTTGAATAGCCTAGATTCTGGAACATTAAAGAATTCCCTGTGTGAGAGTTAACTTAACTTGGGTGTGGATAATAATAACTGAACGATACCTGTCTCTCTCTCTCTCTCTTTTCTCTCCCCTCTAACCTTTTCTTCCCATCTGTCTAACTCTTTGCACGTTTCAAGTTCTTTAATATGTGATTTAAATCTAATGCAAAAGTTGGTTTAAGCACTAATATCTGGCTCTTCAAAGCAACCGGGATCACTCGGTTGTTACTTTATATAGGTAACTGGTGGTTCTTGAAGGTTTTTTTTTCTTTAATTTCCAGATACCCTTTAGTGCAGAGGTCTTCAACCTTGGCAAAAGTTGCCAAGGTTGGAGACCCCTGCTTTAGTGAACTCAAACCACTCTAGCTTGTATGTAATTGGCTTTTCTCCATGATTAGTCCCTGTTCCCCTAACTCATCTGCTTTCAGGAAAGGCTTCCATTCTCCTCTCTTCCACCTGCACGTGCCAGTGGGAGACTCTGGGGTGACAATGCGGTGTGCAGACTGTACTCTGGCCCCCCGCTGAGCTCTTCGTAATAAATCACTCCCTCTCCCCGCTTATGAACTTTTTATCAGGCGCAGAACAATTTGCATGCTTCTTAGCTAGGCTGCTGACTTGAAAAGCAGTTGCTCTGCTTAGAAACGGCCACAGTTTGCCTCCTCTCAGGCCGGCCGGGGTCCATGGAGGTTGGGGGCTCGGCTGACCTCACGATAGGAGGCCAAGGGAAGCATTGCTTGAACAAGCTGTGGCTGTGAGGCCTACTGGGCACCCTCTCTTGGGGAGTCCCGTCTGTGACTGCAGCCAATGCTTCGCCACCTCTCTTGCGGCATAGAATGGCTTGCGGCTCCTTTGCACTTTCTAGCAGCTGCAGCAAAGAGTCAGCTTCCACCGCCATGCCCAGCCACTCCCAGAGTCAGCTGATGGCGTGTGCACTCTAACCTGCTCCTTTCCTTTCCTTTTCCTGTCCTCTCTAATCCAGAAGCCTGTACTAATTGCCGTTAGATTTATGAGCATAACCCGCAGTTCGATCCCGGTATGTATCCGAATTGCAACGCACTGACCTGACGCCATAACTCGCCATCCATCCCAGTGCCTTCTGCATGCTCCATGGCCATGGCCCATATTTCATAACTTGTGTGTGGTATGTGTGTGCGTGTGTGTTTATTTCCAACTCTTCGGGTGCCGTCCACTTCTCGCGATAACAAAAAGGCATCAAAAGGGAATGCATATAAGGCCATTTTCATCTAGACAGATTAGGAGGAAGACAAGTAGCCATTTAAGATAGAAGAGAGTCCGTTTTGACAGGGGTTTCTGCAATGTTTGGCACAGGAAATGTTTTTAGAGAAGAATATTTGCTGAGTTGTGTTTTTCCCCCCACTATAGTAAAGAAGAGAATGAGGCAGGGTCTTAACAGAAATTGAAAAGCTAATGGAAATTTGGCATGAATTTGTTCCCTTGAATTCTTGAACTGTTCTGTTGAGCTCTTTTCTGTATCCTCTTTTATTTTCCCAAATTCTTTTATCTATATCTTCATACTTTCCTCTGGCCTAGACCAATTTCATATATTAAGACCACAGACAATCCTTTGAAGCACAACAGGAATTCAGTATATGGTTCCCCCCCTCCCCTTCTAACCTTTCCAGTTTTCAGCAAACAAACACATCATCCTCTGGCCCTGCCTTTGCTTGAATTTTCAAGCAAAGCATAGAAGAAAGATTCCTTTTTAGAGTCAGACAGCATAGAAGCCCTGCCTAAGGTTAATATTAAAGCAGCTTCGCTAATATCTAATCAGAGCCTCAACTTCTAAAAGGAAAATCTGAATATGATTTTGGCAAAAAACATAGATCCCAAAATATATTCTTATTCAGCCAGAAAGGGAAATCTCGAAATTGATTTAACAATTCTTGGAATCATTTACATCAGAGGTCTCCAACCTTGGCAGCTTTACAACTTGTGGACTTCCATTCTCAAAGGAGGTTGGAAGTCTGAGGAATTCCATGCTGCCTGAGGAATTCTGGGAGTTGAAGTCCACAAGTTGTAAAGCTGCCAAGGTTAGAGATCCCCTGATTGACATAACAACATGATGCTGCTGAACATGATGCTGCTGAAAGTATGAAGGGGCTAAAAGTGTTTGCTTATTTTTTTTATTTATTTTTTTGCAATATACCCCAGGACAGATACTGTATATGTATTGTTGATCTTTGAGAATCTGGATGAACCAAATGGGCATATTTCTTGGCTCTGTATCCAGAGAAATAAATTCTCCTCATATTCACAGTGATCCATTTCTACTAGTTTATTCGTAGAATTTCATTGAAAAATACAAGGATAAGGATTATCTGTATTTTGTTGATGGCTTCCTTTGTTCTCATTTTTTTCCCCTGCCTAGAGGGATTCTTTCATTAAAATAGTGCTCAGTACATTTCAGCATTTCCAATGTCCTAAAAAGGGAGTGAGCTAAAAGATGGTATAAACAAGAGTTCTTTAAAATACTTTAATCCAGTTTCCTTTCTTGCACCACTTTTTGATGCTGGCAACCTGAAATACTCTATTATAAAGTAAATCCATAGAAATAACTTCTGGTTTATAGATTAAGTGTATTTTTGAGGACTTCCAAAAATAGTCCCTATGCCCTTGGATTTATATTTGCTTCCTGTCCTATCTGTCTTTGAGGAAATTGTTTGCTTGCTGGTTGTCTCATACATATACTGGGGATGAATTCTTCTAATCTCAAAGCTGATCGAAGGCCGCATTCCTCATTAGCCTTACTTTATGCATAGGGCAAAGGGCGTCTACGCCGAGGCACCTACTCAAGCCCTACATCCCCAGCGGGAGTCCGGTTGCCCTCTATGGCGGATGCTCCCGAAGAGGCCCTGAGCAGCGAGGAGGCCATGGAGATGGAGGTCACTGAACAGCAACAAGTAGCCATGCAACAGGAAGAGAAGGTGCTGGCAGAGCAAATCGAAAGCCTGCAGAAAGAGAAGTGAGTCTTAAGTAACTGGACCAATGAAGCCTAAGTAGCTGGACCAATCAGATTGGGGGTGTTTGTCTGCTACATTTCAGGAAATGCTTGACCCATATCAGTCAAGTTGGGTGCAGATTGACTATTGCGGGCATAAGCTTAATTCCAATAAAGGAAAATATTCAGTGTTGAAATGAGGGGGTCCTCCTGAAATGAGCTGAGGTGGCGCAGTGGTTAGAGTGCTGTACTGCAGCTACTTTAGCTGACTGCTAGTTCAGCAGATCAGCAGATCAAATCTCACCGACTCAAGGTTGACTCAGCCTTCCTTCCTTCCTTCCTTCCGAGGTGAGTAAAATGAGGATATTTAGTATACTGTCTCTGGTGTAAGCCGCCCAGAGTCCTCGGAGAGTGGGCAGCATAGAAATATGATTAATAAAAAAATAAAAATAATAATAAATGATGGTGCTCTCTGAGCTTGCTTGTTTTCTTGCAGATAGCTCATTATCCAAATTAGGTGACATCATCAGTGCTGTTCTAGCTTGACAATGTTACCTAGTTGGGGCAATGAAACATCTTCAAGAATACAACCAACCTCAGAAAGCACCAAGGACCCCTCACGACCTTAATAGTCCTTTATTTCCTAGTTTCTGCTGCTGTTTTTCCCTCTATCCAGTTCTTTCCGTTTATTTTGTGTTTTCTCCCTGCAGGGAAGAACTAACTTTTGAGATGCTGGCACTGGAGCCCAGAGCCTCTGATGATGAAACATTAGAGTCTGAGGCTTCGATTGGCACTGCCGACAGTTCTGAAAACTTGAATTTTGATTCCGAAGGAGCTATTTCGGACAAATCAGGTAAATAAAATTTGTTGGAGAAGGTGTCCTAAGGGAATCGTCATTAGTACACGAGGTTGATCATTCAGTAATATAGGTATAATAGTATTCAGTTAAAACTTTACACTTGTTTGATCAAATCTGAGGAAGACTTGAAGAAGACAAGCTATATTCTGAAAACACTTAATGGAAAATGTCCCCTCCAGGCAGTCTATAAATAAGCCACAATGTTTGATTCCATGGATGGGAATCAGGAGAGCTTCCTTTGGACTCATACCAGGAAATTTTGTCTCCTTGTCAGTGCATCCCTACTGCCGCTCTTAAACATCCCTCGTATCTCTTCCCTACCAGGCAGAAGTTTAGCCTTCAACCCGGCAAGACCCGGCAAGGCAGACCCGGTCAGTACCTCTCGGTCCCGAAGGCAACTGCGCAAGCAGCAGGAGTCTGTGGACTCAGTGGACTCCTTGGTTTCTTCTCCATCCCTCTCGCCTTCTTCCTCTTCATCCTGCCTGCCTCACGTGACAAGGAAACGATTCCAAATCTATTCCAAATCGCCTTTTTATCGAGCGGCTCCCTCTGGGGACGCTGGGGCACCGGAGCGATCGCCAGGACACACCAAGGTCCTGGACGACAGGCCACAGTTCACCACTCGAGGGACGTTCAATCCGGAGAAAGGCAAGCAGAAACTGAAGAATGTGAAAATCTCCTCCCCTAAAGCCAAAGAACTCCCAGAGGGGTCTGCTGGGACAGGCCGGAAGCGCCACCCCGAGGCTGCTGATTACATGACCCCTCAGCAACTGGTGCTTCTAGGAAATAACGAGTTCATGGTATGAGTCGGCAAGCATCTCCTCCGTCGCATCTTCCCTCCACTTCAGTGCCATCTGCTGCCACTCCATTGTAGGACAACTGCTGTCCCCCAAGTCAGCATCTCCTCCCTATTCGTTGCTTGGAATCCTAGCATCGCGTTGCCAGTGGAGAAGCAGGGAGCCTCCCTCTTCCATCTAGAACGAGCGGAGGAAAGTTCAGCTGTGGCCTTAGTTGACTTTAGCCTTTTGGAACTCGGCGAGTCAGGCTGGGAATTTGCAGTGAAATTTGCAGCAGAGCTGGAGGGAATGATGGCCGGTGAACCAGGTTTGGCGTTCCCCCTTTTTAATGGGCCAGGGAATGTATGCCAGCCAGCCAGCTGAGAACATCAGGAAGGCAGCCGGAGTTCAAGAGAGGTTTTCTTGATCCTGAGGGTCAAAGCTCTTGACTTTGGGGTTAGGTTTTTGCACTGGGATTGAGAAGCAATGAACTTCCTAGAAGAAACGAGACAGCAAGAAAGGAGACTGAGGCCTTTGTTCAGGGCTGTTTATAATGCACTCCATGGCATTGTCAGATGTGGTGGGAAATGCTCATTTTCACTCAAGCACTTCTTAGATACATCAGGTGCACCTCCGTTGTGAACAAGAGTTATTTATCTAATCTAGTTTTTCTTGGTTTAAACTTTTGGGTTGATGGTGTCAGAATAACCAATGCCAGTTTGATTCCAGGTATGTCAAAGCCAAATATTTGTGCCGAATTTCCAGTAGCCATAATCACAGCATAGGTCCTGTCCCTTGGGGCAGAAAATCCGACTCGTTTAAGATAAGACTAAAAGAAAGTATTAGGGAACAGAACCGTTTACTTTTCTGACTGTGTCTCTGGCTCAATTCCATGCTGGTAGCTGAGCAAGCTCTTTTAAGTTTCTTGACCGGCTGAGAAAACGCCACTCAAGCAAAACACAAGCATAAGGAAGGCTGCTGTTGAAATCAGTCAGTTTAACACATGATTTAACGTCGCTTTCTTTGCTACGCATCAGTATTAAACCATGGCGCAATTTTATTTTATTATTTTTTTAAAGTGAGAGACTACTTGAAGCTCTTTTGTTAGTATTATGGTTACTGAAGTTCAATGTAAATATAACTTTTTATGTTTGTTTTCTTTTTCCACAATGTGGGACTTTATTAATGTGGGACATTTAAGCCAGAAAAGTATAAGGAGGAGGAGGAGGAGCAGACATGAGTTACTAGAAGTAATTCTGGGATCTTTTCAGTGTGGAACAATAAACAGTCGCCGTGTTTTGCACCGGTATGACAATAGATCATTCCACCTGTACGTTGTGAAAAAAATTGCTATATTACAAATATAGAAGAAGAAGGGCCCCTCCTTGAGGACAACAGAGGGGTCTATTTAAAAGTCTTTGGGAAGCCCCATTTTTCAGTTAAACCCATCGCTGATTTGTTTTGATTGTACGGCAGAAAAGTTAAGACTGCGAAGCCCACCGCTTTTTTTATACTTGTCGAAAAGGACAGCATGTTGTGATCACCTGCAGAAACCTGAGATCATTGGTCCTCTTTACAAACCCCGCACACCTGTATTATCTGAAGGACAAGCTGATCCTGATATATTTCTCATTTCCTACCCAAGAGCTTTGACCAACTGAGTGTTGCAGCGGTGAATGGTTTAAAACCACCGCCCCCTCCTCTTTAAAAGTATAGAAGGAAGCTACAAATCGATCCCGGAGCCTTTTAAGTCTGCTGAATCACAGTTGCGTCTCTCAAAAACTGACTTAGTTTTTAATCTGGCACCATGTAAAGCTAGAGCTCTTGACCTCGTAAATATATAAGACAGGCAGTGTTGTAACCCGTCAAACGTTGTTTTAAACATCCAAGTTGAATAAGTCAGAATTGGCACTCTGACTTAATGGCAATGTCACTCTCATTAAGAAATCCCCATATTTATAACAGTTCGTGTTACTATAAAGAGGCCTTATTTGAGATTTCAAACGGTTCTTTCAATGACCGAAGATGGCGTTTGCTAGGTTGATCCAGTTTTGTTCAGCTGTTGACCGAAGAATCTCTTTGTGTTTTTCCTACTTCAGAAAGGCAAAACTTTCCCCTTCAAACCTGATGTTGGATTCCTGTTTGCTCTTGAGGTTTGGGTATTGAGTTTGTTGGTTTTCTGAGCAAAGTAGATGTTCCTGATGGACAGTTTGCGGAGAGAATGTCCAATGTATGAGTTCCATTTTCAGGGTTTAGGGGGATTTTGTATACGTGAGGAATTTTACGCCCACCTCTTGAAATTTTGCAAACCTGGTGGAGATTATCTTTTTCTTATTTTTCCTTGGAGTCTTAGAACCTGCAGTGATGCACCCAGTAGCTTTAGCCTCTAGTTCAATGTTTCTCAACCTCAGGAAGTTTTAAGATGTGTGGACCAATTCCCAGAATGAAGGGAATTCTGGGAATTAAAGTCCACACATCTTAAAACTTCCTGAGGCTGAGAAACATTTCTGTGATCCCTGCAAGTTGGGTTTTCTGCGCAGGGGATAGTGTAATTCCAAGGAGCTCTAATAAACTAGAAAAGGAACTGTCAAGATTTTGGTAAGCAGGAGATTGTTAAGTGAATGGATCCTAAAGCTGCCTCTTTACCGAAAAGCACCTCCTCTCCACCCACCCCCCCCCCCACACTCCAATCCCTCCCCACATATATCACATTTACCATGCAAGCCTTACTCTTCCTCCAAGTATGTGCACCAAGACCTTTTCCTGCCTTCCCTTACCACCACCACCCCGGATTCTTCCTCCCTCCACCCTCAGTTGATTTTTGTGCTGAGAAATTCCAGGCTTTGCCTCCGATCCTGGGGGCTAATTTCCCCCCCTTTTCTTCCAGCGTAAAGCTCTGTCCTTAGGATTGGTCTGGGGAGCATTGGAGGGGAGCGGTCGATATCCAAGAGAGACTTTTGTTTGAACTTTTTCTGAATTTCAGGCAGCAAGAAATCCCTGCCTGGGTTTCTATCTGCTTGCTGTCTTCCAGTTTTCCGTCTTTTCTTAGCATCTCCACCCTAGAACCACCTTGTAAAGTTCATGGACCAGCTCTGTTCCCACCCAAGATATTAAAGTGAATGTACTCCCCACTAGGAAGGACATTGGCTGCATATAATTATTTTTAACGGAAATTTTTAAAAGTAATTTATAAGTATACTGAGTGTACAGTTTAAAAGCAGACTATGTATTGTAAAAGGATATACTTGTCCTGTGTCATATTCTATAAATTTTACCTGTGAGAAGAAGAATTCTATAAATGCTTTATTTTGCTCACGGAGCTGGATGATGTGCAGTTAACCTGGGTCAGCCAGCACGCTTGTTAATTTCCACGTCTGAAAGGTTTTATTTTCCCTTTGTTAATGTTATTTTATTACTTTTTTTTTTCCTGAAACAAGGCCGTCATATTTGAAGTGCAATTTGTGTAATATTTCATAAATACAACACTATTCTATGGCTGTACAAAAACAACTTTATGAACAAATAACAACCTCCCCCCCCCCCAGCTTATTAAAGAACAAAAGAATGGAAAATAAAGTGATAGTGGCAGATGTGTTTCCTACCTGTTGATGTTTGTAGACACCCAGCAAATATATTGTATTGCTATGTTCCTAGAAGAATGCCATGTTAGTGTTTCTGCAGCTTCCTTGGTTTCCAGACACCAAGAATTGCTTAGAAAACTTGGTTAGCTTCTCAACTCCAGTGGAGTGTCTGCTACGCTATCCATGAACACCCTTAACTGCTTTTCATTGAGAAGTGGATACAGATTCAAAAGAGAGCATTCCAAGGGACCAATTGCTTCCTTGAACACTGAATATTAGTGTGGTTGTCTGGATTTAACCTGGAAACCTAAATCAACTCTATACAGTGTAATGGAGAGAGCATCGTTCCACTTTCCGATCCAGCCAAGGACTTTTCACGTGATTTGTTTTCACCGCTGCTGATTGCGGTTCCATGGAAAAGAGGCAACAAAGCCCATAAGCCAGCGTGCTTCTTCCAGATGGGAGGAAACAGCCTCCAGGGCCTATTAAAACCCTACTCTTGCCGAAGATAAATTTTGCTACATGGGATGATGATCGTGTGATCGCTCAAATGTCAGGAAAACGGAACAGGGCAGCAAATCCTGCATGTGGAAGCCTACATAAACTTGGTCAGCCAATAAAATTTGGTGTTCTAAGGCAGGGGTCTCCAACCTTGGCAACTTTTAAGACTTGTGGACTTCCAACTCCCAGAATTCCTCAGCCAGCATGTGCTGGCTGAGGAATTCTGGGAGTTGAAGTCCACAAGTCTTAAAGTTGTCAAGGTTGGAGACCCCTGTTCTAAGGAACAAGGAGTTCCAACGCCAAGCAGTAATACAAGCTACTCATTTATTAACATTTATACAAGATTGCTAATGACGCCCTCGCTGCTGATATCCACCAGGCTAAGAAGAGGATCAGACCCATTTTTCCCAAGCTAGATTGGGCATTTGATTTTGAGCTCATCTTTACATTTCCAGTTTTTATTGCCAGAATACGATATGGAAAGGCGGCCTGTGGGCACAGTTGAATAAAAATAAAGATTGAGGATCCTGTCAGAGGTTCCATGAGAGCATCTATGCCTTGCATCATGTGGAAAGCAGCATAGCTGAACATTCCCGGGATGAGGTCGGGGCCTCAACTACTCTTGTGTTCTACATCCAAGCTAGCAAAGTGCCTCAGTCAGGAACATGGGATTTTCTTAGCAAGAGGCACTTCAGCTGTTTTCTGACAGAAAACTGAGCTTGGTCGTACAGGTAGTCCTCTTACTGGCAACTACAATCGAGCCCAAAATTTCTGTGGCTAAGTGAGTTTTGTCCCACTCTGTGATCTTTCTGGCCACAGTTGGTAAGTGAATCACAGCAGTTGCTAAGTGGGTAACACGGCTGTTCAGTGAATCTGGCTTCTCTGTTGACACTGCTTGTCCGAAGGTCACAAAAGGGGATCCAGGACACTTGCAACCGTCATAAATATGAGTCAGTTGCCAAGCGCCCGAATTTTGATCATATGGCAACAGTCGAAAGTGTGAAGTCACTTTTTCAGTGTGGTCACTGAACGAAAGGTTGTACGTCAAGGGCTATCTTAACCATACTATTGGTTTAATTGAATGTAGTAACTGACTAGCTTTGGATTCAATAGTTCAACGTTACAGTTCAACAGTATCATTCCCACACAGTCGTCTCTTGCACTAGTGAATCGGGAGCAGTTTTTGTGCTGTGGGACGCCTTTTGTAATTGAATGACTTGGACTAGAAGACCTCTAAGGGTCTCTTCCAGCTCTATTCTGAATATGAAGCATTGTCTGTCATCACTGAAGGCTTCCAGCCCAAATCCCAAAACATCTGGACAGGTTTCTCGTCTGTCTCTCCCCCTCCTTGCATTTTCAAACGGAGGAGCCCGCTTAGGAATTTCAGCCACTCCTCCAAAACGTTCGCCTGTCAATTTTTGAACATGTCACACAGCAGCTTCTCCATAGGGGTGTTCCCAATGGTTCTGCGGAAAAAGAGAACCTCGATGCGTTCCGAAGTAATAAATTTCAGCGAAGGGAGCAGCAGTAGTAATTTTCCAAACCTAGGAGGCGATATAGAAAAGACATTTATAGCTACTTCACCAATCGTGCAATACTAGAATTGTATCAAAGAAGCAGGAGAATACCAAATAAATAAATAAATAAAAACTAAAGTTCTTAAATCTGGTACCCCAAATTTAGCCAGGGTGCCACTGAAGCTCCGAAGCCTCTGCTCAGAATCTCTCAAAATTTCTATCATGTTACTATTGCTGAAAGAATAAATAAAGAGGTGGTTGCCTTTTTTTAAACCAAATTCTGTAAGGACTATAATATTAAGACTTATTTGGATGTATACACAAAGCCAGCTGGGTGACTTTTGGTCCAGTCACTCTTTTGCAACCTTATAGGAGACAATGTCAAACCATTTCTGAAAAAACTTGCCAAGAAAACTGCGGGGACCCCTGCAATCACCAGGGGTCGAAAACTGACTTGGAGACACACACAAAAAAACAAAATTAAAAGAAGTTTTGAGACAAAATTTGAGGGAACACAGAAAATAGCTCGTATCTCTAGGTACCTGACTGGCTGACTAGGATAATGTATATGAGTGTGTTGTCCCAGCATCACCTGTGACTGATCCTGCAAATTTTCTACCTGGTCTGGATCCTTCAGTCCTCTTGTTTCTTAAAAGAAAAGATACAAAATTGAAATTCAAGCAGTGCTACTTTGATAAACAGATCTGCTCCTCGGTGCAAATTTTTACGTTCTTCGGGTCTGTGATAGTTATACAGAAATGTTTCTAATTAGTATAGGTTCTGTTTTCTAAATTTCGGAGTGCTGGCTGAATACACACACTCGTGCACAAATGTGCTCACACATACACTCTGTGTGTGTGTGTGTATTATATGCAAAATCGATTAAATTTTCAAATAAGAGATTAGGCAGAGCAAGAAATGTAATCTAGACAAAATCAGGAGGTAAGAAAACACAGCCTAATCATAGTTCTTATCGGTGTAATCTAGACTAGTGTTTCTCAACCTTGGAAGCTTGAAGATGGGTGGACTTCAACTCCCAGAATCCCCCAGCCAGCGCTGCTGTCTGGGGGATTCTGGGAGTTGAAGTCCACCCATCTTCAAGCTACCAAGGCTGAGAAACACTGATCTAGACTGTAAAATTGTGTACTTCTCCATAGAGATTTGTATTTTGGTTCCCTTAACATTTCTTTTAACTTTGCCTGTAACCCAGATGTGCTTCTCCTCCGCCCCCCCTGCCTCCCCCATCGCCACCACTGGCTTCACCTGGTTTAAAAAGAACAATGGCCTTCATACAGGCAAATTCAGTGGGATCCACCGCCAGCGTTTTGAAGCGTGCAATTATTTCTTGCAGCGCACAGATGTCCCTTCCTCCAGGCACCGCCTTGGCGTGGAAGGTGGAGGTCAGCTCTGACAAAGAGAGGAGGGGGCAGGTTTCCAGAGGCAAAGACCACTGGATAGCACATAGCAGGAACAATTCACTCCAAGCTTCTTCCAGTAAAATCACCTGCAAGAGATAGGACACGGAGTTGAGTCCTTAAAACTCAAGGTGTGCTGCAGTCATTCCTGTTCCCAAATAAACCTTGTTAAGTATTTCAGCCAAAACATCCTTTTTTCCTTCTATAATCCTCCTGTTGGATTATAATTCATAAAAAAACCGTCCCAACTGCGAGCAGTTTTCACCAAACCCATAACGGCTATATCCCCTGATCTGTACATGTGTCTGGCCCAAAACTAACACATGATTTTTTTTTCAAGCTGAGTTCTTTCCCGTTTCACACCTAATAAGACAAAATCTTGCCAGTCTGAAACCTCTACTACCTGCATCTACGATAAACTCTGGGAACTATTGAGGAGGAGCTGTCTTCATCCTCGTTCTCTCACATAAAATATCGGGGGCTGAGTTGCCTCTTCTGACATGCCTCCTCGCCCTCCTGGGAATCTGCTTTCTACTACATTCACCACCTCACTGCGTTCCATCACACATGCCGGTCACGGCTGCCAGATTCCTTTAATACTCCCCGTGTTGGTTTCTCTTGACTGGTTTCCAGTGAATCTCTTTAAACAGACCGTTCTATTTAAGCATCCCAAGCTCTAAATTCAACCCGTATATAGAAAATAATTGCAAGTGGAAATAACCATCTACCTTTGGTTATATTAATTCCTAGAAACCAGCCTCTCTTGAAGACTTGCTTTCTCACTGGCTCAACTCCAAAACTACATGGAGCCGAGATGGCGCAGTGGTTAGAATGCAGTACTGCAGGCTACTTCAGCTGACTGCTAGCTGCACTTTGGCAGTTCAAATCTCACCAGGCTCAAGGTTGACACAGCGTTCCGAGGTGGGTAAAATGAGGACCCAGATTGTTGGGGGCAATAGGCTGACTCTAAACCGCTTAGAGAGGGGCTGTAAAGCCCTGTGAAGCGGTATATAAGTCTAAGTACTATTGCTATTTCTTTCCTCCCTCCCTCCCTCCCTTCCTTCTTTCCTTCCTTCCTTCCTTCCTTCCTTCCTTCCTTCCTTCCTTCCTTCCTGCCCTCCCGCTCTCCCTCCCTCCCTCCCAGTGGTTAGAATGCAGTATTGCAGGTTAACTCTGCCCATAGCTAGGAAGTTCGATCCTGACTGGCTCAAGGTTGACTCAGCCTTCCATCCTTCCGAGGTCAGTAAAATGAGAACCCAGATTGTTGGGGGCCATAGGCTGACTCTGTAAACCGCTTAGAGAGGGCCGTAAAACATATACGTGAAGCAGTATATAAGTCTACATGCTACATCCTCCTGGCTAAAGCTGTCAGTTCCGAGATCTGACTCGGAAGGCTCACCTGATCACGAAAAGGTAGGTTTGAGAAAACGGGAAGGTTTTTTGCCCATTTCACAGCCATGAAAAGGAGTCGGGCAGAGATTTCATAAACACTTTCAGGGCTGGCGGCCGGGTGTGGGGACCGGGGAGCTTCTGACCCCACGTGTTCCGGCTCATTACTTGTCACGTCAATGTTTTCCTCTGCTGTGAAGGAAAATAGCCCATCAGTATCATCTGCAGCAATTAGTAGGATTTGCAAGTAGTTGTGGCATGATAATTGTGAAGAAGTTGAAGCAGTACTGTCACTATTTAAGCCCCAAGTATCTTTTGAAGTGACGTTTTCTATAGTGACCATTGTATCGGCTATGTCAGCATCTCTGGTGAACTCTTGATTGTCAGGGTGTATAAATCCCGTTTCCCTCCCCCCCGGGGGTAATTGCACTTAATTAGAGATGGACCGTGGCTTTCCTTTGCAGCATACTTTAAGAGAAAATAAGCCGGGATATATTCTAAGAAACACATTTTATTATAAAGAAATAAAAAAAACAATCTTACTAGCTATTAATTACATCTTGGCAAACTTCCCTGCCTTGCCGGCAGAAGTTCTGGCAGACGAACAAAAGAAAAAAAAAGAAAAAGTGAGAAGAATGTGGACATGCGCAGTGGTTCAGAGATAAGACTCAGATCAGTCTACCATAAGTCTCAGAATGGAAGCTCAGCTGGCAAACACACAGAACGCAGTGACATTGATAACCCATCTGGACCTCTGTTTTGGGGAAATACTACATATTGTGATATTTAGGGGCAGTACATAAACCAAAGGTCCTTTTGCTCGACACTCAAAAGAAATCTGACTTCATTTAAATTGACCCTAACCCTCAACACTAAATTATGAAACAGGTAAATGTTCCCCTTGCACATACGTGCTAGTCGTTCCCGACTCTAGGGGGCGGTGCTCATCTCTGTTTCAAAGCCGAAGAGCCAGCACTGTCCAAAGACATCTCCGTGGTCATGTGGCCGGCATGTCTAAACACCAAAGGCGCACAGAACGCTGTTACCTTCCCACCAAAGGTGGTCCCTATTTTCCTACTTGCATTTTTTACCTGCTTTCGAACTGCTAGGTTGGCAGAAGCTGGGACAAGTAACGGGAGCTCACCCCGTTACGCGGCACTAGGGATTCGAACCACTGAACTGCCTACTTTTCGATCGACAAGCTCAGCGTCTTAGCCACTGAGCCACCGCATCCCTATGAAACAGAGGAATTGCCAAATGTTTCTCTTGCTTAACCAATATTTTGTTTGGGGGCCAGTTCTAAATGGGAGCCCAGAAGTCAGAATTCCTAATTCAGACAGCAATGACAGATGCAACGTCTTCTTGTCATACAAGATTTTTATGATTTACTTGGTTTGAGATGGGTGGCTACACAAATCAAATAAATAAATAAGGATGAAAGAAACAACTACAAAGGCATCGTTAAAATTATCTTTATACTAATCTGGGGGCAAAACCACAATCTTGGAAACGAAGAGGAATTATTTTCCACACTTATAGTGAAATCCTTCTTTTAAGAAAGAGACTCCGGATGCTTTGAAGGGTTTTCCCACAGTTTTCTCCCCACCTGAGCTGAGTTTCTATTTGTGAGATAAGCTGCCGATGGATTCGCCTTCAATCTCCTGATTGCCCTTGCTTCCATCCCTTCTCCAGGCTCCCCACAATCTCTCTTGCTTGTCAATAACACAAGACTGGAAGCAGAAACAAGTCTAGAAACGGCTGACCTCTTCTCTGAATTCATCCTAAATTTTAAACCTACCTTGGAAGACAGGGGTGAAATCCAGCAGGTTCTGATAGGTTCTGGAGAACCGGTAGTGGAAACTTTGAGCAGTTGAGAGAACCGGCAAATACCACCTCTGGCTGGCCCCAGAGTAGGGTGGGAATGGAGATTTTGCAATATCCTTCCCCCAGGAGTGGGGCGGGAATGGAGATTTTGCAGTATCCTTCCCCCAGGAGTGGGGCGGGAATGGAGATTTTGCAGTATCCTTCCCCCAGGAGTGGGGCGGGAATGGAGATTTTGCAATATTCTTCTCCCAGGAGTGGGATGGGAATGGAGATTTTGCAGTATCCTTTCCCTGCCACACCCACCAACCCACGACCAGTCAAAAAAATTGGATTTCACCACTATTGGAAGAGCTAGGACTGCACCAGCAGGGGGCGCTGTGGTTTGCAAATCTTAAATTCTGCGGGGTTAGCTTCACCCCCTTGTTAAGAGTCCCCTTCAGGCAGACCTCCTCCCTCGTCCCCCTCTCAAGCACCAGCCACCTACCCTCCTCTGGTTCCAGCTTGGCACAGGTCTCCGCCGTCATCAGGCTGGCCATGAAACGGTGGTTGTTGGAGGGAGTTAGCGCTTGGGCCCGCAAAACCCCACTTGCAGAGCAGCCGGGGGGAACCCTGTGGCTCTGCAGGGAGTGGTGGGGTGGTGTCGGAGCCCCCTGGGTGGCGGCCACATGTTCTGGCTGCCGTTCCGAATGCAGGTCCGTGGAGTCGAGGTGGACGTGAGCCGTGCTGCGTGGCTGGCGTTCGTTCTGAACCGCTGGAAACGGAAGACGGTCAAGATAAGCACCAAAATGGGCAGACTTGGGGGAGTCGGCGCTGAAGGTGTTCTTCTAGTAACAGGAACAGAGTTGGAAGGGACCTTGGAAGTCATCTAGTCCAGTGTTTCTCAACCTTGGTAGCTTGAAGATGGGTGGACTTCAACTCCCAGAATTCCGAGAGTTGAAGTCCACCCATCTTCAAGCTACCAAGGTTGAGAAACACTGATCCAGTCCAACCCCCTGCTCACACAGAGACCTGCACTAGGGATTCGAATCGCCGAACTGCCAACCTATCTGATCGACAAGCTCAGGGTCTTAGCCACTGAGCCATCTAGTCATTTAATTTATCCCAGTAATTTATCCCAGCCTCGACTGGGGAAAACTGGCCAGCTCACAAGAGTTTCATTTCCTCCTCTTGACTGTGTTCACCTAACAGAAGCCATTGGGCTGATTGGATCATCCTTTAGTTTCAAGCCCTTATGCTAGTCCAGGGGTCTGCAACCTTAAACACTCAAAGAGCCATTTGGACCCGTTTCCCACAGAAAAGAAAACACCGGGAGCCACAAAACCCTTCCCGTGCCTGACTATTTCTTGAGCGGCCACAAAACTAGCATATGGAGTTGAATTAAACGTTCTGTTTTCTTCTGAAACTTTTTTCCTTTCTTGGATTTATCCATGGTTGGCCTACCGGGAGTTGGAAAGCTCGATAAATCATGTGCCGGCGGGTGTCACACATTAGTGGTTTGACGCATATTTTGAGTGACAGGGAGCCGCAGCAGAGGGGTGAAGGAGCCATATGTGGCTCCAGAGCCACAGGTTACTGATCCCTGTGCTAGTGTCTTCAAAAACCACAAGTGGCCCAAGGTCTATCGTGAGTCTCCCAACTCCTAATCTAAATCCTTCACCACTATTCCACCTTAACTATAGGGCTGAAAGAAAAATAATTCCAGGTCCAAAGTCCCCCACAGAATTCTCATGGCTGGGATGGGACTCGAACCTGTGTCTTCCCCCTCCTCATCTGAACCCATCACTGGTTCTTGGAGCTCCAGAGAGACTCCGAATTCAGTTTCTTCCTTAGACACGGAAGCCAGATGGAGGACTTTTGGCTGGTCGCTCTCAGCTCAAGCCACCTCCCAAGGTTGGTATTGTGGGAAAAACAGGAAGAAGAGCCATTACATACAAAGCCTTGAGTTGTATCAAATAAAGTGGGATATAAATATATCATTAATGAATTCACACATCTACAAGGCACCAGATGGAGAAGGTTTGCCTGTAAGATCTACTTGCCAAAGACTTAAACTCAGTTGAGTTTACAGCTCAACTGAGAATTCCCACATTCAGGTTTACCGTCTTTATTCATGCCCGCCTGGAGACATTTCTTCAAGCGGCAAGCTTGGCACTGGTTTCGGTGCGCTTTGTCCACGGGGCACATTCCACTGCCAACCTGGCACCTGTCAAGAGGACAAGATAAGATTCTATTAGATGCACCTGCCAGGAATTCTAGATTTGGGATGGGGGGGGGCGCGATGGGCTTCTGTGCTATGTAAAACAAACACCTGTTCCAAGAAAAGTAAAAACTGAAAGAAAATCCAGAGCTACAGAAAGGCTAAATCCGGTGAGTTCCCTGAAAGCTGCTGTCACAGAACAGCCAAATGCTTCTAGAATCGCTTAGTCGCCATCGACTTCTTTAAAATTGAAATTTGTCCTCTTGAAGCCGAGAGACACACCAAGCATTGACGTTTCAGTATTGAGAAGAAAATCGGCAACTTGGATTTGAGATTAGGGCGGGAAAAGTCCCATCCACACCTGAAAACAGAAAAATAGCATATCTAGAGGGGTGGAGGAGATTTAAGATGCATCACAAAACTAGAGGTCATAACTCACAGGCTCCTGAAAGTGGGATCAGAGACAAGAATGCAAAACTAAGGATATCCCTTCACCTCATCCCCAAATTCGGCACGTTGCATTGGGTGAACGTGCTTTCTCCATGCAACACTAGAGGAGCACAAAGTACAAAGAGGAACTAAACTGATGTAGGAGATCACAGGACTAGTGGCCCATTTTAGCACTGAATTGTATGGCTCAATTCTCCAAAGCCCAGAAAGGATTTGTTTGGAAGGGTTTTCCTCTAAAACTAAAAGTAAGGGACACGGTGGCTCGGTGGCTAAGACGCTGAGCTTGTCGATCGAAAGGTCGGCAGTTCAGCGGTTTGAATCCCTAGTGCCGCGTAACGGGGTGAGCTCCCGTGACTTGTCCCAGCTTCTGCCAACCTAGCAGTTCGAAAGCACATTTGAAAAATGCAAGTAGAAAAATAGAAACCACCTTTGGTGGGGAGGGAACAGCGTTCCGTGCGCCTTTGGCGTTGAGTCATGCCGGCCACATGACCATGGAGACATCTTCAGAAAAGCGCTGGCTCTTTGGCTTTGAAACGGAGATGAGCACCGCCCCCTAGAGTCGGGAACGACTAGCACATACGTGTGAGGGGAACCTTTACCTTTACCTACAACTAGAAACAAAATGAATTGACCAAAAGTGGGCCCTCCAACCTTGACTGGCTCTTCAACGGAACAGTGACCCGTCTCTACCAGAAGGGCTCCGATTGGGAAATCCCTACAAGAAAAGTCCCAATCACGGTGTCAGTTGCTCCCATTGAGAAGAACTTGACTTCCTTGCCCTCTCTTCTTCCCTAAATGTCAAAACATTGCAGGCTGATGGGTGTGCTTTTATATCCTAGATTTCTTTCCCCGCAGTCTGAAGATGAAGTCTGAAAAGGACAAAATATAGTGCAGTGGTTGGATTTAGTGAGACCACGCCTGGACCGTGGTGGTCCTTCAGAATTAAAAATGAAAATGTGCAGAAACCGATCGCAGTCTTCCTCTCTGCCAGGCAGCGTGTCTCAAAAGCCCCTTCATCTTCTCGCAGCTTGACCCCAGTTAAGAGTGCACGATTGTAGATCGTTTACCCTTCCTCTACTCCCAACAATAGTATCCATTACCTATAAACCAGCTTCCGTCGGACGCTGCGTTTGAAGAAACCGCTGCAGCCATTGCAAGCGTAGATGCCATAATGCTTCCCGCTGCTGGTATCGCCACACACTTTGCAGAGCAAGACGGGGCTCCCTGCTTTGCCAGGAGTCAGACTAAGCTCTACAGAGAACAGAGAAGAGGGCAGTTAAGGACCGGAAAGATGCAACACACAACAAAGGAGGTGAAGCCAACAGATTTTCAACAGAAAATGTGAGGGGTTAAAGCACCTTCAGTGGATAGTTCACCTCCATATTGCTGGAGTTTATGTTTGCCTTGCTGCTCTATTTTTTTTTAATCTTGATTTGCTTTACATTTATTTACTTATTTTCCAAGTTCAGTTTGTCATAATTGACAGATGTAGACAAAAAAAGTAACTCCAATCTTCTATCCATCCAGAGAAGATGGGGGAGAGAATTTTCCATGGTTCAGCCATTTCCTTCCCCACTATTTCGAAGTAGGTGGTCCATCCACCCCGGAACTTAATTGTACCTGCCTGAAGATTCTCCCAGGTGTTCAATGGTGCTCTGATGCTTTCTTAGCAACTAAGAAAGAAATGCGCCCTACAATGCTCAGCATCTACACTAACCTAGTGATACTCTGAGCTTGACCAGCTCCTAACTAAATTCCCACACGAGTTGATTAATAACAACGCTGTTGAACAACAAGACACTGTGACAAATATTGAGCGGGAACCCCCAGCTTGGTCTGTGCTCCACAGATTGCGTACCGCTACCTGAGATACGGGAAAGAAAAATGATTTGAGGCACGAGACGTAACTTCGCCACCACGCTTAAGGATATCGCTGAACTTCCCAGCAGGATTGGCAAAACTTCCTGCCAATTCCTGCAGTTGGGTGAGCTGTTTTTGGCCCAAATGAAAGGGGGAAAAAAAACAACATGGTCTGAAGAGTTGTGACACCATCACTTACCTAATTGGCTGGCCTCCATTCCTCTGTTCATCAACGACTTCACCGGGGAGGCAGTCATAACAGTGGCCGATGACCTGTGGGACAAGAGGATTTGGTTTACGGGTTCTTTGTGCAGAGTTCTGACTTCTCCTTCAGTTTTGAGTTGGGAGGCCCAAATGCAGGAAACTCTTGTGAGCTGGCCAGTTTTCTCCAGAAGAGACTGGGATAAATTCCTAGAAGAACGCCTTTGGTGTAGACTCGCTAGAAAAACTCAAGTCTGCTCCAAGCCTCTTAAACAGATCGTCCTCTAGACCATCTCAACCCTGGTTCTTCTGGATACTTCATGTGTGCTTGATGTGTGCTATGCTCATGTGTGAGTCCTTCCTCTTCGGGGCTCCTGTAGTGTAGCAGGAAAGATTAGTCATTAACGCTGTGTAAGCAGTTGCCTGTCTGTCATCCTCTTAATCTTTAGTTTTCAAAGGTGGGACCATTAGCTCCATAATCAAAGAACGAGAAAGATTTCTGAAGATTTCCGTCAGCGAGTTGACAGCAGAATGCGATGAGCCCCATCTTGGCAGGGGCTTTGGGTGCACCATTTCTACGTCCTCCGGCTTCACACATCTGCCACTAAATTGTTTTTCTTGGAGAGACGATTCCTTTTCTGGAAGGTTCATTTATTTGGTCGCCAAATAGGCAGGGTGAGGTCCGCTTGGGTTCCCAAGACGTTAGTTCTGCCTCTGCTCTGATTCTACCACCTTGTCCTCAACTCTGGGTCCTGGGTCCCAGGAGGAGCAAAGGTTTTGGGTAAGAAAAATCCAGTCAACCTACAAGGGCAGATGCTGATCACAACTGAATATTTTATAAGGCAGATTTTTTCAGCGAGAAGAGCGTACTACCTCGGCAAGCAGGTTCTGTATTATTGATGAAGGGAAAGGTGAAGCAGAAGCAATTACAACACAGAATATAAGGCTCATATTTATTTATTTAGAAAATTTATATTGCCACCTATTCGCACATGGCAACTCAAGGCGGCTTACCAAGACAAAAGCACAATATAAAAGAAAGAAAAATAAGAGAATAAGAAACATCCCCCACATCTTCAGGGCCTTCTGAAAGAGTATTAGAGTAGGGGGCCAGTCTAATCTCTAGAGGGATGACATTCCAGAGAAGGGGAGCCACCACAGAAAAGTCCCTTCTTCTGGATCCCGTCAGATATATCTCCTTGGAGGATGGGACCCACAACATTCCTTGTCTCCCCGCTCTATACCAAAGTTCTGCGATCTCAGAAGACGTGGCAAAAAGGAATGAGCTGAGGCTGAATGCAGGTAGTCCCCCACTTACGATCGTTCGTTTAACAACGGTTCAAAGTTATGAAAGCTTCGGAAAAAGCGACTTGTGCCCCATCAAGGTTATGACCGTCATACCATCCCTGCGGTCACAATTCGGGCACTTCGCAATCGGCTTGCATTTAAGATGGTTGCAATATCTTGCAAACATGATTTGTGACTTTCCCAGTTGGCTTTCGACCAGCAAAGTCAGTTGGAGAAGCCTGAAGAACCGTGGTAACGATGGTTGTAAAACTGGATCCAGTTACACAATGTCTTGCTTAACAACCATATCGCTTAGGGTCCCAATTATGCTTGTATGTCAAGAATTGCCTATACTGGACAGCCCACAATCAGTCAACCTGTGCGGCCCCGTTGCAAACCAGTAGTAAAGGTAAGTAGAACCCACTCTGCTCTGCAAATAAAATCATCACTCTAGTTTATTCATCATTGCGCCATTATGCAATACCGCTTCATTTAGGCCAGGGGTCTGCAACCTTAAACACTCAAAGAGCCATCTGGACCCGTTTCCTACAGAAAAGAAAACACCGGGAGCCACAAAACCCTTCCCGTGCTAACTATTTCTTGAGCGGCCACAAAACTAGCATATGTAGTTGAATTAAACATTCTGTTTTCTTCTGAAACTTTTCTTTTCTTGGATTTATCCATGGTTGGCCTACCGGGGGGGGTTGAAAAGCTCAATAAATCACATGCCGGTGGATGTCGCGCATTGGTGGTTGTGACGCATATTTTGAGTGACAGAGCCACAGCAGAGGGGTGAAAGAGCCACATGCGACTCCAGAGCCACAGGTTGCTGACCCCTGATTTAGACTGTTTTCCTGATTTAGACTGAGTTGCAGCAAAGCTCCGAGTCCTTCCAAGCTGGCCATTGCCTCCCCTTCCTGCTATTTTGAGTGCTATTCATAGCTCCAGCTCTGAAAAGAAAGAGAAGGATGTCAGCCATCTTCCCCTACGCACAGAGGGGGAGACAGAAGCTACAGGATATCGTTTGATTCATTCAGGCTTTGTAGCAACTTTCTGATTTCCAGCGAGGCTGACACCGCCTTCTGTTATTTGACTATTCCGGTTGTTGTGAACGCATCTGCCACTCTGCTTTTCGGAATTCCCAAGGCGACAATCTAAGTATCACAAAGCTTTCTATTTTATTTTATTTTCATTTTAAAAGGATTCCTTTTTATAGCCAACTGTTTGGCAAAGCTTTTGCAAAGAATCGAGGCTGCCAAAAAAACCCAAAAAAAAACAGTTGGGCGGTTGGAGGTCCCAATTCTCCAAGCGGCCTCCTTTTTAAAGCACGCAGGTTTGAGCAGATTTTGATGGGTGCAAACCAAACCTTCAGGCAATCCCTTTTTCCTGGGGGGGGGGGAGGGGGGGGGGGGGGGGGGGGGGAGGAAGACAGGCAAGCAAGCTGCAGAGAATCTGCTAGTTAAACAAAAAAAACAATTAGCTTTAGGATTGAGAGAGCAGCTCTGAGTGTGTCAGTGCTGGCCCGAGACAGATGGTGCTGAAGGATGCTTGATCAGACATTAGCACTAAGGTCCTTAATCTACAGCCCTGATCTCCATGTCTCTAGGAGGCCCTTTCTGACCAGGAAGACAGCCAGATGCACACTGCTAGTGTAGCTCCCTCCCCCAAAATTAACACTGTTGTATATCCCAGAACTTATTTTTCAAATCTTTAGTAGCAAGAAAACTACTACTACTACTACTACTACTACTACTACTACTACTACTTCTTCTTCTTCTTCTTCTTCTTCTTCTTCTTCTTCTTCTTCTTCTTCTTCTTCTTCTTCTTCTTCTTCTTCTTCTTCCTCCTCCTCCTCTTCTTCTCCTCCTCCTCCTCTTCTTCTTCGTCTTCCTCCTCCTCCTCCTCCTCCTCTTCTTCTTCGTCTTCCTCCTCCTCCTCCTCTGCCTCCTCCGCTTCTCCTCCTCCTCCTCCTCCTCCTCCTCCTCTTTTTTGCTTGTCTGATGCAAATTCCAAGTTTCCATTGGAGTCAACGGAGCAAAGGAATCATTACAGCAGGCTAAACATTTCTCACGAAGGCTGTTTGTCCTGCTCTGACACATCACCCTGCCTTGACACCCTGCCTGCTTTGTCCCCTCAGGTTGACCTGTAAAAGAGGTCATGTTTGGGGCTGGGATCTCACTGGGGGAGACTCATCTTCGCTTTTCATGGATCTAATTCCCTGTCCCGGATTTTACCTCTCAGTTCTTGCTTTATGGTATTTTTGATGGCTGTATCTGACTAAGCCCTGACATCTGATCACCTTGCTTTGGAAGTTATCCAAGGTAATGAGAGGTAGGCCATCAGTTTGAACTTGGATGGAATACAGTTTTAGGACTCGTCACTCTGCTATTCCTATTTCACCTTCTGGGTGAGGTTTTATAAATGGTAATTATGTATTTCCTTGATGTTTTTGTCCTCCAAACTGGATAGCTGGATTTTCTCTTTCTTTTCCTTTCCTCCTTTCCTTTCCTTTCCTTTCCTTTCCTTTCCTTTCCTTTCCTTTCCTTTCCTTTCCTTTCCATCTTTCTTTCCTTCTTTCCTTTCTTCCTTCCTTCCTTTCTATCTTTCTTCTTTTTTTCTTTCTTTCTTTCCTTCCTTCCTTCTTCTTTCCTTCCTCTGTCTTTCTTTTCTCTTTTCTCTTTTTTCTCTTTCTTCTGTCTTTCTTTCTTTTCTTTCCCACATATCTGAACCCCCCCCCCATCTCCCTCAGAGAGGAATATTGCAACGGTCTCTCATAAGACATGGGTTCCACAACACATTAAAAGCCGACATCCTCTCTCTGCGATGTAAAATGGGAAGGCCTCAGGTTCATAAGACCACACGTAGTATGAGATGTCCCTCAAAACAATGAGAAGTTCTAGAGATTATATTTGTAGATACCTGTAGATAGTGGAGATTATTTATTAGCTCAGTTTTGTGTTCATAACTTTATCATTCTATATCAAGGAACCGTTTTTCAATCATCCGTTCCTCTTGAAAGTTTAGTGATTCGCTGTTGTGGCCCACCAGCGGCCAATGGAGCTGGCAGCAGAGTCGGACAGTGGGCCAGTCCTGGGAGCTGGGGAAACCTCGGATGAGGGCTCTGCGTCGGAGGCAGAGAGGGATATAGACAGCAGTGAGGCAGAGGAATAGCTGGAGCCTGTTCCCAGTGTGCACATACGCAGAGCTGCCAGAAGACAAGAACAACTCAGAAAGCAGGGTCGACTTGGGAGTAAAGCCACACCTTGGAGGTGATTGGCCCCTCCCATAGGAAACAAAAGAGGAGCCAACGGAGAGGGGGCTTTTGCAGGAAACAATTTGTTCGTTCGGTTGTTTCAAGAGTGGAAAGTTCTGTTTGAGACTTTAAGAGACCCTGTGCCAAGTTTTGCCTTGCACTGCGTTTGCAAACTAGTTATCTGGCAGCTTTCCAAGCGAGATAAGGTTTGTGTTGATAAATATTCCTCTGAAAGACTGTTTGCCAAGCCTTGCTGACTGTGAATGAAAGGAATTCACAGTCGTGTAAATTAAAGGGGTTTTGCCGGGACCAAGACTCTGCTTCCTGCTTTTTAGGAAAGCCTAAGTCAGAACATTTGCAAGCAACTTACTTAAACAAAAGATGTGGTCGGACTGGAAGGGGTGAGATTCATTGCACTTTTTTTCTTGATATATTATCAAAACTCTTCAGGAGTCTGGTAGCACCGTTTTTGATTAAAGCGTTTTATTAAAGGCATAAGTTTTGTGAGCCATAGCTCACTTTATCGGATGCATTCAAATGCGGTGAGCTGCAAAACTCAGAGCTTTGGCCAAGACAATTCAAAGGCAAGGAATTCCGATGCTTAAATCTCTCGCAGCCCT